AACCCGTACGCCCAGCAGCACCCCGGCCAGCAGCCTCAGCAGGGCCAGGGCAACCCGGCCGACTACTACAACCAGTACGCCGGCGCATACGGCGGTTACGGTGCGCCCCCGCCCCCTCTCTCCTCCCTCTCTCGCAGGTCGAGTTACTGACCCTCCTCTTGCGTGCCTCCCCCACAGGTCAGCCGCAGCAGTACGGCGGCTACCCTCAGCAGCAGCAGGGCTACGGCCAGGCCCCGGCCGGCTACGGCGCGCACGACCCGTTCGCCGCCCGCTACAACCAGGGCGCGCCCGCACCCGGTTTCCCGCCCGCCCAGCCCCAGACCCGCGTCTACGAGCCGCCCGTGCGCCAGCCCGTCACCGGCGCCGGCACCGGCGGCGCGCCGTTCGTCCGCCGCGATGACCCGAACGCGCCGCCACCCGCCAAGCCGCCCACCATGTCGCTCAAGATTGGCGGCGGCGGCGCCGCATCCTCGTCGTCGTCGTCGTCCGTGTCGCTCCCGCCGCGGGACCCGGACGCCAAGCCGGCGACCGTGAGCCTCAAGATCGGCGGCGGCAGCAGCAGCAGCAAGGCGGCGCCCGCAGCAGCGGCGGCGGCCGCCTCGTCGGGCAGCAAGGCGTCGACCCCGAGCTCGAGCAAGCCCGGGACGCCCGCGCCCGGTGCGGCCTCGGCGGCGGCCAAGAAGGAGCAGTCGTCCAAGGCCGACAAGGTCGAGGCGGTCAAGGCCAAGAAGGAGGAGGCCAAGAAGGTCGAGGAGGTCAAGAAGGTCGAGCAGGACAAGATCGCCGAGGAGGTCAAGGCCGTCGCCGACGAGGAGACGCTCGCCGACCTGTACGGCGTCGACGACAGTGCGTCCTCGTCCTCTTTCCCCTCGAGCGCGGCGTTGAGGAAGCGAGCCTGACCTCGCACCCTTCTCTCCCTCCCCGTCCCCCTCGCTTCGCCTCTCCTGCAGTCAAGGACGTCAAGCCTCACCTCAACATCGTCTTCATCGGCCACGTCGACGCGGGCAAGTCGACGATGGGCGGCAACATCCTGTACCTGTGCGGCATGGTCGACAAGCGCACGCTCGAGAAGTACGAGCGCGAGGCCAAGGAGGCCGGCCGCGAGTCGTGGTACCTGTCGTGGGCGCTCGACTCGACGTCGCAGGAGCGCGAGAAGGGCAAGACGGTCGAGGTCGGTCGCGCCTACTTCGAGACGACGGCCCGCCGGTACACGATCCTCGACGCGCCCGGCCACAAGAACTATGTCCCGTCGATGATCAGCGGTGCGGCGCAGGCCGACGTCGCCGTCCTCGTCATCTCGGCGCGCAAAGGCGAGTTCGAGACGGGCTTCGAGAAGGGCGGCCAGACGCGCGAGCACGCCATGCTCGTCAAGACGGCCGGCGTCTCCAAGCTCATCGTCGTCGTCAACAAGATGGACGACCCGACCGTCAACTGGGACAAGACGAGGTGCGTCCCATCCACGAGGACGTCTGTGGTTGAGCGACCGCGAGACTGACTCGCCCTGTCCTCCTCGACCTCCCCAACCCTCTTCCCCTCCCTCTCGACCTCGCCTCGCCCTTGTCCTCCCTCGGTTTCCCTCGCCACCGCCTTCCTCCCTCGTCTCTCTCGCAGGTACGACGAGATCGTCTCCAAGCTGTCGCCGTTCCTCAAGGGCACGGGCTACAACATGAAGACGGACGTCACGTTCATCCCCGTCTCGGGCTTCACGGGCGCCAACATCAAGGAGCCGGTCGACCGCAAGCTCGCGCCCTGGGTCGAGGGCCCGCCGCTCCTGTCGTTCCTCGACGACCTGCCCATCACGGACCGCAAGAACAACGCGCCCCTCATGATCCCTATCTCGGAGAAGTACGCCGACATGGGCTGCGTCGTCGTCGGCAAGATCGAGTCGGGCAAGGTCCGCAAGGGCGCCGACCTCCTCCTCATGCCCAACAAGACGCCCGTCCAGGTCCAGGCCATCTACAACGAGATGGAGGAGGAGGTCCCGCTCGCCCTCTCGGGCGACAACATTCGCCTGCGCCTGCGCGGCGTCGAGGACACCGAGATCAACGTCGGTTTTGTCCTGTCGAGCCCTGTGACGCCCGTGCACACCGTCACCCAGTTCGAGGCCCAGCTCGTCATACTCGACACAAAGAACATCATTACGGCCGGTTTCCAAGCCATCATGCACGTCCACACGGCGTCCGAGGAGGTGACGCTCGGCGCGTTGCTCCACTACTACGACAAGAAGACTGGGCGCAAGAGCAGGCGGCCGCCGCAGTTCGCCAAGAAGGGTGGGCTCTCTTTCCTCGTCCTCTTCCTCGTCCTCCCTCAAGCGCCTTTCCTCCCTCTCGCCTCGCACTGACTCTCTCTCCTGCCCTCTCTCCCTCTCCTCGTGCGACCATCACAGGCATGAAGATTGTCGCTCTCGTCGAGGCCGCCAACACGGTCTGCATCGAGCCGTTCTCGACCCAGCCCTCGCTCGGCCGGTTCACCCTGCGCGACGAGGGCAAGACGGTCGCCATCGGCCGTGTCCTGCGCGTCATCACCGACGCAGCGACCGAGCTTCCCGACGTCGCCAAGCTCCAGCTCGAGGCGGGTGCGGCGTAAGCAGGGCCGGTCAGGGTCGAGACGATGGCTGAGCCGAGGAGGAGCGGGTTGTGCGCGACTGTAATCGAGGTGCCACATGTTCTCGCTGTCCTTGGGACTTTCAGACTCGACGAGAGAGTGCATCGTGAGAGCAGTTCTCTCGAGCGGGCGCTCCCGAGAAGCGAGAGTCGGCGCCGACCTCGAGCTCGCGGGCTTTTCGAGGACTCTCTCGAGCAGCCCTCCCTTGGCTCCCGCTCGACCGCTGTCTAGGGCTCGAGCACATGGCTATCGTCGAAGTGCGCCTCGTCAGCATCAGCGGCGACGGCCACTCGGCTGCTGCTGCTCGAGCACTGCAGCCCTCGCAAGTTGCGCTTTGTCCTCGCCCTTGCTCTCGCGCTCGCTCGTCCTCTTGCTCTCACTTTGAAGCTCAAACACGGATCCAAAAGACCGTTGCTCGAGTTTCACCGAGGGTCCGCGAGGGGGCGAGAAAGTACAAGGGAGGGACACAGCCTCGTCGCGCTGCGGCGAGGGGAAGGCGGTACTGAGGAGAGGGTATTTGCCGGGGGTTGCGGGAGCTCGTGAGAGAAGGGAGAAGACAGATAGGAGGGAGGGGTTCGAGCATTATGTGGACGAGGGGATAAGGTCGTGAGGAGGGAGGGAGGGAGAGAGAGAGAGCGCGAGAGCCGCAGTCGAGAGGGATCGAGAGGTCGGAAGTCGAGACTCGGCGCGCCGACGCCATCTGCGCGGCTAGGACTGGTCCATGTCCTCCTCCTTGAGCGCCGCAAGCGCCTCCATGTCGAGCCCCTCGAGCATGGGCGTCCACGCGCGCTCGCCCGCCCGGGCGCTCCTTCCTCCTCCTCCTCCCGCCGACCGGCACCTGTCCTCCTCCTCGCGCTCGCCGGCCCCATCCGCACTCTCGTGCTTGAGCTCGTCGCCGCCTTGGCCGTGCTCGCTCGCCTGCCCAAAGTCGAAAAACGACCCGGACGCGACGCCGCCGCCGCCGTTGCTGTCGGGCGACTCGAGCGCAAGACCGAGCGCGGTCGCACTCGTCGCGGCACCGTTCGCGTGCGCGTGTGTGTTTGGCGAGGCGGGAGAGCCGGAAGGGTTGGTCGCCTGGGCCGAGTAGGACGAGCTGGCGGCGGTCGACTTGGGGAACGAGGACGAGGCGGGATGGTGGACGTCCAGGGCGTGCGGGTTCTGGGCCGAGGACGAGGCCAGAGCGTCGCGCAGGGCGGCATTCTGGCGCTGGAGCTCGACGGCGTGCTGCTGCGAGAGCTCGACCATTTGCTGCAGGTATCTGCGGCCGCGACCGAGGTTCGTCGTCAGTCTACGCTCACGACCGAGAGCGATAGGGCAGGAGGAGAGGGCGTGCGGGACGCACTTGATGTACTCGACGCTCTTGGCGAGGACGACGCCCTTGTTCGGCTTCTCCTTGGCCGCGAGCTGCTGGGCACTCAGCTTCTCGGCCGCCGCCGACTGCTGCTGCTGCTGCGCGCTCGCCCGCGTCGCGAATCCTGCCCCGGGCGCGCTCGCCGGCGACCCGCTCAGGACAGCCGCGCTCGACGGGCCGGGGCTCATGAGGCTCAGAGCGCCAATGGCCGGGCTCGCCGGGCCCTCCTCGACAGGGGGCAGCACGCTCGCGCCGCTCGCCGAGCCGTCGGGAGGCGGTGACCCGGGGACGAGGAACGTTTCGGGGACGAGGAGCGACAGCTCGGCGATGCGGTCGTTGATGTTGTCGCGGCGGCGGCGCTCGACGGCGTTGTGCGACTCGCGGCGCTTGCGGCGCTTCTCGAGCAGCTGGTCGCTGCGCGCAGGACGACATAGAGTCAGTCTTGCGACGTCGAGAGGGTCGAAAGGAAGAGAGAGAGTGTGTGTGAGGGACGCACCCTTTGCCGTCGTCCTCCTCCTGCACGTCGGCGAGCCCTTTGCCCTTCTTGCCCGGCGCCTTGACACCTCCTCCCGCCGTCGGCGACCTGCCCGCGAGCCCTGTCGCCGGTGGCGCACTCGCGGCGGCTCCAGGAGGCGGCGAGGGCCTCCAGCCGGTCGCCGGGTCGGCCTGCTGCTGCTGCACGCCGCCGCCGCCGCCGCCGTTGGGGGACGCGCTGTTGAAGGCGTGCGCCGGGAACGCGTGCGGGTGTGCGGCGGCGAGGGCGCCCCAGGCTCCGCCGCCTGCGCCGCCGGGAAGCGACGACGGCGTGCCCGAGAGGCTCGTCGACGGGTACGCCGGCAGGCTCATGGCGTACTGGTGATGCGACGCGTGCTCGGCCGCCTTGGCCGAGGAGGAGGACGACGACGACGACGCGACCGGGATCCCGATCGCGCCGTTGGCCGCACCGGCGCCGCTGCCAGGCGTGGCCGCCGGGCTCGGGTCGGCGCCCTCCTCACCGGTCCCGCTCGCGGCGCCCGCCGCCGCCGCCGCCGCCGCCACTGCTGCCGCACCGCGCCGGCCACCCGACTCGCGCGAGGTCGGCGACGGCCTGTCGCGGTCGTAGCCCGCGGCCGAGGACGAGCGCCTCGCGCTGCGCGAGCGCGACTGGCGCGGCGCCTTGCCGACGCTGCCGCCCCCGGTCGAGGCGGTGCGGCCCGTGCGACCGGTGCGCTCGGTTGACGCCGAGCGTTTCGACGAGGTGCCGCGTCCGCGCTCGGCGGGCTTGGCCGAGGACGACGAGCTCGGGACGGCGGGCGAGGGGAACGACTCGTGCTGTTGGGGCTGCGGCTGGGTCTGCTGCTGCTGCTGCTGCTGAGGTGGCGGCACATGCTGGGTGAAGTACGAGGGCATGCGGTCGAGCTGGAGGCGCGGGCTGAGCTGCTGGCCGTCGAGGGGAGGAGGGTGCATGGCGGCCTGGTCGAACATGCCGCCGGCGGCAAAGATGTCGGTGTGGGCCTCGTGGCTGCCGTAGACAGCACGGGCATGGGGCTGGTGGTGGTGCCCTTGTTGGTGCTGGGGCGGCTGCTGGTGGGCGGCGGCGCCGAGCGAGGCGAGGACGCTCTCAAAGTCGAGGTCGGCGTCGCTGAGGACGCTCGTGCCCGGGTGAGGGCCGCCGAACGCGCCGTTGCCGAGCGAGCCGTAGTGCGACTCGGTGGCGAGGTCGTGGTGGTGCTGGTGGTGCTGGTGCTGGCCGGCGGGGGTGAAGCCGAGGAGGATGGAAGGGTCGATGCCGGGTCCTTGGCCCGGTTGCGGCGGGTGGCCGAGGTGGTGCTCGAGGTGGGACTGGTGGGCGAGGTGCGGGTACAGGTGGGCGAACGCGGCGAGGGGCTGGCTCGCTGGTGGGAGCGACGACGAAGAGTGCGGGGTGGGGGCGCCGCCGGGCAGATGGGGCAGCGGGAACCCTTGCATCTTGATGGGCTGGTCGGGTGCCGGTGGCTGGCTGGCTGGCGCGTGCCCATAGAAGGTGGCCATGGCTCGCGGGTGGAGGGTGGTGCGAGGGACGAGAGGGCGATGAGGATGAGAGCGAGCCCTTGGGCGGAAACGCGGGGTGGCGCGCGCGCCGGGGCCAGCCAAAAGTGCTCCGCTCGACGTGCTGGTGCAGCTGCCGGTGCTCTGCGGCGACCTTGCACTGCTCCGACTCGGTCCTGCTGTACAGCCTGGGCGAGGTTGCACACGTTGGGCAGGCTCGATGCAGCCGGCGGCCGCGACGCCAGCTCGTCCCGGCCGCAAGCTCCGGAACCTCGCTCTCGCTTCGACCATCACCTTGTGCTGCCGTCCACAGCTGCTCAGCACACTCCATCATGCTCACGGCCTGCCCCGCCGCTTTGCGCTGCGCCTCGCGCCCCGCTGCCGAGCAGTCGCTGTCTCCTCCTCCTCGGCCACCGTCTCGCTCTCGGCCGCCGCCTCCGCCCTCGCTACCTGCGTCTGCGAGCGCGCGACAGCTCGACATAGCCCTCAAGACGCGCTATCACCCAGCGAACGGCCTCGGTCACCGCTGTCGACCTCTCGCCACCGCCGCGCGCCGCCTCCGGAAGGCGCAAAGCTCCCTGTCCTCGTGCCTTTGCGCTCGCGACTCGTCGGGGACACCCTGCCACGATCGATCGTCGAAGCGTGACCACCTCGAGCCTGAAAGACGACCGCGAGGAGGGTGACCGAATGGTCGAGGTGGCCTTCTCAAGCTGCGAGCTGCGCAAGAGAGGGCAACGCTGCCCCTCTCTCGAGCTTGACACGTCCCAGGTCTCTCTCGAGACAGTGTAAGAGGCTGTGCGTCGAGTCTCGAGAGCAAAGGAGCGAATGCGAGAGGGCTGAGCGAGGTCAAACTGCTTCGCTTTCCCCTCGACCGTGCGACTCGACACTTACGAGGGTTCCCTCTAGCACTGTCTCGAGTCCCTCTGCACGTGCTTTATCTAACCCTCGAGCGCGTCCTGAAAGCGCAGAGCCGAGAGCGAGAGCACCAGCTCGAGACGAGACGAGACAGACGCGAGGTTCTCCCGCTCTCGAGCAAGATTCGCGCCTTGTTTCGCTCTCTGCTCACTCGGGAGCTTTCGCGAGGTACTCAGGACCATGTGTCGACCTGTCCTGCACGTACTCGAGCCGTGTGGCAGCACGTCGAGACGTTCGAAGAGCGCCGAGTGTGGGGAAGTGGCGGAGCTGGCACGCGCGCTGTCCTCTCGCGCCTCTTTTTCTCGCTTCTCGCTCGCCGTCTCGCTCAAGGGGGGTCGTGTTGCGTACCCAGACCTGCAGGAGAATATGCTCGAGACGCTCGTGACCTTCGCAAGCCGAACCGTGTCGAGGTGCGAGAGAGAGGACCGACTGAAGGTGAACCGAATGCGTGTGGCGTGCGTTCAGAAAGTTGACCTTTCCTTTGTCAAACCGGTTTGGCTCGTCGGCTCCCTCTCAGCATGCCACCAGAGCGGAGGCTTTCCTGCTACAGGACCGTCCGCTCACCGACACTTTAGCTCTGTGCAGCGGTATGGACGACTTCCCGGTGTGGCTCCGGCTGAAGAATGCCTCGCTGTAGGATGCCTATGCAGTCACTTCGCGCCTTGCGCTTTCTCTTCTTTTGCCTCTCGTCGCTTCTTTTTCGCCTTTGCGCCGCCCGCAGGCTCTGCTCTTTTTGCTCTCTCTTTTGCTGCCGCTTGCTTGCCTCGAGCCGGAGCTTGAGCTCGCTCGCGCCCTTGGTCGCGCACGAGTCCCTCGCCTCGGACCGTCTGCGCCTCTCTCTTTCTCTCTCTCTCTCTGAGAGAAGCTCCGACTCGTGCTCGTTGCGAATCGAACCTCGGCTATGCATTTTCAATGATCGCGATCCGATTAGGCTCGAACGCTGGTCAAGCTTCGCTTGAACTCGCTTTACTTTTTTTGCTATTCCGGCTCGCGTCGATCGGCTCTTTCGCTCGCCAGGGATCGAGCGCGTTCTTCACGCGCTCACCTGTACAGCTCAAAGGTCGACCTGCGACTGCGATGCAGGAGGCGCTGCGGCGACGAGGCACGAGCCGTCGAGAGCGAGGGCCCGAGCGGCCTTCTCAAACGGCGACGGGCCGACGAGCGCACGACTTTGTGCGGCTCCCTCGAACTGAGCGGTGCGCTTACCTCTCGAGAGATCGAACGAGACGGCGTCGAGTGACCGGCGAGAGAGCGAGAGCGAGATTGAGGACTTTTGAGCTCCGTCTCCTCGAGGTCCAGGAACCGCCCACAGCTCACTTTGTGCGGGTACTGTTGGGTTCGCGACTCGTTCGTCACGCCCTAGTGGCCCTTGCTGTCGGTCCGCGATCCTTTCGAGCCCAGGACCCACGCGAGAGAAGAGTCAGCGACGGTCGAGTTGGCCTTCTCAAACGGCGAGGTGCGCAAGAGAGGGCAACGCTTCCCCTCTCTCGAGCTGAACACGTCCCAGTTCTCTCTCGCGACGGTGTACGAGGCTGTGCGTCGAGAATTGAGAGCAATTCGGTTTAGAGACACGCGGACCAGGCCGTCAGGCGGCGGTTCTCACCAAGTCCTCAGCAACCTTCTCAAACCGAAAACCTGTCGTTTCTCTCTGTGACGGTTGAGCCCCGGCGCCGTCTCTCACGCGCGCACTTACTGAGTCGTGACGGACGTCAGGAGAGTCGCGCGTGGCATGCTAGATCGAATACCGGGAGCCTGAGCCGCGCAAACGCCTTTCGCAACCGCCTGTGGGCGCCGACTCCCTGATCGCCAGTTGCGCCGGTCCGTGCGAGCGTCGACACGTCAAACTCGCGGCGAGCGTATGAGCGCAAAGGATGAGGCGTCCCTGCCGAGGTGCGGCCGCAGGAACCCGCGTCGCACGGAGACGTCTTGGTTGCGCGACGACGCCGGATGCGAGAACGCCGGACGAGAGCGGCGATAGACTTCAATTTGGGAACTAATGTGAGTGCGTCAGCTCTGCCTTCACCGAAGATCGTATCGTCCAGTGGTTAAGACACCACATTGTGGAGGCAACCAGCTCTGACCTGGCGTACTTTACTGTGGAGACCCGCGTTCAATTCGCGGTACGGTCATCTTTTTGCCGTCTGAAGCCTTCGCCGGTAGCAGCTGCGGTCGAGCGGGACGGGAGAATAGGGGTCCGTGCGCTTGCTCGTTCGCTTCTCTCTCTGGCGCAGCATCGCGCAGAGGTATCGCCCAAAGGGAGGTACCGACGAGCTGCAGTTCACACAGTCGGTGCACCACGCACAGTAGGTGCGGGCCAAGCGATGAACGGCGCACTTAAAAGTGCCGGCTGCGCTCGCCCGGACCCCTCGCTCTCGTGCTGTCGCCAGCGCACAGCTGCACCTGCGCTTCGGGCGCCGCACTCTGCGAGAGAAAGCTGTCGACGTCGAGCCGGAACTGTGCGTCGAGCGCAAGTCTGCGCCGTCCGAGAGGCGAGAGCGGAGAGAAAGCGCATCGTCCTCGTGCTCGCAAGAGAAGCCCGGCCTCGCACGCCCGCTCTCGCAGAAAGAGACGTCTCTCGCAAAGAACCAGGCCGTCGTCGAGAGCAATGGGTTACACGCTCTACGCCTGCCCCCGCCGCATGACATTCCTGCGCACCCGCTTCCTCCCTCCCGCCTCGGCCGCATCGACGCTCAAGAACGGCACCTCGCGCCACTCGACGCCGGCGACACCGTGCTCGCCTGCGTCGTCCGGCGCCGCCCAGTCGAGCATGAGCGCGACAGGGAGGTCGAGCTCGCCCTTGATGACGCCGAGCGAGGCGCGCGCGCTGGCGACGACCGAGGCGGGCACGGGCGTGTGCACGTGCAGCGTCGTCGACGACGAGGACGCGTCGGGAGCGGCGGGCGCGATCGAGTGCACGAGCGCGAGGCCGAGCGCGCTGCTGCTCGACGGCGAGGGTGCTGCGCCCGCATCGGCGGAAGGCGCGGCGGCGACGAGGGCGACGAGCGCGCCGTTGAGGGCGTGCAGGACGTGCGTGTGCGGGATCGACTCGCCGGCCGCGGTGGCGAGACGGACGCCGCCAGGAAGGTCGGCGAGCGTGAGGGCGAAAGGCGACTGGGCGAGGAGGGGCCGCGTAAAGTCCCACGCCGGCGTCGCCCCCTCGACGACGAGGGCGTGAAAGTACGACACGAGCGACAGGACGCGGTAGTCGGCGGCGGACCACTTGCTCTCGAGCGGGCTTGGCGGTGCGGGAGGGAGGAGGGTTGTGAGGGCGCCGAGGACGGGCGGTGCGGGTGCGTCGTCAGGCGTCGCGAACGAGAAGACGTGCGTCGGGCGCGCGAGCGCCTTGAGCTTGTCAAGGAGGTCGGCGCCGAGGCCCTTGACCCAGCCCTGCGTGTTGATGACGAGCGGGACGCGTTCGACGACCTTGCGGTCCTCGCGGGTCGACGCCTCGCCGTCGAGCGGGTACTCGACCTCGAGCGCGTAGGTCTCGAGCAGCGCTTGTGCGGCTTCGAGGTAGGCGCTCGGGTCGGAAGCGGGCGAGGTCGAGCCGAGGAAGCGGGACGCGAGGGGGAGGGCCACGTGGGTGAAAGAGGGGCCTGCGCGCAACGACAGACGGCGGGTCAGGGTCGACTCGAGGGCAGATAGGGACGGAGGAAGACGGACCAAGGACAGGTCGCCGCAGGACGTTGAGCGAGAGGAAGCCCGACGGCGTAAACTCGGGCTGGCCGAGGTCGGTATCGAGGTAGGCGACGGCGCCGTAACGGGCGAGGAGCGAGTTGAGCAGCATCTTGGCGAACGTGCTCTTGCCGACGCGCTTGGGGCCTTCGACGAGCGCGACGAACCGGTCGGCGGCGGGCTCGTCGTCGTCGTCATCGTCGTCATCATCTGCGGTCGAGAGAGGCGGGACCGAGGCTGCGAGTGCCGCGAGCCACGGGTCGAGAGGCCGCAGCCCGGCGAGGGAAGGCTCGGGCTCAAGAACCTGTAGGGGCCACGAAGTATCAGGCGCCGAGTCGGCGCGAGGCGAACATGAGGAGGCAGAGGACGCACGAGAGACCACGTCGCCCCACCCTGCGCCGACTCGATCTCGCCCTTGCGCCGCCCAAACATGCCGCCACCCTGCCCCATACCGCCCGCCACGAGTACGCGCTCGATGCCGTCAATACCGGTGACGAGGTCCGACACGAGGACGACGGCCACGTAGGGCGTCAAGTCGAGGGTTGCGCCGGACGGGAGGAGGAGCGAGTGCTGGAGTGGGGAGGCGAGAGGTGCGCCAAAGATGGGCGGGAGAGGGTGCGACGATGGAGCGAAGAGAGGGTGGCTAGTCGAGGCGGTCAGGGGAGGGAGGATGACGCCGTCGCTGTCGCTCGACGGGGAGGGAGCGGCGAGCGTGGCGCCGAGGACCTTGACGGAGCCGACGACCGGGGTGAGGGTGCACGCGCCGCGTAGGACAAGGGTCTGGAGGTGGAGAGCGGAAGCGAGTGCTGCTTGGGGACGAGGGAGAGAGCACGGGACGCACCTCGCCGACTTGAAGAGCGTACAGAACCGCCTCGCGCTGCACGCCGCCCTCGTCCACCACGGTCGTCTGTACCGAGTTGACGCCCTCGAGGAAGTGGAACGCGGATAGGCAGTACGGGTCGACGAACGCGCTGTTGCGGCGGGCGGTGCAAGTCAGGTCGAGGAGGGCGGGACGAGGAAGGTCAGGGAGGATCGAGGACGCACCTCTTCTCGCGCCGCCTGCGAGCGCGCACCGGGGTCGCCAGCTCGATCACGTCGGGCTCGACGTCGGAAGCCGGGTCGAGCCCCTCAGGCGGCGACACCTCGCCCGAGTCGACGTCCATCTCCTCGCCGTGCTGGACCCGGCCCGACCGCCTCGGCGCGGGCTCGGCGAAGTAGCGCGCCGGCCCTTTGCCCTTGTGCTGCTGCTTGCGCCGAGGCTGTGCAGCTTGAGGCAGCACGGCTTCGACCGACGACGACGAGGCGACCGACTCGCCGTCCGAGTTGCCGTCGTCCTCGGCGATGTCGGCGGGTGGTGGTGCAGGAGCGGGCGTGCTGGTCTGCAGAGTGCTGGCGGCGGCGGCGGCGGCTTCACGCGCTGCTCTGCGGGCTGCGACTGCCGAGAGAGGCGGGGCCGAGGGGGTGGAGGAGGACGCGGCGGCGGGAGGAGCAGCCGAGGTGCGCGGGCGCTTCTTGGCTGCAGCGCCGGCGGCTGGTGCAGGCATGTGGCTGGCCTGGCTGGTCGACTGGGCGAGGTGGTGCGCGGTCGAGGATGTTGAGCGAGGTCGAGCTCGAAAGCTCATCAGCTCAGCGTCGACTTTGGACCCATGTCCTCCCTCCCTGTCGCCTCTCCTAGGGCTCAGAGGCCTCAGGTGAGCCGCAGAGCAGCTCATCGGTGTACTGGGCGGCCGCACTCGCTGCTGCGCCGCCAACTCGCCACGTTCTCGTTCGCCCGCTCGCACTCGTCCTCGCGACTCGCTCAAGCACAGCTGCGGCTCAGCCGCTGCGGCAGAGCCAGCCAGTTCTCTCGCACAACATGCTCCGCAGGCCTTCGCGGCGTCCCAAGATCGTCGCAGGGCTTCGAGCGCGCGTTAGCTCCTCGAGCTTGCCGGCTCGAGTCGACTCGGGTCGCCCTGCTGCTGTCCGCCCAGCTCAAAGCCGGCGTATCTCACGCTCGTGCTCAGTCTCTCCTGCTCTCGCTGTCGATGCGTGATTGGAAAGCATTGCAGCCTCGTCTCAAGCGGCCCTCCTCATCGTCCTTCTCAAGCTGCCGCCGCGCACCCCTGTTCCCCCGGTCCCTGCTCGCCTCAGACGACCGCCCCGGCGCTCGCCTCGTACTCGACGATGTCGGCGAGTGCCCGCTCGAACCGCGCAAAGACGCTCGGACCGAGGTCGGCCTCCGAGAAGGTGGGCCAAACGGTGCGGATGAGGCCGCCGCGCTCGTCGAGGAGGTGGGTCCGACGGCTGCGGGAGAGTCGAGGCCCTCGGTCAGTGAGCCCGTCACGATGTGACTGGGAGAGAGAGAGGAGAGAGGGTCGGGCGTACAAGAGCGGGTCGGTGCGCATGTTGTGCACGAGCGAGATGAGCTTCTCGACCTGGGCGCGCGTCGTCTCGTTCTGCTGGGCGAGGCGTATCGGGAGCACCTTGTCGAGGACCTGGTGGTACGCGACGCCGATGGCGTTGCGGGCGTCGACCATCTTGGACCCAATCTTGGCGTACTCGCGCAGGTCGACGTACTCGTCGGTGAGGAGGACGAGGCGGCTCGTCATCAGGTCTGCGCATCGTTCCACCGCTTCAGTGCTCATCTCGGGAGTGAAAGGAAGAGAGAGAGAGAGGACGCACCGATCCTCGGGCCGAGGCGGTAGGCGTTCTCGAGCGCAAGTCGCCAGACGGCGTTGTGGTTCACGTGCGGGGCGCAGTCGGGCACGCGATGCGGCAGCTTCGGAAGCTGTCGGCGGACGACCTGGCGCGAGAGGAGGGCGAGGTCGTCGGCGGTGACGGGCGGGAGGAAGAGGTTTGCGTTGGGCGCGATCGCCTGGAGGAGCGCGAGTTGGCGGACGAAAGCTCTGCAGGACAGGGCGAGTCAGTGCCACTCTGTCGAAGAGGATAGATGAAGGTGGGCGCACCCCGGGTGCCACTCGAGCTCTGCCGCCGTCTCTCCGACATACCGCCACGGACCCTCCCTCGCCGACTGCATCGCCGTCGACTGCGCAGTACGGCTGGACTTGCTCTCGCTCGGGCCGCCGTCCGAGCGCCGGCGCTTGGCAGCCGATGGCACGAGTGCCGCCGAGTCGTCTTGCCGCTGCGCAGCTTCCGAGGGCGAGCGAGATGCCGGCGGCGTGAGAAGGGGCGAGCGTGGGCGCTTGGTCGGGATCTGGTTCTCGGCGGCGGGCTGCGTCCTGGGCATTACAACGAGGTCGGTCGGCGTGCGAGGGACGTCGAGAGAAAGGTGGGCGCACTGGATGACTTGGATCGCGAAGCCCTGGGACGTGGTCCACTTCTCGACGGTCGTCTCGAGCTGCTCGAACCGGGCGTCGCCGCTGCCAAACTCGCCGATCACGAGCTCGAGCGTCGAGTCCGACACCGTGTTGTCCTTGTCGAGACCGACGTGCAGGGCTGCGACCTCGAGCGTGCAGTGGAAGTCGGCGACGGCTCGAGCACCCGGGCTCGCGAGAAGGTCTGCGGGTGCGTCGGGTCAGTTCGACGCTCCTCTCCCTCGCCGAGGGCTGGAAGAGAAGGATGGACGCACACTTGAACGCCGTGATGTCCTCGGCGAGGACCTGCAACAGGAACTGGCCGCCCCTCGTGACGACGAGCGCCTCATCCGTCACTTCGAGCGCGAGCCCGCCGACCGCCTCCTTGCCCATGCCCTGACGGACGAGCCGGCAGCACTCGATCGACAGCGTCTGCGAGCGACTCGGCGCCTGCGACCCCTCGCGCTCGTCCTGCGTCTCGGCGGCGCGCTGCAGGAAGAGCTCCGCCGCCGCCTGGGCCGCCTGCGGCGACTGGCAGTGCGGGTTGAACTGGACAAGGACCAAGTGCGCGATCGACAGGAGGGTGGGCGAGCCGGGCACAAGGAAGGTGAGGGGGAGGTCGAAGAGAGCTGCGCGAGGGAAAGGTCGGCGGGCGGCTGGCGAGAAGGAGGAGGTCTGGGACGCACGCTCTTCCTGCGAGTCTCGCCTGCTGCTGCTTCTGTACCGCGTCCTGCGCTCGAGGAAGTCGACGTGTGCGCGCTGACGAACGAGCGGGTGGACGTCGAGGCGGAGGGACGCGACGGCGAGTCGTGCGGGCGAGAGCGAGGCGAGGTCGGTGAGGGACACCGGCGCGCGGGTGTCCTCGAGCAGCAGACCGCTGTCGAGCGCGAGCATGTTGGCGCGCGAGCGCACGCGTGCGAGAGTGGAGAAGCGGAAGGGAGGAGTCCGGCGGGCAGCGTGCGGACGGCGAGGAGCGTGGCCAGGACTTTCCGCGGACCTGGGGGAGAGGATGCCGTCTCACTCTCGTCCAGTCGATCCTGAGGAGCCTGGTCCGACGGGAAAGGCGCGCATCTCCAAGGTGAAGCGGCTCCGACGACGACGAGAGAGCGTTTCGCCTCCCCAACTCGCCTTCAGCGCTTTCCTACGCCAAACGATCACGCTGCGACAATCGAGAGACGCCCTGAGAGTGCGTGTCCGTCAGCCGGCGGACGATCGCGAGGAGCGTGCGGACCCGCGCTCAGTCCTCCTTCGCCTTCTCGTCGCCGCTTCGCCGGTCGGGCGAGTCGCGCGCGTTCGACGACGCGCGGCTCTCCTCCGCCCCGTACCCCTCTCTACTGCTGAGCCTTTGCTTCTGCGTGTCGAGCCTCTGGCTGTCGAGCTACACAGCAGACGGTACCGGCGGCTACGGTCGGGCCCGTCCGCGACGTCACGCTCCTCGACCGCCGCTCGGCGCTTCGACCACGCCTCGTCCGGCGACGGCCTGCACTTGCGCCCCACCGCTGCAGCCTGCCCGACATGCGACTCGGTCGACAGCGCACCCGGGTCGAGCGACCCTCGGGCTTCGCTCAGCGCTCCCCTCGCGCTCTGCTTTTTCGGGCGGCTGAGCGGTCGTGCACGAGGTCGCCAGCTGCAGCAGGACGACGACGCGATGCGTCGATCTAGCGCAAAGTGCGAGGCGATCGCTCCAGCATGGCTGTTGTTTGAGCCCGACGCGACGCTCACAACAAGGGGCCCGTCTCGACGCGCGCCGCGTTCCCTGCCTCGCGAGAGGCTGTCCACGCCGACCGAGCCTCGCCCTGCTCCTCCTGCCTCGTCCCTTTCATCGCCTGTCTGTATCTCGACCCGCACGGTACATCAGCTGTACGCGTCCTCGCCGCGACCGTTCGTCCGACCCACCCACACTCGTTCACCCACCGCCAGCTCGCCATCGCGCAGACCGCTCAACCCCGACACTCGTTTAACCTCGCCTCTGCTGCATCATGCGCTCTACCTCCAGCATCCTCTCGGTGGCCGTCTTGGCCGCCGTCGTCCACGCCGGCGGCAGCATCGACAACACGGCTCGGGCGGCTCAGCTCCAGGTGCGCACGATCCGTCCTCTTCCCCTCGTCGAGCTCGTCGATGGCGAACGCGACGCTTACCTCTGTCTCTGCCCTGTCCCTCTTCCGACCTCGCCTTTCGCCCACCATGCCTCACATCCGAACTCGCTCCCTCGTCGGCCTTCCCAAACCGACCATCCTGCCAGGCCTCAGCGTCCACCCTGAGCGGCGCCGGCAACTACGTCTTCACGAACGTCAAGACGGGCAAGTCGCTCGACTTCCCTCGCAACGACGGCACGACCGACTTCTTCCCGAGCGACGGCGCGAGCGCTGTCGCCGTCCAGTTCTTCGGCAACGCCGCGCGCATCTCGGGCGGCAACAACAAGTGCGCCTCGGCGCAGTGGTCGTACGACGTCGAGGGCGGCGTGGACCACGCCGCCGTCTCGTACGCCTGCAAGGTGGGCTCGGGCCTCCTGACCGGCACCGACTCGCTCGAGGAGACCAAGCAGTGGTGCGTCGTCTCTCTCTTTCTCCTTCCTGCGCACGCTCTCTCTCTCGGGCGTGCTACTGACTATGTTCCGCCGCAGGTGGTACATCGTTCCTGCCGGCACGATCTCGGACGACTCGTCGGACGACTCAGCTCCTCCCGCCGACACCTCGAGCGACTCGTCGGACGGCGACGACTCGTCGGACGCCGTCGTCTTTGCCGCGTCGGACAAGACCAAGACGGCTGCCGCCAAGGTCGCCCAGGTCGATACCTCGCCCGTGGTCGACAGCTCTGCGAGCGACGACTCGTACGAGAGCCGAGGCTATTGGACGAGCGCGTCGTCCTCGATCAGCCTCGACGGCGTCGACACGTCCAAGGTCAACAAGCAGGACCGCACGACCTGGGTCTGCCGCCACCCAGGCTGGTGGCTCGCCGACCACCCGGCCTATGTCACCAAGGCCGGCCACGTCGAGTGCGCGTCCGACCTCGAGGCGTACCTCGCCGACCAGAAGCGCACCCGCATGACGCGCCGCTCGCGTCTGTTGCACTCGGACATGGCCAAGAAGCTCGCCAAGAAGGGCCAGCAGACGTTCTTCCTCGTTGCCGTCGACCACATCCTCGTGCGTCTCACCTTCTCAGCTCTTCCGTCTCCCCGCCCGGCATCGAGACCGTTGCTCACCTCTCTCCGAGCCCCCGCACAGGACATGGCGACGCGCGCCATGGCGCACGAGCCCGTCGCGACCGTTGGCGGCTACATGTCCACCCGGCTGAGTCTGTGGGACGAGGTGCGCCGTCTCTTTCTCTCTCCTTACCGTCGCGCTCGTCAGTCCTGACAAGCTCGTCGACTCGCAGAGCAATGACGGCCAGCTCTGGACCATCTCGCCGGCGTAAAAGTTGCGCTCGAACCTCTTCCGCCCCCTCCCTCCCCGCTCCTCCTACAACCTCGAGCGACTTCCTCTTTCTACCGCCGCTCGTCGTCCTCGTCGCCTACACCTTCACGCTCTGCGGCGACGTCCAGGATGCCCTCGACTCCCCTCCACGCCCCTCACGTCCGCCCTCCTCGATTCGCCCTCTCCTCGCGCACTTGTGGCAGCCGGCGAACCTCAACCTGTCCCTTGTCCGGAACCTCCTCTCGATCTCTGTACCCGTCTTTCGCAAGTCATCCCCCTCTCTCGTAACGTCGAGAACTGTGGGCCGTGCGCCGCTTCTCGACGTGCCTCTCCCTCTCGCACCTCGCCCTCGCCTTCCCTCGCACGTCGTCTCGTCCTTGTTCTTGTCTCGCGCCTTGTACAGGTCTATGGGGCTGTCACTAGTTGCTATCACCACGTATTCGAGCTCTCGCTGGTTCGTCCCGAGCTGAGCGAGAGAGAGACAGAAGCGACGGCGAGAGCGTGCGAGGCCTGAGCGCGTGTCGCCCTGCGTAGTTCGCCGGAACTCGTCGAGCGGTCCACACAGACTCGAGCTCAAGCTTGTATTTGTATGTATGTACAGGCGAGCGCGACAACGCCGTCCGCGTGCGGATTGGCAATGTCAGAATTCGGCCGAAGCGGCCATTTCAAACCCGTGAGCGCTTGTCCTCGGCGACGGCGGAAGCTCCGTCCCTCTCGCCTCACGCCACTCCATGCTCCTCAGGGCCATCGCGACGCTCGGACACAGCCTTGCCGCCGTACACACGATCCGCACCGCCCTCGTCGCCCGCCCCTTTGCCATGACTGCGACTCTCGCCGCGTCGTCGTCCTCGACCGCCTCGAAGGCGACCAGCTCCGTCACGGCCGCATCGCTCGACACGCTCGCCCCGCACGAGGTCGACTCGCTGTACCGGCCCTTCCTCGCGACCAAGAACGCCGCCGACGAGCCCGACTGGACGGCACACCTCGAGCTCGACACGGTGCGGCAGATGGTGCGCGACGCGAGCGAGCAGCGAGGGCAGCCGCCGATCAAGGTCCTCGTCCTCTACGGTTCTCTGCGAGAACGGTGCGTCTCCCTCCTCTCGCGAGCGCACGCACCGCAACGAGGAGCTGACCTCGCTCGTCCGCTCGCAGGTCGTTCTCCCGTTTGACCGCGTACGAGGCCGCGCGCATTCTCGCTCTCGCCGGCGCCGACGTGCGCGTGTTCGACCCGACCGGGCTCCCGATCAAGGACGGCGTCTCGGAGAAGCACCCGAAGGTGCTCGAGCTGCGCGCGCTCAGCGACTGGTCCGACTCACACTTCTGGGTCTCGCCCGAGCAGCACGGCACCATCACGGCCGTCTTCAAGAACCAGAGTGCGTCCCTATGTCACTGTCTTTGTCCCTCGCCGAAAGAAGGCGTGAGCTTACGACCCTCGAGTGCGCGCAGTCGACTGGATCCCGCTCTCGGTCGGCTCGGTGCGGCCGACGCAGGGGCGCACACTCGGCATCTGCCAGGTCAACGGCGGCAGCCAGTCGTTCAACACGGTCAACGTGCTGCGGCAGCTCGGCAGGTGGTGTCGCATGTGGACGGTCCGTCTCTCTCTCCCTCTCGCCTCTCGACGGTCTCTCTCGACCCGCACGGACTGACCCTGCCCCGCCCCCTGCCCTCGTGCGACGCAGATCCCGAACCAGTCGTCGATCCCGAAGGCGTGGACCCAGTTCACGTCGTCGGACCGGCTCATGCCGTCGTCGAACCGGGACCGGCTCGTCGACGTGTGCGAGGAGCTGGTCAAGGCGACGCTCCTCCTGCGACCGTACGTCGACCTCCTCGGCGACCGGTTCTCGGAGCGCGAGGAGAAGCGCGAGCACGGGCGGTTGAGGACGCAGGCAGAGACCGAGGCGGCCAAGAAGGCGAGCGAGGAGGAGAAGCGGAAAGTCGACGAGCAGGCGAAGCGAGGGTCCGAGGTCGCATGAGCGGTCGTCGTAGAGGTTTGTATTGACATAGATGCACTCGTGACCGTGCGCTGGTCGCAGCAGCGCGAGTGAGAGCGAGAGCGGACTGAGCAGGTTCGGCGAGCAGCAGGCGAGCCGAGAGCTCGACCCGTTGCGACTGAGTCTAGGTGTGGACTCAAAGCTAGCCAAGAAGCTCTGTGCGCAGCTGCGCCGCACGGACTAGCCAGAGCGGAGGCGGCGAGAGCGTCGGCGTGGTTCGAGGAGGAGGAGGAGGAGGAGAAGGGGCAGCTCACCTCCCTCCCTCCCCACCCAGCCTCACGAGAACTAGTGAGCACCGACTGCCTCGTTCGAGACGCATGCAGGACCCCGTCGCTGACTCTGTCGCCTCCCCTCCGCGCAGTGTCGGGTCGTCGTCTCTACGTTGGTCGCATCCCGCAGCAGGCCTCGCGCGCCGACTTTGAGCAGCACTTTGGTGCGGTTGGCCGCCTCGTCGACATCCGCATCATGGCTGGCTTTGCCTTCCTCGAGTACGAGTCGCTCAGGGTGCGTCGCCGTCGTCTTCCTCGCGTCGCCCTCCCCCCGCCGCCCACTTTCCTGACCCCGTCCCCTCTCCCTACCGGTGCGTGTGCACTCGCAGGATGCCGAGCAGGCCGTCGCCGACTTCAACAACCACGACTTCTGCGGCGAGCGGTGCGTCGTCGCTCCTTTCCCTCCCTCCTCGCCCTCTTGCCCCCCTCGATCACCGTGTGGAGGTGCCGAGCTGAACTGTCATTCGCCTGCAGCATCCTCGTCGAGTTTGCCAAGCCGCCTCGCAGCATGATGGACGACCGGTACGTCCCACTTCCTCCCGCCTCTCCCCCCTCGCCCGTGCTGACCGTCCAGTCGCGAGCCCAGTTTCGGCGGCCCTCCTCGCGGTGCGCCGTACGGTGGCGGATACGGCGGTGGATACCCCGGCGGTCCCGGTGGCTACGGTCCCCCGGGCGGCCCGGGCGGGTACGGCGCGCCGCGCGGCTTCGACCGCCCTCCTCGTCAGAGCGGCTACCGCCTCACGATCTCGGGCCTCCGTGAGGGCACTACGTGGCAGGTGCGTCCCTCGCTTCCTCTCTCTCTCTTTCTTGGTGTCCGAGTCGAGTTGGCGTGGGCAGGCGGGAAAGAGCGATGCGGCGCGAGGAGCTCGAGAGCAGGCGGGCTGATCGAGCCAAGGAGGTGCAGCTCACGTCGTCGATTGGGCGGCGTGAGGGCATGGCGTCGACCTCGGTGGGCGTCGTCGCTGCGGCTGGTTGAGGACAGGCGACGAGGCTCGTCAAGCTGGAACCGGCGCCGTGGTCGTCGCCGGGTCGTTCCTGTCGGAATGGCGTCGTCTCAAGGACCTGTCGTTCTCGTGCGCTCGTCGGGCGTGGACGTCGCCATGGGCTCGCCGAGGTCGTCTTTGGCTGTCGTCGCTCGCCGATTCGGGCGCGCAAGCCTCGTCGTCGTAGGACCGGGTCACTGATCGTCGTCGTCCGCGGTTCGTCACCTATAGGAGATCAAGGACTTTGGCCGCCTCGGCGGCAACGTCGGCTTTGCCGACGTCGACCGTCGCGACCCGACCATCGGGTGCGTCCCCGCTCGCTCCCTCGTCCGGCTAGCCGGAGCCGCCCTGACCCAGCCTCTTCCCCTCGCAGCTTCATCGAGTACTCGTCGCGCTACGACGCCGAGGAGGCGATCCGCAAGCTCGACGGCACCGAGCTGAACGGTGCCGTCGTCGCCGTCAAGGACGAGGTGCGCCCACATTTGCCGCCCCTCACATCGACCTCTCGCCCTCGCTTACCCCGCCTCTTTCGCGCTCGCAGTCCGGCGGTGCCTCGGGCGGCCGCGATGCCGCTCCTCGCGGTGACGAGGGCTACTCGCGCGGTGGTCGCGACCGCTACGACGAGCGCGACTCGCGCCGCCGCTCGCCGTCGCCTCGCCGTCGCTCGCCGTCGCCCCGCCGCTCGCGCAGCCCGGCGCCCCGCCGCCGCTCGCCGTCGCCTGCGCCGGTCGAGCGCGAGCGTGAGCGTGAGCGCTCGCCGGTCCGCGACAGGAGCCGCAGCCGCAGTCCGCGTGGCTACCGCGACTGAACGCGCGACGAGCGGTCGATCGGGTCGAGGAGGAGGCGGTTGTCGTTGGAAAAGTGGGCCCGCTTGTGTTGCAGGGACCTATCGATGTGCAACTCGAGCCAGCTTGTTTCTGTCTGTCTGTCTGTCGTTCTGCGAGCTGCAACCGAGAGATTGTGCGCCCCTCTGCCTCTCGCTGCTCCCTCGTCTCGCTCACCATGTTCGACCCGGTACGGCGGCTCGTCAGTGGGCGCAAGGCCCGCCTCGAGGACGATGACTTCTCGCTCGACCTGGTCCAGCTCACCGAGCGGTGCGTCGCCGTCTCGCTCGTCCTCCTCTCCCCGCGCCGTCATCTCACTCGAGCACACGCGCAGCATCGTCATCATGGGCTTCCCGGCAGAGGGAGCAGCCGCCCTGTACCGCAACCCACGGTGAGCCCCCAAGTCCCTCCACACAGCGCCGAGTCCACGCTCGCGCGACCGCCAGCTCCTCCTCCCCCACTCGTCCTCCTCGTTCCCGAGGTCACCTTCCTCGCCCAGCGCGTCCCTCCCTTTCCAGCTCCAATCCTTCACAGCCTCAAATGGGTATGCGCTGACCCGTACCCGCACCCACAGATCCGACGTCCAGCGCTACCTCGCCCAGCATCAAGGCCACTACCGCATCTTCAACCTGTGCCCTCGCTGCGAGAACTCGTACGACGCCGCCCACTTTGACGGCGAGGTGCGGCGGTTCCCGTGGCCAGATCACCACCCGCCACCTTTGAGCCTCGTCCCGCTCATGGTCGCCGAGGCGAGGAGCTGGTACGACGAGGACGAACGCAACGTCGTCGTCGTGCACTGCAAGGTGCGTCCTGCTCGTTCCCGATCTGTTGACGAGCCGACCTGACATCTCTGTTCGTGCACGCAGGCTGGCAAGGGCCGGTCTGGTACCTTCGCCCTGTCGCTCCTCCTCGCCCTCCCCGGCCTACCCTCGGCACCGGCGCTCAGCAGCAGCGACAGCAGCAGCTCGACGCCGGCCAAGAGCGACAAGGACGCCGTCTACGGTCCGCTGGACCCGCGAGCCGTCCTCGGCAAGTCGAGCGGCGACATCTCGTCCCTGTCCCTCCAGGACAAACTCGAGTGCGTCCCTCTGCTCCCTCGCCGCGTCCATACCGTCGACCTGACCATCGAGACCCACAGGTACCTCCTTCGCTTCCACACGCTTCGCCGCATGGCGCCCGGCGCCAAGAGCTACGGCGTCAGCATCGCGAGCCAGCGCCGCCTCCTTGGCTATTGGGCCCGACTACTCGGCGGCGACGACCCTCGGCGAGCGGCGAGTGAGGGAGGGCGCCGGGTCGTGCTCGAGTACGTCAAGGTGAGCGGCAAGGGCGTGAGTGGTCTGGGCAAGCTGGCGGCAGGAGGGAGCGACCGCATCGCGATTCAGGTGCGTCCCCTCGCTCGGACCCTGTCTTTCTCTCTCTCTCTCTCGAGGCCGCACTGATACCTCGGCCGCCATGCAGGTCCACCGCTACAAGAACTCGATCGAGGCGTCTTTGCGCGCCAAGGAGCTCGCCCTCTCGTCGACCGCGCCACCCGAGCGCTTCGACGATTCGGCATGGGACGACCGCGACGACATGATCGTGCTCGCCGGCGGTCTCGTCGAGAGCTCGTCGCCCGGCCCTTCCTCGCCGAGCACGCCTGCTCGCGCATCGTCGCCGCCGAGGGCAGGCGCGGGCGGCCGCAGGAGCGAGGACGCCGCCACGCCTCGGAGCGGGACCTCGACCGCCTCGGCCTCGACGGCGAGCCTCCCGACGATCGTGCGCGCGACGCCCACCTCGTCCATCTCGGACGGCGGCGACGACGACGACGGCGAGGCCGGGCTCCCGCCGCCGTCCGGCACGCACGCCCAGGTCGAGTCGGAGCCGGCGGCCGCTCCGCCTCGCGTGCGCGTCCTCGTGCCCGACGCGGCGTACCTCGCGCCGGACTCGGACGAGCGGCGCGCGAAGGACGAGGCGAGGAGCGTGGCAGAGAGGGACGGCGGGATCGTGCTCGACGCCGAGCGCGAGGTTCAGCTGCGGTTCCTGCTCGGCAAGACGGGCGACAAGCACGCCAGGCTCAGCGCTATGGTGAGCCCGCTCTCTTTCTCTCTCTCTCCCTCCTCTCTGCGTGCCGCGACTGACGAGGGACGCCCGCTCGCAGGCCGCACTTGCACTCACGTGGTTCGTCCCCGTCTTCGAGGTCGACGGCGCCGAGGCCGGCCAGCAGAGCAAGGTCGTCATCAAGGGCAAGGACCTCGACTTCCGCAAGCCGTTTGCCGGCATTGACGAGGTCGAGATCGGGTGGCGGTGGCTCTGAGAGGAGCACGGGCGGTCGCTGTAGAAGAGGTGGACGAGGGAGGGATTGTATTGCCAACTGCGCCTCGCTACTCGTCCCGCCACCGCGCAAAAACTGCTCGCTCGATGCCCCATGGGTCCCGCACCACGTCCGTCTCGAGCTTCGCGCAGTCTGCCGCCCGCCAGTCCCGCAAGAGCCGCTCGACAGCCCTCGCCTGCCCTTGCCCGACCTCGAACGCGACGACGGGCGCCGAGCGCGGTGCACGAGAGCGCGCCGCGAGCAGCTCGTCGAGGAGCGAGACGATGCGCCGGTAGAAGACGAGGCCGTCGTCGTCGTCGGCGGCGGCGGCGCCTTGTGCCCGAGCCCGCCCGTCGCCACGCTCTTCGCCCTCGCCGACGAGCGCGCCTCGGTCCTCCCACGCTCGCACGCTCGGGTCGAGCTCGACGTACTCGGCCCGAGTGATGTACGGCGGGTTGCTCACGACGAGGTCGAAGCCGTCGCCGTCGGTGAGCGCGGCGGCGAACGACGGCGAGAACAGGTCGGCCTCGCGGACGGCGACAACGTCCGAGAGCGACTGGCGCGCCGCGTTCTCTGTTGCGAGAGCGAGCGCGGTCGGGGCGCGGTCGACGGCGGTGCACTGGACGGCGCGGTCGGCCGAGCGGAGGTGCGCCGCGAGGGCGAGGGCGATGCACCCTGAGCCCGTCCCGATGTCGAGGAGCCGGAAAGGCGGCGCGGTGGGAGCGCTCGACAGCGGCGGCGAGGAGGAAGTGAGGATGCGGGAGGCGAGGTGCGAGACCCAGTGCTCGGTCTCGGGGCGCGGGATGAGGGTGGGAGGGCGGACGAGGAGCGGGAGGACGAGGGGGTGGAACGGCTGGGTGCCTGTGCGTGCAAGCTGGTCAGTCGGTCCTCAATGGGGTACCCGAGAGAGTCGAGGGGACGTACCGAGGACGTAAGCCAGGGGCTTGTCGCCGTTGACCATGTGGGCGACCATGCGCTCGAGGACCGTGTGCCACTCGTGGCCTCGCTGCTCGCGAGCGGCCTCCTCGAGCCACTTTAGCTCCTGCACAGCTTGCTCATGGCAGTCTGGCGCGGCGGCCGGGTGGGCTTGTCGCTCGTAGTAGGCGGCGAGGCGGCGTGAGAGGGCGGAGCGGAGTGTGTCGGCGCTGGATGACGACGGCCTCGCTCGGGCTTGTGAAAGTTGGTGACGGGAGCGAGTCGATGTGGCACGGTACAGCGACCGCCACAAGTGCGCCAGGGTGGCTGTGGCGAGACGGAGCGGTTGAGACAGATGAAGAAGGCTCGGCCGCTCCTCCCTCTCCTCCCGACCAGCTCCCGCTCTCCGACTGGAGCTTGCAGAGCACGTCGAGCCTGCGCTATAGGCTGCGCGTGCAGTCGCCGCCCTCGTCCGACGCCCGCATCCTCGCCCCGCCTCGCCTCGCCCGACTCGCGCCCCTCCTCTCGACACTCGACGACTCGACAACGCTGAGCACGCCGTGTGCGCCGTCGAGGTGCTTGTCCATGCATGTGCAACCGCGCCGGGTTCAGCCAGCCATTGCTCCTGCGTTCCTTGGTGCGTCCCGCAAACTCTCTCCTCCTCCCCTTCCCTCTCCCTGCGTGCATCAGCTAACCAACACATTCCCCTACAGATCTGCTGGCACAAGGTCTCTTGCACCGCTCTCTTGACCGAGCAGGCCCGTAGCGGCGGCTCTCCTGCTGCTGCGGCCCCGGGTTGACGGCTGCTTGAGCGACCCGAGGGCTCGTTCGCAGTTGCGACGGCCCTTGCAGGTACCGCCCTCGCTGGATGCGGATGCACACACCCTCAAAGGCTCGCACTCTTGCCCGCTGCGACGCACCCGTGCCGCAAGCCGTCAGCTGGCTCTCGCACGGGCCATCACGCTCAGAGCGGCCTTGCCAACTTTCCCTGCTGTGCAGCGGCTGCTCCGCCTCGAGTTCATGCTTCTCGTCTCGTCGCTGCGGACAGAGCCACTGTTCGCTTTCGCCGCGGTGAGCGCTCCTGGGCGCGACTCGCGTGTGCACGCGAGCGGATCCTGTGGCTCGACGAGGAGAGCCGGCAGCGTACGTCGCGTTAGCGAGGTCTCGCCCCCGAAAGCCGGTAGGCGTCTGCTTGGACTTTCGGAGTATCATGTACTGCAATGTCGAGGTGCGAGAATTGGCGAGACCCCTTGGGCGCGTCGCGGTCGCGGCGGAGTTCCCCTCGAGAGCTCGCTCGCGAGAGAGGTGCTCGCCGCCCGCCCCTCACTCGCCTCTCGAGTCAGTGAGCGTGAGCGCCAGACCAGCTCGCGCAGCTCGCTACGCGCCACCACCCACCGCTCATCACACGCGCCTCCCGTCGTGACGACCCGACCCGACTCGCCCGACTCGCTCCTCCACGCCGCGCCTCCTCGCCTCTCGCCCACCCGGCCCAGCCCAGCCCAGCATGGACGCCGTCACGACTGCTGCTGCAGAAGCAGGCGAGTACGTCTCGACTTTCGACCCCAACGACAAGTACATCGGCCTCGCCCTCGCCGTCTCGTCCAGCGTCGCGATCGGAACCTCGTTCATCATCACCAAGAAGGCGCGTCCCTGGCCCCACTTTGCCCACCCAGTATCCACGAGGAGCATGCCTGACCTCCTGACGCGCCATGCAGGGCCTCATCAGCGCGGCAGACGCGCACGACGGCTTCGCGAGCAGCTCGTACAGCTACCTCCGCAACAGCCTGTGGTGGGCCGGCATGCTCACGAGTGAGTCTGCAGTCCCTCTCTATAGCGCACGAGGCGAGCGCGGGTCATGCTGGGCCGTCGCAGGCCTGGTCCGGCGCCGACTTGTTGCAGGAGGTGCAGGCGCGCGAGGGCCCGGCCAACCTGCAGCAGGACCCAAACTGACTGAATCTTCTGCCTCCCACGCTCGCAGTGGTCGTCGGAGAAGGTCCGTCTCCATTCCCGCTCTGCAGGACGAGGTGCCGCCGTCGGTCCGCACGCCCTCTCTGACCCTGTCCTCCTCGCGCAGTCGCCAACTTTGCCGCCTACACCTTTGCGCCGCCAGCCCTCGTCACGCCTCTCGGCGCCCTGTCGGTCCTCGTCGGCGCCGTCCTCGCCGCCATCTTCCTCGGCGAGCGCCTCGGCAAGATTGGTATCGTCGGGTGCTCGCTGTGCCTCGTCGGCAGCCTCGTCATCGTCCTCCACGCGCCCGAGGACAAGGAGATCAACACGGTGGACGAGATCCTCGAGTACGCGTTGCAGCCAGGTGCGTCCCTCTGCCTTGCCCTGCTCGAGCAGCAGACCCGACCTGACAACCTTATTCTCGCGCGCAGGCTTCATGTTCTACTGCTTCTGCGTTCTCGTCTTCTCCCTCTACATGATCCACATCGTCGCCCCTCGACACGGCAACTCGAACCCGCTCGTCTACATCTCGATCTGCTCGCTCGTCGGGTCCGTCTCGGTCATGGCCGTCAAGGGATTCGGCGTCGCCCTCAAGTTGACGTTCGCCGGCAACAACCAGCTGTGGCGCGCCGGTACCTGGATCTTTGCCTTCACCGTCGCCGGCTGCATCGCGGTCCAGATGAAGTACGTCGCCGACTCGTTCCTCCTCCCGCCTTGTCAACCGAGACGACGTCTCTCGGCGCCGATCCAGCCACTGACGCCCGTTCTTCCGTCGCGCAGCTACTTCAACAAGGCGCTCGACCTGTTTCCGACGACGTGCGTCCCTTTCTCCTCACCCTGCGCCATCGTCACCCAGCCGCGACCACCCTTTTCTCGCCTTCTTCCCTCGCCCGACGCCGATTTCCCAGGCGCAGGGATCCGCCGCACCGATCCGTGGTACCTTCACAGATAACTGACATGCTTTGCCCTTCCCACTCGTCACTCTGCAGCGTCGTGTGCGTCAACCCTTCTCCCCATCCTCGTCGCCTCCCTCTTTCGCTCTCTGCGTCTCACTGACTCTCTCTCGCGACCTCGCTCTCGTCCACAGCAACCCGATGTACTTCTCCTTCTTCAGCACGGCAACCTTGATCGCGAGCGTCATCCTCTTCCACGGTCTCGGCACGACCGGCGGCGTCAACACGTTCACCCTCTTCTGCGGCTTCTACACCATCTCGATGGGCGTGTACCTCATCGTGCGTCCCCTCTGTCTCTCCTCGACGCAGAGGCGCAGAGAACGGCGACAGACCCTGAAGCGCGCCCGCAGAACCTGTCGCGGTCCGTCTCGGACGCCGACGCCTCTCGGCGGTACTCGTCGGCCGCCGCGCGGCACTCGCTCCTGCAGGACACGCGCATCTCGCTCACGTCCGACTCGGGGCACGGGCACCACGCGCAACCGGACGCGCGGCGCAGCGCGACGCTGTACCGCGCCGGCGGGCTCACGACGGGCGGCGTCGAGCCCTTGTTCGACTACGAGGACTCGCCCGTCGAGGCTGCGCACGCGCACGGCAAGTTTGAGGACCGCGACCAGGGGAGGCGGCGCGGCGAGACGGCGGTCCAGATGGAGCACTTTGCGCTCGCCAACGACCACGACGGCAGCGACAGCGAGGGCGAGGGCGAGGGTGGGCGAGGCGGCGGCGGTGGCGGCGGGTACAGGAGGTGAGGCGGTCTCGCTGTCGGGCTAGAGCGAAGCGCACACGAGTAGAGACGGCGTGCATGTGATACCCCTGTTCCGCTGTACTCTCTTTGGGCGCCGGCGCCGGCGCCGGCGAAGCTCTCGAGAGGGGAAAGGACGAGGCTCTCGGAAGCAGTGAGGGCGATCGCGAGTTGCAGTTCTGCGTCTACGACAAGGTCTAGGACACCTCTGCTCGTGCGAGACGTCGAGCGCGCCACTCGTCGAGGACCGAGCGCAGGTCGACGTCGAACGTGAGCCGCTCGAGGACGGCATCCTCGCTCATGCCGCTCCCAACCGACCCGAGTCGCACGTCGTCGAGCGCCGGGAACGCGTCGAGTGCGGCGACGAGCGCGGTGACGCTCGTGCGCTCGCGAGGCGCGACGAGCGACGTGAGGGCGAGGCGGCGCAGGTGCCGCAGCGAGCCGAGCGCGCCGAGTGCGCCGACGACGTCGCCGAGCGGCGTCTCGAGCGCGAGGACGCGCAAGCGAGGACACGTCCTCGCGACGTCGTGCGCGAGCGCGTCGTGCCGCGTCACCTTGTCGGCCGTCGTCGTGCGCAGGACCTCGAGCCGGGCGCCGCCGACGGCGTCGAGGAGCTCGACGAGCGCGCCGGGCTCGAGCTGGTGCTCGCGCAGGTTGAGGCTGCGCAGCGAACCTGCGACGACGGTGCGGCCGAGCGCGGCGAAGACGTAAGGCGCCGAGAGGCGCGCGCTGCGCACGAGGGCGAGCTCGAACGAGTCGAGGGCCCACGGGATCGGCTCGTCGCCGTCTCGACCGCGGATGCGGGCGTCGAGGTTGAGGCGGCGCAGGTGGGGCCAGTAGGGGGCGAGGGCGGCGAGGTCGCGGCGCCACCACTGGGCGACGCCCCACTCGTCGAGGACGGCGACGTCGACGTTGACGACCCACGGGTCGGCGAGCGCGGCGCCCTCGCCGATGGTCAACGTGTCGAGGAGGGCGAGGCGGCGCAGGGCGGCGAGGAGCGCGGCCTTGTCGGCCTGGACGACGAACGGGAGCGAGAGGGTGCGCAGGGACGGGCACCGGGCGACGAGGCGCACGGCGACGCGCGACACGAGGCGACGGTCGACCTTGGCCTCGGTCTGGCACCGCACCGTGTACTTGCCCGCGTCGAGGGCGAGCACGCCCCGGGCGAGGTCCGGGCGCGCGTCGAGGGTCGCGACGAGGTGCTCGAGGCGGGCCAAGGTGCGAGGCGGGACGCGGTCGGGCGCGTCGAACGAGAGCCACGGGTCGCGGTACAGGGCGTGCTGGGCTGCGGTGGACCAGGTGCGCGAGACGAGGGCGAGGGAGCGGAGGGTGGTCGACGCGATGCCGGGAGGAAGGTCGAGGGCGGCGTCGCACACGAGCTGGCAGACGTCGTGCGGGAGGTCGAGGGGCGGTGGTGCTCGGCTCTGGTGTCGCTGCTTGGGCGTCGGAAGAGGTACAGGGCGAGGGGAACGCGAGGCGAGGTGGTCGGGTTGAGGTGGGGGGCGAGGGCGCGGAACAAGGTCAGGGAAGGCGTGCGAGGGATACGGGCGAGTGTGTGCGCACCTCGAGGTTGTTCATGTCGGTGTCGGTGCTCTGGCGAGGCTCTGCTGGACCTGCTGGGTTGCTGTCGCGAGGAAGGATCGCCCGAGGTCGAGCGCCGGCGGTTCGGGTCGAGGAGAGCGAGAGCGACACGGCGTCTGGTCGAGCGACTTGGCACAGGAAGGTGTTCTAGCCGGCTAGAAGAGCAGGTCTGCAGTGGTCGAAGCTGCGCGGAGCGAGCTGAGCCGTGTCGAGCGAGGCCGACTCGGCGCGACCACGATGGTCACGCTTCTTCCTCTTCTACACAGCGCGCACCTCTGTGAGTACTCGACAGACTCTCGCACTGGCTATACACCACCCTCTGACCCTTGACCTGGCCATAGCAACGCGTCCTCCCCTCTCTTCATCGACTCGCCTCCTCATCAGCCAAACCCACGGCCTCTCCTCTATCACTCGCCGGGTCACGCCTGCTGCGCTCCGCACAAGCCGGCATGGACCCTCGAGGCGTCACCTAGACCCTCTCGCCCCCGGCGCACCCTCCTCGTCCACCCCACCCTGTAAGCCCGCCTTCCCTCGTCTCCCCTCCCTCGCGTGCTCTCTTTGTCGCATCAAGCTGACCTGCCACCTCCTACCTCTGCAGCCATCTATTCGTGCATCATGCCGCATCATCCGTGACCAACCTCGTCCGCCCCGCGTCGACCTCTCCCTCGTCCTCGTCCTCTCGTCGATCTCCCGTCAGCCTCGTCGTCCATCAGCCGGGCTGGCGGCTCCAGCCGCACCTCGTCGACCTGACCGACGCGCCACTTCCTCGGCCTCTCTCCTTCTCGACCACCTGCACCTGTCCAGCGCCGGTCGCCGCGCGCCCGCCTCGACCTCGTCAGCGCGCGCACGACCTGCACCCGCACCCTTGTGCGCACCGAGCCGCTGCGCCAGCCCGACATCCTGCTCGACCAAGTCACCCGCGACAAGCTGTTGCGCGTGACGAGCGCGGCGCCGGGCAGGTCGTCGCTGAGCAGGTCGTCGCCGAGCAGGTCGTCGCCGAGCAAGGACGGCTCTCGTCAGCCCGGCGCGCACGACCAAGGTGCGCCCGTGCCGCCCGCCCGCTCGTCGAGCGTCATCCGCCTGACGCGCCCGGGCGCGACAACCTCCTGTCGTCTCGCCGAGTCGAGCGAGCGCCGCCGGCGCCCACCGCCGTCGCCGTCTCGCGCATGTCACGATCGGGCCCGTCCTTGTCCGCTTGCCGCACTACGACGGCCTCGCGCTCGTCGCCGCTGAGCGAGCCGGGCGCGCAGCCGCAACCGCACGCGCGGCACGACCCGGCGCTATCCCTCTTTCTCCTCGAGCGCTCGCCTTCCCCTTCCTCCCAACGCATCCCTCCTGCCGCCGCCCTCCTCCTCCTCCTCGCATTCGCCCTCGTCGCGTCGACGACCTGACCATGCCCTCGACCGGCAAGGACGACGTCGAGCTGCGCGGCGGCGGGCACGAGTGGCGGACGCGGCAGCGGGCGGCGGCGGCGGCTCTCGTTGGACACGGCGGCGGTACGAGGGCGCTGAGTGGCGGCGACGGCGAGAGAGGGACGTGCGCTCGTCGAAGCGAGGGTTGCAGTGCTCGATGTGCGACCACGACGTCGAGCCCTTGTGTTTCCGCTTGAGCCCTCTTCCTCGAGAGGGCGAGCGAGAGATGACAGCTTCGCCGCTCCCCGCCTCTCTCGCGCGCTCCGGTCGATCAAGGCGAGGCTTTCGACGCTCTCGTGCTCCTGTCTGCCCCGCTCAGGAGGCGCCGCGGTGTGTCCGTCGCTCGGTCGCCGTTCCGGTCCGCCTCCCCTGTCCGCCTCGCTCCTCTTCTCTTCCTCCTCCGCCCCGCCTCACACTCGCCATGAGCGCGCTCGACAAGGCGCTCTTGCGCGAGGACCTGTCGGCCCCTGTGCCCATCGCCAGCCTCGCCTCGCTGTCGCCCGCCCAACTCGCCCTCGCCAGCCTCCGGCCCGACCTCGACTTCCTCACCCGCCAGCGCGCCTATGTCGAGTTCCTCGTGCGCCGGAGCGTCTACCGCAAGAGCACTCAAGGCGACTCGGACAAGCAGCGTGCGTCCTCGCCCTCGCTCCTCCCTCCCTCCCTCCCGCCTCGCCGACTCACGCTCCTCCTTCCCTCGCCGCAGCTCTCCTCGAACGCCCGCTCGACTTTGACCGCCCTGCCTCGCCCTCAACCCTGTCGATCCCGGACCTCCTCCTCCTCCAGTTCAACCCGTCGTGCACCTCGGCGCACGAGGTCGACGCGGCGCGACAGCTCTTCTTCCGGCGAGCGCGCGACCTGCACGTCGAGGACGAGGCCGAGCGCCAACGGGCCCTGCGGAGCCTACGCGTCGAGCGCTCCGACCTGCTGTACGCCGGCGGCGTCCCGTCGTTCGCCCGAGGGCTGTCGCTCGAGGTCGAGGACCATGCGCTCGTCCTCTGGCGCCCGGGCAAGGTCATGATCAAGGTCCAGTCGCAGCACATCACGAGCTTGGACTGTGCGTCTTTCTCTCTGTCGTCAAGGCCTCCTTCTGTACATGCGACTGACCCTCGCATCCTGCAGACGCGACGACGGTCGACAGCAACGCGAGCGAGAACGACACGGACTGCGTGCTCAAGGTCAACGCGACGCAAGCTTCCCTCGCCGGCGACCTCCCTGTCCACAACGTCGACCTCAAGGTCCAGCTCGAGCGTGTCGGCGCGTCGAACCCGTGCTTCGAGAAGCTGCGGTCGTCCGGCCTGAGGTGGAGCGCCGTCGGAGCCTTTCCGGTCAACCTCGTCGAGTGCGTCCGCCTTCTCTCTCTCTCTCTCTCTCGTGTCGAGGAACGTCGCCCTGACTCTCCTTCTCGATACAGGACGCGCATCACGCGAGGTCAGCCTGCCGCCGTCCCTCCCTACCCGACCCCGCCAACTCGCGCCATGTCCCTCCCCGACGCCTCGCGCGACGGCAGCCCGACGCAGTGCCGCTCCACGACCGCCATCTCGCCTGAATCCTCGTCGACTAAGCGCCTGTCCACGTCGGACGAGCCGCAGCAGCAGCAGAACAAGCGCTTCCGCACGGCCGAGTCGGTCGAGCGGGAGAAGAACGAGGGCCTCTGGCGCTTCGTGTCCGACACGCCCGAGCACTCGAGCTGGCACCCTGGGTGCGTCTCTCGTCCTCTCTTTCTTCCGACTTTGAGCGGCCAACACCTGACGTCGCCCTCGTGCTCGCAGCCACCTCGTCCGCCAGCACGCCCTTTTGCGCGCCATCATGCCGAGCGAGCCGCGAGCGTTCCCCGACTTTCGCCTCGACGAGCTCGCCCTCCTGTCGCACGCCGTCGCACCCGCCTCGCTCCCGGTGATCCCGCTCGACGCGCCGGTGCTCGACCCGTCGATCAAGCACAATCCGCATGAGCGGCTCGCGCTCGAGCACATCTACCGCGGCGTGCAGCGTCTCAGTACGTCCACTCTCTCTCTCTCTACAGTCTGCCGGCACCCGGTCGAGCGGCGACTGACTCGCACGCTCGTGCGCAGGCCTCGACATGACGCGGCTCGTCCTCCTCACCGACTCGTTCCCCCACCTTCAGCTGTACGCCCAAAAGGTCGCCAAGCTGAGCCTCGCCAGGAACGCCGTCCAGGAGGCGTACGACACGGTCGTCCTCGACCTCGAGCAGCGCGTCGCGGGGAAGGAGACGGACGACCCGGTCGAGAGCTTGCTCTACTCGGTCCGCAAGATGCGGGACTCGGTCGACTTGTGCGTCCTCGGCCTCTCCCCTTCCTCTCAGCGTCCTCGCGACTGACTCGATCTCGTCGACCCCGACCACAGCTGCCGGCGCCACTTCTACCACGACGGCGCCCTCGTCCGCACGGTCCCGCCGTCTCTCACCGCCTTCAGCATCGGCAAGGGCCCGCTGCAGCGCTTCGAGGCGGCGCTCAGGGACATCGTCTCCTACGAGGAGGTGGCAGGGGCGATTGGCTGAGGTGCGGTGGCGAGCGGGACGAGGCTTGGAGGAGGAGGGCGGGGCTCGACTTGAGAAGGTCGTCGACTGCATCGTTCTGCTTGCGTGACGGTGGCTCTCGCCTGCGCACCGCGAGAGAGCGAGAGTTGCTCGATCGACACCGCACCGACGGCTTGCAGAGAGCCTCGAGAATGGTGCGGCGAGAGCGAAAGCGGCGGATGGGGACAAGCTTCGGCGCTTCGGCCTCGAGCACACGCTGCACGCACCGCCCTACCCTGTCGACACGTGCTCTATCGAACCCTCGAGCGCGTCCTGAAAGCGCAGAGCCGAGAGCGAGAGCACCAGCTCGAGACGAGACGAGACAGACGCGAGGTTCTCCCGCTCTCGAGCAAGATTCGCGCCTTGTTTCGCTCTCTGCTCACTCGGGAGCTTTCGCGAGGTACTCAGGACCATGTGTCGACCTGTCCTGCACGTACTCGAGCCGTGTGGCAGCACGTCGAGACGTTCGAAGAGCGCCGAGTGTGGGGAAGTGGCGGAGCTGGCACGCGCGCTGTCCTCTCGCGCCTCTCTTTCTCGCTTCTCGCTCGCCGTCTCGCTCAAGGGGGGTCGTGTTGCGTACCCAGGCCTGCAGGAGAATATGCTCGAGACGCTCGTGACCTTCGCAAGCCGAACCGTGTCGAGGTGCGAGAGAGAGGACCGACTGAAGGTGAACCGAATGCGTGTGGCGTGCGTTCAGAAAGTTGACCTTTCCTTTGTCAAACCGGTTTGGCTCGTCGGCTCCCTCTCAGCATGCCACCAGAGCGGAGGCTTTCCTGCTACAGGACCGTCCGCTCACCGACACTTTAGCTCTGTGCAGCGGTATGGACGACTTCCCGGTGTGGCTCCGGTTGAAGAATGCCTCGCTGTAGGATGCCTATGCAGTCGTTTCGCGCCTTGCGCTTTCTCTTCTTTTGCCTCTCGTCGCTTCTTTTTCGCCTTTGCGCCGCCCGCAGGCTCTGCTCTTTTTGCTCTCTCTTTTGCTGCCGCTTGCTTGCCTCGAGCCGGAGCTTGAGCTCGCTCGCGCCCTTGGTCGCGCACGAGTCCCTCGCCTCGGCCTTTGTGCGCCTCTCTCTTTCTCTCTCTCTCTCTGAGAGAAGCTCCGACTCGTGCTCGTTGCGAATCGAACCTCGGCTATGCACTTTCAATAATTGCGATTCGGTTAGGCTCGAACGCTGGTCAAGCTTCGCTTGAACTCGCTTTACTTTTTTTGCTATTCCGGCTCGCGTCGATCCGCTCTTTCGCTCGCCAGGGATCGAGTGCGTTCTTCGCGCGCTCACCTGTGCAGCTCCAAGGTCGACCTGCGACTACGATGCAGGAGGCGCTGCGGCGACGAGGCGACGAGGCACGAGCAGTCGAGAGAGAGGCCCGAGCGGCCTTCTCAAACGGCGACGGGGCGACGGGCCGACGAGCGCACGACTTTATGCGGCTCTCTCGAGCTGAGCGGTGCGATAACCTCTCGAGCGATCGAACGAGCCGACGTCGAGTGACCGGCGAGAGAGCGAGAGCGAGATTGAGGACTTTTGAGCTCCGTCTCCTCGAGGTCCAGGAACCGCGCACAGCTCACTTTGTGCGGGTACTGTTGGGTTCGCGACTCGTTCGTCACGCCCTAGTGGCCCTTACTGTCGGTCCGCGATCCTTCCAAGCCCAGGACCCACGCGAGAGAAGAGTCAGCGACCGTCGAGTTGGCCTTCCCAAACTGCGAAGTGCGCAAGAGAGGGCAACGCTGCCCCTCTCTCGAGCTGAACACGTCCCAGCTCTCTCTCGCGACAGTGTACGAGGCTGTGCGTCGAGTCTCGAGAGCAAAGGACCTTCTCCTCGTCGTCCTCCTTCCTGAGCGCAGAGTCGTGAGCGCGTCCTCGTGGGAGGGTCCTCGACTCGGCTCAGGCCTCAAGCATACGTCTAGATAGGTCGCTCGAGAGGAAGGCGGACCCGAGAAGAGCAGAACTGCGGGCTCGAGCGCGACCTTCTCCTCGTCGTCCTCCTTCCTGAGCGCAGAGTCGTGTGCGCGTCCTCGTGGGAGGGTCCTCGACTCGGCTCAGGCCTCAAGCATACGTCTCGATAGGTCGCTCGAGAGGAAGGCGGACCCGACAGGAGCAGAGCTGCGAGCTCCTCCTTGGCAGCTCTCGTCTTGGGAACGCCCGCTCGGACCGCCTCCGGACCTGCTCTTTCTTTGCTCCCTGACGCTCTCTGTCAACCGACACTGTGCTCAGAGTGGCTCGAGATGCCTGCTACCGTTGTCTCTGAACCGCAAGGAGCGAAAAAGGGGCAGAAGAGGGGATCGTAGCAAGGTCGTAGCACGTGCTACGAAGACTCGAGGGGAGGGAGGCTCGAGCGATTCTCGCGCGTTTGCTCCTGCCGGGACATTCACGGCGGGTCGGGCTGCTACGGCGCAGAGGGTCGAGAAATGAGAGACCACAAGCCAGCTGGATTGGAGAAGAGCAGAACTGCGGGCTCGAGCGCGACCTTCTCCTCGTCGTCCTCCTTCCTGAGCGCAGAGTCGTGTGCGCGTCCTCGTGGGAGGGTCCTCGACTCGGCTCAGGCCTTGAGCCGACAGTGATAGCTCAAGAAACGGAGCCGACAGTGACAGCTCAAGCTCGCTCTCTTAGGAAATCGAATTTCCCTTTTGTATTCTCTCCTTAGTGATTTGGAGAAAGGGAGCCGACAGTGACAGTGCAAGAAACCCGAGCCGACAGTGATAGCTCAAGAAACCCGAGCCGACAGTGATAGCTCAAGAAACGGAGCCGACAGTGACAGCTCAAGCTCGCTCTCTTAGGAAATCGAATTTCCCTTTTGTATTCTCTCCTTAGTGATTTGGAGAAAGGGAGCCGACAGTGACAGTGCAAGAAATTGAGCACCGACAGTCACAGTGCAAGAAAAGGAGCACCGACCACGACAGTTCGAGAAAGTGAGCTGGCTCTCCTTTCGAGCCAACATCGAGCTGCCGCAGGATTCTCACTTTCTCGAGAGCAAGTGCACGCTCTCTGTTAGCGCGCTACGATGCCGTGCGCCAACTTTCGAGAGCAGACGAGCGAGTGCGAAAGCGTCAGGTGAGGACGAGCTGCAGCGCTTTGACCTCAACCAGACGCTCGCACCGCTCGAGAGCTTTCGTGCGCAGTGTCAGAGGCTCTCGATACGGGCTCGACCGAGTCCTCGAGAGCGTCTCGCAGCCGCAGGAGTCGAAGCAGGAGCGCAGCGGAAGCGAGCAACGAGCCTTTCCTCTCCTCTCGGTCCTGGCAGTGCGCAACGCGCCCTCGCTGTCCTCCCTCGCGCCTTTTGCGTTCGCGACTCGTCGAGTCCGCCCTGCCACGATCTATCGTCGAAGCGTGACCGGCTCGAGCCTGGAAGAGGCGAGCGAGAGAAAGGCTTTCGAGGATGACTTGGCCTTCTCGAACCGCGAGCTCCGGCACCTCGCTCTCTCGAGGGCGTCACGGCCCGGCAAGCAGGACAGGGAGAGGAAATAGTCTGCATTGCCGCCAAACGGTTTGCGCCGTTCACCTCGCCCTGCGCTCGTTGCGGTAGAACTCCATGACGCGGCGCACGACGGCGACAATCTCCCTCGCCTGCTCGGCACTCTCGGCCTCAAAGTCGTAGCGCTTGTCGACGCCTCGCTTGGTGTGGACGACGATCTTGAACGCTGTCGCCGAGCGCCGGCTGACCTTGCAGTCGCGCACGGCCGAGACGTGGAACGAGGTGGTGCGGCCGCGAGTGAGGGCAGGGAGGTTGGCCTCGGGCGGCATGAAGTGGAGGCTGTACGTGCGGAGAGGGGCGCAAGAGACGTCAGTGAGTGGGCCGAGGAGGCCGAGGAGGCCGAGGAGGACGAGGGACGGCCGAAGGAGAAAGAGAGGCAGGGAGACGCACTAGTCGCCATCGACCGCCACGACACGCGCATGCCGTCCTCCGAGCGACATGGGCAGCTTGCGCAGGACGTTGAAGTGAAGGTACGGCGCAGCAGATGCGGCGGCGGCGGCGGCGGTCGACTTGTAGGCCGGCTGAACGGCGTTGTCGGCGATGAGGTGCGAGGGCGAGAAGATGGATTCTGCGCGAGGAGGTTCGGCGTGAGTCATCGCCTGGCCGTGCCTACACTGTGCGCTCGACGGGAGGGCGAGATCGAGTGAGGGACGTAGCGAGACGCACGCGATGGGTCCTGGTTCCCGCCTCCCGCCGCCGCCGACTTCCTCACGCCGCCGGGCCCGACCTGGGCGCGCAGCACGAGCTCGAGCTCGCGTTGCTCGCCGAGGCTCTCGACAGTCCTGTCGAGCGGGATGACGAGGTCGCCGTCCTGGAGCCGGACGACGAGCGCCCAGTCCCGGGCGGGCGAGCGGATGCCGCGCTTGCGGAGGATGAGCTCTGCGCGACGAGCGAGGCGTCAGTCTCTGTACGAGGGGGATCGCAGGAGAGAGAGAGAGAGAAGGGACGCACCGAGGACGTCGGCGAGGTACATGTCGCTCGGGACCTGCACGGTCGTCTGGACGCCGACCTCCTCGCCGTTCGAGAGCGCGACGAGGCCCTCGGCGGCCGTCAAAGGCGGGAGCGCGATCTTGAGCAAGACAGGGACGGCGAGCGCCGAGGCTGCGGCGCACGTCTGCGGGTCGAAAGGGCGCGCGCCGTCGGGTGCGGCGGTCGGCGCGTTCGTGGTCGTCGGCGGGGCGACGGCCGACGGAGGCGCCGAGGCGAGGATGCGCGAGGGCCTTCGAAAGATGGTGGCCTGCTTGGCGAGGTTGTCGTCAACTGCGAGGTGAAGGGAGAGGTGAGCTGGGACGGGGGGAGGAAGGAGAAGGAGAGCGGGCCGTGCGCACCTTGCTCGTCGTCGGCGCGAACGATGGCGAACTCCGTGAAGGCGAAAGCCGAGATGGCGCGAGTGCGCTCGAGAGCTGCGACGACGACGAGAGTCAGCTCGAGGTGCAGGAGAGAGAGAGAGAGGGCGAGTCGGGGAGGAAGAGCTCGAGCGCACCTGGAAAGTCCTCGTCGACCTCTCCATCCTCGACGATCCGCAAGTCCCACCTCGCCGTCTCCCTGCCCTCCCTCGCCTCGTCCTCCCTCACCTCGCTCTCGAGCCCCGGCTCCCTGCCCTCCTCCCAGTACGCCCACAGCCCGACCCCGATCACCTCCTCGACGCTCACGTCCCGCTTGACGCTCACCTCGACCGGCTCGTCCTCGCCCTGGCGCGGGAAGAACAACCGGAGGCGCAGCGCGTCGCCCTCAGGCCCGCCCGCCCCCGCACCGGCGCCGGCGCCGCCCGACCTCGCGACGCACGCGGCGTACAGCGTGCTGAACGGGTTGGCGAGCCCGCCGCGCGCGCTTGAACCTGCTGCGGCGTCCTGCGCGGCGAGGAGCGCCGAGAGCGCGCTGCGCTGCGGCGGCGCGGTAGCGGCGGGTACGCGCGAGAAGGTGGGGAGGAGGTAGGTCGAGCGAGGAGGGAAGTAGGGCCCCGAGAGGGAGGGCGATGCAGGCCGAGACGAGCGGCGGCGTGATGGCGGCGCGCGCAAGGCGACTGGGGCGGGAGAGGGTGCGGGCGAGGGCTGAGAGGGTGCAAGTGCGGGTGCGGGAGAGGTCGGGGCGGGCGAGGACGGCGAGTCCGGCGCCGCCGCAGTGGCGAGGACAGCGCCAGGCCGGATGTCGACCCTGCGGCGCTCGCGGACCTTGAGTCCGGGCGGGAGCTGGAACGCCGCCGGCTGCTGAGGCTGCTCCGGCGCCGGCGGTTCGTCGCCCCGGACCTGCGCCGAGCTCGGCGACCGCAGCGGCGGCGGCGCGCTGTCCATGCGCGCGAGCGGCGCGAGGACAGGCGCAGGCGTCGCAGGCGTCGGCGGCGTCGGGAGGCCGCCGCCAAAGTCGCTCGCGAACGACGACGACGCGTTGCTCGTCTGCCGGCGGCGCGTGGCCGGCCGGCTCACCGGCTCTGGTTCCCGCTCGGGCGACGGCGGCTGCGGCTGCGGCTGCGGCGGAGCGAGGACGACGCCGCCGGGAGGGATGTTGACCCTGCGGCGCTCGCGGACGCGCAGGCCTGGCGGGAGCTGGAACGCCGGCGGCGCGGCGGGCTTGTCCTGCGCTCGAGTCGGGGCCGGCATGCGGTCGGCAAAGTCCGAGTCGGGCGAAGTCGAGAGCGAGTCGGGTGCTGCTGGTGGTGGTGCGGGTGCTGGTGCGGGAGGCGGAGGACGAGGCGACGTGGTCTCGGCGGCGGCAAGGGCTTGACCCGGGCGGATGTTGACGCGCCGGCGCTCGCGAACACGCATGCCGGCAGGAAGCTGGAACGTCGGCGGCTCGGGTACGCGCTCGACGGGAGCGGCAGCGGCGGGAGCTGGCACGCGCACGCCAAAGTCCGAGTCGACCGACGACGAGGGGGATGGCGGTCGAGGCGCGACAGGTGCGGCAGCGCCGGGCGCGAGGACGTCGCCCGGGCGGACGTTCACCCTGCGACGCTCCCTCACGCGCAGGCCGGGCGGGAGCTGGAAGACGGGGACCTCCTGGCGCGGCGGCGGCGGACCCGCTCTCGACGGCGCCGGGCCGTCGGGAAAGTCCGAGTCGGCGCTGCCACTGCTCGACGCTCGACTCGTGCGACGCCGCCGAGAGGGCACGGGCGTCGAAGTTGACGACGAGTTGAAGAGCGACTGGCTCGAGCGGCGGTCCCTCGCGCTCGGTAGCGGACGCGGCGGCTCGTCGCCCGGCGAAGGAGGAGCCGAGGCGCCGACGCCGCCCGTGCTGATCGACGACGACAGCGAGCGCCTGCTGGCGAGGCGAGCTCGGTCGGCGAGGGACGAGGTCGACGGGACCGGGGCCAGGTCGACGGCGCTCGAGGGATCGGCGGCACGAATGGCGGGCGTCTGGCGGGGCGTCTTGGTCGGCGAGTGGATGACGACAGGAGGAGGCGCGAGACCGTCTGGCGGCGAAGATGGGCGAGAGCTGTAGCGAGAGATGGATCAGTCCCGGGCGCGAGGGAGGAAGAACGACGGGGCCGTGGGACGCACCTCGACCCGTCGACGTCGTCCCCTGCTCGAGACAGCCGCCCCCGTCCTTTCCATGTCCTTGGCCTGCCGCCCTCGACCTTCATGCCGGCGCTCGCGGCGCCCATGCCGATCGTCTGCGAGTACTGGAGCCCTCCTCCTGCCCGCTCTCCTCGCCTCGGCGCTGCGTCTCGCGCGAGTTGGGGCGCGAGTGGCGGGCTCCTGCGGCCCGACGGGGGACGGCTGCCGAGTTCGGGCCAGCGCTGCGGGTCTGCGGTGCCGGACAGGGCGATGTAGGGGTTGTTGGCGGCGAGGTCGTCGGGCGAGGCAAAGTCGACGAGGTTGTAGGCTGCGGTGCCGCCGCCGACTGCGATCGAGGTCGAGGTGGTCGTGGCCGAGAGCGAGGCATGGTTGGGGAGGACATGGCGCAGGTACGAGAGCTGGAGGGCGTGCAGGAGGAAGCTGCGTGAGGGGGTCGAGGTGAGCGAGGTGAACTCGGCTCAGACGAGGACGCAGGAGGAGATGACGGGCTCACTCTGGATCTGTGAGGACCGACATGGCCTCGAGCGCGTCGCCAGTGGTCGAGAAGAGCGAGTTGCCAAGAGGTGGAGCCCGGCTCGGGGGGTTCGATGAGGACGGCGACGACGGCGAGTGGCGACGGCGCGCTTGGCCTCGCGGTGCTGGTAAGGCCCGCTGAAAGTCGCAGCGGACTCGGGCCCAGCTGGTGGGACCGGTACGACGGGGAGCGAGGAGGACGACGCGCTCGCGCTCGCCCGATGTTGTCGCTCGTCCACCCGGTCCTCTTAGCCTCGAGCAGGGCTGTGTGCTGCACCGAGCCGTGCACTGCCATGGCACACACGCGCCCGCCGCCGCTCCACTTGTCGCACGCGCCCGCCGTCTCGTCCCGCCTCGCGCCGCCTCCGTCCTCGTCGTCGCCGCTCGGCCCGACTCAGCACCCGTCGAGCGACTCGCAGCTCCCGTCCAGCCCGACCACGAGCTCGTTCTACCGCCCCTCGTCCCTCTCGCGCCCGCCGCCAGGCCGCGCCTACAAGTCCACCTCGTCCGCCCGCCGCTCCCTCGGCGGCGGCATCGGCGCACACGGCCCCACCTCGTCCCCTTCCGGCCCGAGCGCCTCGCTCCGCGCAGCGCAGGAGAACGCACGCCGAGCACGCGCCCGGCCTCGCGCCCTCGAGGTCGGCGAGGGCGCTCCGGACGGCCCAGGAGGGTGGGGCGCCGACGGCGAGTGGGAGGAGTGGGACGCCGACGAGCTCGCGAGGCTCGACGCAGAGGTACGCAAGGAGCGCAGGAGGTGGGAGTGGGACATGCGCGAGCGCGAGGAGCGTGCGAGGGACGAGGGCAGGCTCGTCGACCTCGACCTCGAGGACCCGTCGGCCGAGGACGACGAGATGCGCGGCGAGGGTGCGTCCTTGCTCCCCCTCTCACCTCGACATCGACGTCGACTTGACGCCTTTGTCACCTGTCGCAGAACCACCCGACGACCTCCTGTTCGACGACGAGCTCCTCCCGTCGCCCGCGCTGTACCCGCCCCAGTCACGCCGCCTTCCCTCCCTCACCTCTGCCCCAGCCTCGTCCGCCTCCTCCGCCGCCGACTACCTCTCCGATCCCGACCTCGACCTCGACCCCGACCCCGACCCCGACCCAGACCTCGACATGGACCTCGGCGGCGCCCTCCCGCCGACAGACGACCTCCCCGCCATCTCCGCCGCGCTCCTCGCCGCGCCGTGCCCCGCCTGCGCCGCCACGCCCACCTCGCCGACCCCGACTGCGCCGCTCACCCTCGACGAGACGCACGGCCTCGCGTGCAAGGCGTGCGGGTGGAGCATCCCGGTCGAGGTGCTCGAGCCGCTCGCGGGCGCGTTCATGTCGCACGGGTGCGTCCTCGCTCCCTCCTCGTGTCAGACGTCTTCCTCGTGAACATGTACCGACTAACAGCGAGACTGGCGGACGCAGATCGGCAGCGGCAGGCCACGCGCCCATCTTGAGCTGGACGCGCTTCACGGGCACCATCGTCTTCTGCGCCGAGCGTGGGTGCGACGAGCAGTTTGCGGCCTGACGCCGGACGAGGAGGAGTGCGAGGGCTTGTCGATATTGTTGTGCAACTACTCAGTGCTCGGACTTCTCGCGGTGAGGAGGAGAGGGGCGAACGAGGACCTGCTCGAGCGAGTCTGACCAGCTCGACAGGCTCTCTGCGTCTCGCTCTCGTCTGGCGTGTCTAGTACGCTCGCTCTCGCACTTGATCTCCCTCAGGCTCGCCCGTGTGGCACAAAAAAGCATCGACCTTCTCAAGCTACGTCTCCCTCGGCGTGCCACCGTCCCGCTCGCTCAGCCGATGCTGCCCGCCCTCTCCTCGGCGCGCACGATATCGCCCAGCGCACGCTCAAAGCGCGCGTAGGCGCCCTTGCCGAGGTCCGCCTCGGAAAAGGACGGCGCGACCGAGCGGATCAGGCGGCCGTCGGCGTCGTACAGGCGCTTGTAGCGGCTGTGGGGCGAGGTGGCGGGTCAGTGGCGCGTCCGGAGAGGAGAGGAGAGGGGCTGAAAGGGAGGGACGCACTCGGACACGGCGTCGCGCAGGCCGAGCACGATGTCGACGAGCCTCGCGACCGGCTCGCGCGGGTCGCTCGCCTGCTGGCCCGACTCGCGCCGCCCGAGGTCGGCGAGGACGCGCCCGTACGCGACGACGAGGGCGTCTCGAGCCGCGACGAGCTTGGACGACTCGACGGCGTAGCGCTTGAGGTCCGGGTACGCGTGCGTGAGGAGCACGAGGCGCTCGGCCGAGAGGTCTGCGCGGCGGCGAGTCAGTCCCTGCGCTCCCGAGAACAGGAGAGAGAGAAAACTGGACGCACTGATGCGGTCGCCGAAGCGGTAGATGTGCTCGAGCCCGAGGCGCTCGACGGCGACGTGCTTGACGCCCGGCGCGACGTCTGGCGGGTTGGCGGGCAGGCGCGGCAGGCTCGCGTACCGTGACCGGTGCGACAGGAGCGCCAGGTCGTCGAGCGTGAAGCTGACGAAATGCAGGGGCACGTCGGGCGCGATGGCGCGCAGAAGCGCTATCTGGCGCGAGAGCTCGCTGTGGAAGAGGGGCGACGAGGGTCAGTGCGGTTCTCGGCGCAGGAGGAGGGGAGAAGAGAGGCGAGAGAGGTGCGCACCCAGGGTGCCAGTCTGGGTGCTCAGGCAGGGTGTCGACGAACTGCCACGCGCCGGCGCCGTCGCGCTCCTCCCTCAGCGACTCGACCGAGCGGCCGTCCTGGCCCTGGCGGTACCGATTCGCGCCGCCGTCCGGCGTCGCGAATGCCGAGACGATGCCCGAGGCGGGGCGCGGGCGGCTCGAGGTGCTCGTGCTGCTGAGCGTCGTCGAGCGCGAGCGTGGTGCGGAAGGAGGTGGCGGCGGCAGTGTCGGACGAGGCGGGTAGCGCGCCGACGATGACGAGGCGACGTTCTGCTCGCGGGAAGACCTGTACGTCGAACCAGTCAGTGCAGGCTGCGAGAGGACAGACGACAGGCTCGAGCGGCGAGCCAAAGGCGGACGCACTCGGGAAACTCGACGTGGAACCCGCCCGCCCTGCTCCAGCTCGCGACCGACGCCAACAGCGGGCCGTTCTCGCCCGGACGCGCTAGGACGAACGCGATCTTGACGTTGGTGACCGTGACGGCGGACGCGACGAGCGCGACTTGCTGCGCCTCGACCTCGAAGCCCTCGAGCTCGATCTCGTTGCCGACGGCTCGACGACCCGCGAAACCTGTTGTGCGTCCTAGTCAGACAGGACGAGAGAGAGAGGAGAGCGAAAGAGGACGCACGGCGAGCGCCCGTCATGTCGTGCGCCAGGATCTTGAAGAGGACCTCGCGCTCTCGCCGCACGACGAGCGCCTCAGGCTCGACCGCGAGCGTAACGCCCTTCTTGTCGACCCACGCTCCGCCGTCGCAGCTCATCTCGCACCTGCTGACGGCATAGCCCTCGCGCTCGCGCGCCTGGCTCGCGCGCAGCAGGAAGAGCTGGGCCGCCTCGTCGGCCCACTCGAGCGAGGTGCAACGGCGGTTGAAGGGGACGAGAACGAGCTCGGCGGGGGACAGGGCGGTGGGCGAGTCGGGCAGGGCAAAGTCGAGTGGGTGGTCGAAGAGGGCTGTGCACGCGAGTTGGGCGAGGTCAGGCAGCGCTCGAGGCAGGGGGCGAAAGGGGGGCAGGCTGGGACGCACGTTGCTCGAGCGAGTCGCGCTTGTTGCTCTTGCGGTAGGTGTTCCTGCGGAAGAGAAACTCGAGGTAGGCGCGCTGGCGGACAAAGACGTCGAGGTCGGGTCGGAGGGACGCGACGGCGAGCTCTGCGGGCGAAAGCGACGCGAGCGAGTTGACGGTGACCGGGGCCGTGGGGTCCACACGCAGCAGTGCGCGACCAAGCGCGCTCATCTCGTGCAGCTGAGCAGGCGCAGGAGAGAGAGCGAAAGGGGCGAGGGGCGGACGCCGGGAGAGGGCGAACCGGCGACAGCTCCGCGGAGCCGCAGCGCGCGGACTCGCCGATCGGAGAGGAGTATCGCACGCTCGCCGAGCGCCGAGCTCGCAACAAAGCGGTGCACGCGCCGCAGGAAGCGCCGGTCGGGCGTCGCGTCAAGGAGGAGGTCGAGCTGGACAGCCGGATGCTCGAGGAGCTGGGTGCGACTCGCTGCCCTCCTGCCCACAGTCGATGTGCAAGGCCTGGCAGTCGGCCACAGAGAACGAGAAGAAGTGGGACGAGGCGACGTTGCTCTCGAGCGGGGCGACGACGACGAGAGCAACCTCGACCTCCCCCTCCTCGCCTCTCCCTGCTTGACTAGCCCGACGACAGCCACCAGCAGCGACCATGGCCCTCAGTGCCAAAGCCGAGATCCGCCAGCAGCTCAACCTCAAGAACCTGCAACGCCACGACCCGCTCATCGACCGCATCGTCACCTCGACCAGCCATGCCAGCTTGTACGACAACAAGGGCGACGGCTGGGTCAGTCCCCTCCCCTCTCTGCCGCACCTCGACCGACTCAGGCGAGCGCGCAGTCGCGAGCTCTGCCACCGAGCCCTCTCCGCTCACCTCCTCCTCCCCCGCCCTCTCCCTCGTCGACAGGTCAAGACTGGCGTCGAGGGTCCCATGTTCCTCTTTGCCCGGTGCGTCCAGTCTCTCTGCCTTCCCCTATCTCCCTGCCACAAGCACCCGAGCTGACCCCAAGCCTTGCGCCCGATGCAGCTCGACCGCCCCGCACTACGGCTTCTTCGTCCTGAACCGCAATGGCCTCGAATACGTCCAGGAGTTTCTCACCCCGCAGTGCGAGGTCGAGGTCGGCGGCGAGTTCATCCTGTACGAGCAGAGCGCCGACGCCGGTGAGTCGAGTCCGCCAGCTCGTCGAGCGACTGCATCTCGCCTCGAGCGGTCCTGCACACGACCGTCCCGGCGATCCATGCTCTTGATCGAGACCTGACACGCTCTTCTGCAGACTGCGCGACGGGCATCTGGGTCTCGGAGGAGAAGGAGCGGGTGCAGCTGAGCGAGCAAATGAGGCTGTGCGTCCTCCTGTCCTCCCGCGCTCCCTCCCATGCGCCTTGACCTGACCCTCGACCCGACACAGCCTTCGGTCCAAGGCAGCCGCCGCCGCCGCCGCCTCGGCGCACTCGCCCGCGCCGGCCGCATCCACCCTTCCCGTCGGCCAGTCCATCTCGCTCGACATGCTCTTCAGCGCCGCCTCCCCGACACCTCTTCCCGCCGCCGCACCCTCCCCTTCTGCACTCCCGACCAACCCGCTCGACGCCCTGTTCGCCAATGCGACCATCTCGCCCTCGCCCGCTCGCGCGACCCTTCCGACTTCCTCCTCGAAGGGTCCGAGCACGCTCGACCTCCTCTTTGCGGCGGCATCGCCCACACCGGCTGCCGCCGCACTGCCTCCGCAGCAGGCGCCGCAGCAGGCCCCGACGGGCATGGCGCTCCTCGACTCGATCTTTGCCTCGGCCAAGCCGGTCCGTCCTTCGCCCTCTCTCTCGCCCTTTCCCTCGCTTACCTGCCCTCGTCCAAAGGCGCTCTCGCCCCAGCCTGCGCCCGCCCAGATCCCTCAGCCTCCTCCCCAGCCGCAGCCGCCCAAGCCCAATGACGCGCGCGCCCTCCTCGCCATGCTCGGCCACCCCATGTCGCCCTCGTCCGCCCCTGCTCCTGCCGCGCCCGCGCCTGCGCCCAAGCCCAACGGCGTCGCGCCCGCCGCACCGGCGTCGGCGGCCCCTGCGCTGCAGACGACGACGCACCCGGCGCCGTTCGCGCTCGCCGTCTCGCCGACTGCCGCACCTGCGCCCGCGCCCGCACCAGCGCCGACGTCGCCTACCGCCGAGCGCAAGCCCGCCTCGACGTCACCGCAGCAGCAGAAGCAGGCCAACGTGGCCGACGGCGACAGCAAGCCGCGGCCGACGTTCGCGCGCCCGGTCCTGAGCCACGACATCTTCGACAGCATGCCGTTGCCGCCCAAGAAGGCGCCCGTCGCGCACCAGCCGCCGGTGCAGGCCGCCGCTGTAGAGCAGGTGCAGGCGAGTGTGCCGGTCGAGAACGGGCGGGACGAGGTCGAGGCGCAGGTCGAGAAGGAGGCGGCGCCGAGCGAGGAGAAGAAGGCGGTCGAGCAGTCGCAGCCGGCTGAGGTGGAGCAGCCGGCCGCCGTCAAGGCGCCCTCGCCTGCGCCCGCACCTGTGTCGGCGCCGACGTCGGCGCCTGCACCCGCACCCGCACCCGCACCCGCACCCGCCGCCATCCCCTCGCCCGCGCCGGCCTCGCCTCCCACCGCCGCTCGCCCTGCGCCCGCCGCCGCCGCCACCGCCACCGCCCAGCCGCTCCTCCTCGGCAAGCCTGCTGTCCTCGACTTTGCCGACAAGGCGGCCAAGAACGCCAAGGTCGGGCTCGAGCCGGCGCGCGACGAGCCGATGGGCAAGGACGAGTTTGTCAAGCGCGTCGTCGAGCTGCTGCAGGTGCGTCCGGCCTGTTCTCTCCTTCTCTCTCTCTCTACCTCTCTCTTAAGAGGAGGAGTCGCTGATTCGAGTGTCGGTCGTCGGTCGCAGAAGCCGAGCCTGTCGATGCAGCTGTACGGCAAGTACCTCGAGCGGTTCGAGGAGGAGAGCGAGTGAGAGGGCGGGGCGGGTCAGTGCGTGAGGGAGACGGAGCGCATGCTATCGCCTGTTGTGTTCTTACTGTACCCTCTGCCGGACCGTCGAGAGCGAGCGAGTCGAGCGGGCGGTCGGACCGTCGAGAGGTGCGTCCTCTCCCTCTCTCCCTCTCTCCTTCCTGAGGTTGTCGCCGGACGGATCTGACTCTCCTTCACGTGTGTACAGCGATCGAGAAGAGCAGCAAGCCGCAGAGTGACCGCGTCGAGGGCACGGTTGAGAGCGAGAAGAGGAGCAAGCACGCCTCACCGCCAGCCATCGCAAGCTGCCCTGCAAAGGGCCAGTATGCAGGCTCAAGCGCCATCCCGTGCGCCCCTCAAGGCGCTCCTCGCCATCCGGGCTCGCCTGAGCCCGCCTCCTCCTCCCCTCGCTCCCGACAGCGCCGCACCGCCTCGCTCTGCCCTCGACACGGCGACCGCGGGCCTGCACACCTGGCTGGGCGACCTCGCAGCACTCGTGCGTCCCCTCTCCCTCCCTCGTCTCCCACCTCGCCTCGCCCCTCGTCACCGCATCTTCCTCGGTCGCCCGCCCGATTTGCGGGGCGGGCTCGAGCCCCCTCGTCCGCATGCACTGACCGTTCTGCCTCTCCTCCTCTGGGCACCCTGCAGGACGGCCAGCCTCCCGACGCCGACAGCGACCTCGCCGCACTCGTCCGCGAGAAGCACCTGAGCTACAAGGTCCCGAGCGGCGCCGAGAAGGAGAAGGGCGCCGGCCCAGACGGCACCAAGGCCGTCGCCATGCTCGACGCCATGCGCGACCTCGTCACCTGGCTCCTCGACCGGGTCCTCGACAAGGGCGAGAAGGACAAGGTCGCGCGAGGGTGGGACGAGGTGCTCGTCGCCGTCCTGCTCGGAATCGAGGTGCGCCCTCTCTCTTCTCTCGCCGCGACCAACGAGCGGCCCTGACACACACCTTTTCCTCGCAGCGTCACCTTCGCGACAACGACTTTGACGACGGCCGTACGCCCGACGAGGTCCTCAAGTGTGCGTCGCGCCCGTCCTCCTCCCTCCTCTCCTCTCCGTCCTCGCAAGCTGACTCGGCGCATTCCTTCGCACAGGCCGCAAGCTGTTCTACAACCGCCTCTACAAGCCGCTCCTCCGCGTCGTGTTCCCGACCCTGAATGCGACCGCGCCCGCCGGCTTGGTCTTGGTCACGGGCCAGACGGTCGACGCGGCGAGCTCGTCGAGAACCGTCCCGAGGTGGGCCAAGTACGCCGCGCTCGCGACGCTCGCCGCGTCGATGAGCAAGAACAAGTACGCCAAGTCGACCCTGAGGGCGCTCCTTCCGCCGTGCGTCCCCATTCCCTCCCCTCTTCCTCGAGTCGTCGAGCCGCAGCCTGACCTTGCGCTCCGACCCGCTCGCAGCGACTACCTCGCCGCCATCTTTCAGTCGGGCGCCGACTCGCACCTGTCGCACCTCGCCCTCGAGGTCGCCTTCCGCATCGCGCCGCCTGCGCCCAAGCCCAAGTCGCGCGAGGCGACAGCGGCGGCGGCCGACAAGGCGCAGGCCGAGGAGCGCAAGACGTTCGTCGTCGCCCTGTTCCCGCCGAGTCGGTTCGGCTACGACTGCGTCAAGCTCCAGAAGCGGTTCGACGAGCTCACGGTCGTCGACTGGTTCGAGCAGACCTCGCGCCTGCTCCAGGAAATCGCCGACGGCCACATCAAGCGGTCCGTCTCTCTCCTCCTCTTCCTCGTCCTCTACACGTTTCAGTACTGACGACCTTACTCGTGCGTAACAGGGCGCAGCCGTTCCGGGTCCTGTCGCTCGACTACAACGGCTACCCGCTCCTCGACCGGCCGCACGACTCGCAGCGCCCCAGCTCGGCCGTTCCTGACAAGCCCGACCTCGACGAGATCGCCGACGGCTTCTACGAGAGCAACATGCTGTGGTTCGGCCGACACGAGCTCGCCATCGACCTGCACGAGCCGCCCGAGATGGTCGAGCGGCACAAGGAGGAGCGCAGGAGGCTCGGGATCGAGAGCACGGCGGCCGGCGAGGACGAGGGCGACGGGTACGAGGTCGAGAAGGAGAGGGCGGTGGTCGAGCTCAGCGCGGTCCACGCCGTGCACGTCGACGACCTCGGGACCGACCTCGGTGCGCTCGCCTCCCTCTCGCCGCGTCCTCCTCCTCGCGCAGAACCTGACCCTCGCTCCGTCCCTCGCAGAGCTCATGCGCGTCATGTTCATCATCGCCGACTCGTCGCCGCTCAAGCTCGGCAACCGGGCGCACCCGAGCGAGGCGACGCACATCGGTACCGCGCGCATGGGCGAGACCGAGTCGCAGGCGCCCGGCATCGGCATCTTTCACAAGCTCGTCGTCGTCATCCCGACCTTGGGCAACAACCTCGGCGTGTTCAAGAAGGCCATCGAGGAGCGAGGGTCGGTGCGTCGCGTGGCTCCCTCGACTGTCTTTCGCGCACTTGCCTACGAGCAGGGTGACTGACTGCGTCCTGTCTGCCCTCACGCAGATCTACAAGATGCTCCGGCCGACCATGTTGCGCTACCCGATGCGCGTGCCCGTCCTTCCTCCTGTCGACGACCGCGCTCCGCCCAAGCCGGCCCCGACCGCCGCACCGCCCAAGCCCGTCGCGCTCAAGCCCGTCGCGCTCAAGCCTGCCACGTCCAAGGTCGTCGCGCCAAAGCGCCCTGCGCCAGACCCGTTCGCCGCGGCGGCCGCCGACAAGCGCAAGAGCGGCGGCGCCGACGTCGCCAACGTCAGCGCCGTCGACCGCACGCCGCGCAAGTCGAGCCAGGCCGGGCCCGTCGTCGCCGAGCCGTCGCCGCCGCCGCTCGCTGTCGACAGCGAGGGCACGAGCCAGGAGGGGGAGGCGCGTCGCCGGCGCAAGGAGGTCGCGCAGCTCGCGGACCTCGCGGTCGGCAGCAGCCCGGTCCAGGCGGGTCCTTTGCGCGAGGGCGAGGGCAAGGGCAAGGAGGGCCGCGCCGAGGACGCGATGGAGCTCGACCAGGAGTTCGGCGGCGGGCGCGACGAGGACGAGGACGAGGAAATGGAGGAGACGGCGCACACCGACTCGATCGTCGAGGAGAGCGTCGAGCTGTACGGCCCGTCGCACAAGAAGGCCGTCGTCCCGGTGTTGACGTCCAAGCCGTCCACTGCGCTCGCCAAGCGCGCCCTGCGCCGCACCGCGTCCGACCTGACCGACCCCGACTCGGCCGGTCGCAACTCGGCGTCGCTCGAGGTCGGCAAGCCTCGTGTCGGCCATGCGGCGGCGTCTACCTCGGCGGCGACCTCGACGACGAGCAAGAAGGTCGTCGCCGACAAGCCCGCACCGACGCCGTCGACGGCAGCGCCCGCCGGCCAGCCCGAGTTCAAGGTGCCCGCCAAGAAGGTCGCGCGCGCTCAGCGCACGCCGGCCGGGGCCATCGTCTCTGCGCATGCGCCGGCGTCCAAGAAGGTCGTTCCCGCAGCCGTCGAGGCGGCATCGGTCCCGCAGAACGAGTCGGCGCCGACGCACCTGGTCGAGAAGGTCGTCGTCGCCGCACGCGTCGTCGCCCGTCACGAGGACGATGGCGAGCGCGAGCCGGCGTCGAAGGACGATGAGTCGGCTCGTGCGGCCGACGGCAAGAGCAGGCCGCGTCGCGCGGCGGCGAGCAAGGCTGAGGCCAAGTTCAAGGGCTCGAAGCGGCGCCGAGCCGACGACGACGCCGAGACGAGCGACGCTTCAGCCGCCGACGCCGACGACGACGGCGATGACGACAACGTCGACGAGGCGATCAAGAAGAAGGCGCCAGCTCGCGGCAAGAAGGCGGTCAAGGACTCGGCCGCCGCACCTCCTCCCGCCACCAAGCGCTCCAAGAAGACGCCCGCGCCCGCGCCCGAGCCCGACTCGCCCCTCACGTCCGAGCCGGCGACCGACTACGACGACGAGGGCCCGCTGCACGCGTCGCTGTCGACGACGCGCCGCAGCGAGCCGACGGCCAAGAAGTACGGCCGTCAGCCCAAGGCCGCCGCGCCGGCGGCCAAGATGCGCAAGGCGGCGACGTCGCGCGCCAAGGTGACGAGCCCGGTCAAGAAGCGCCAGAGCAAGAAGCGCGTCGTCGAGAAGAAGGACGACGAGCAGGAGAGCGAGGGCGACGAGAAGGACGAGGAGACGCCGCGCTCGCGCACGACCAGGTCGAGGGGCGCCGCCAAGAAGAAGAAGGTCGTCGTCCAGTCGCCTCACGCGTCGGCCGCCGAGTGCGTCCACGATCTCTTGCGTCATTCTCGCCGTCTCGGCCTGGAACTGACCTTCCTACCTCGCACCCGCAGGGACGTCTCGCCGCGCAAGAAGGGCGACAAGCGCGTCTCGGACGACATTCCGCCACCTCGCGACCTCGACGCCGACGAGCTCAAGCGCGTCAAGGAGTTCGAGGCGCTCAAGAAGCCGCGCAGCAGCGAGGGCGCCCAGAAGGAGAAGGCCGTGCGCTCGTTCTCGCAGTGCGTCGCCTCGTCCTCTTTCTCTCCCCCACCTCGTTGCACCTCGGACTGACCCGCCTCTCTCCTCGACAGACTCGTCTCGCGCGACCGCATCCGTACGCCGCCCGACGAGGTCATGCCCGAGGCCGAGCCGCTCGGCGGCGTCGGCAGCGAGCACCGGGCCGCCCACATCGAGGGCGAGGACGACTCGTTCGACCCGGGCTTCTTCCCCGACGACCTCGCCCTCGTCCCTGCGCTCGACGCCCTGGCGCCGTGCCCGCCTCACGCCCAGAACCTCCTCGGCGTCGCCGACCACGGCAACGCTCCGCCCCGCCGCCGCGAGGCCTCGCCTTCGCCGTTCCTCGACCCGGCCAAGGACGAGACGTTCGTCGAGCGGGCCGTGCCCGCGGCCAAGGAGCGCCCGGCCATCCTCGTTCCCGACAGCCCGCCGCAGGCCGCCGCCGCCGCCGCCAAGGCGAGGGCCGTCACCGCTCCTGCCTTGTCCTCCCCGCACCCTCAGCGCCACCCTCAGCAGCCGCAGCACCCTCCCCCTCGTCCGCCCAAGCCCGTCGTCGATCCCGTCGCGACGTCGCCGGCGCACGAGCCCATGCAGGTCGACTCGCCGGCGGGCCCACACGGCGCCGACGACTCGGGCGTGCACTTTGCGCCGCCGCTCGGCGAGCGCAGCGCGGGCAAGACGCCGCACGGTGTGCAGCATGCCGTGCCCTCGGCGGCGGCGGCGTCCACGACGGCGGCGAGGGCCGGCCCGAGTGCGACGGTCACTCGCGCCGGGCTCGGCGCGCTCCCGAGCGGGCTCAAGTTCTCGGGTCTCGGCCATGCGGCGCCTACCGCCCCGAACGGTGCCCCGACAACCGCCTCGCGAGCGTTCGAGCCTGCCACGACCGCCGCCGTCGCCGTCGCCGGGCCCAGCTCGGCCCGCCCTGCCTCGGCGTTCACCTTCAGCCCACCTCGCACGTTCACGCGCCCTAACGTCGCACCGACGCGCCCGGCGGCGACGACGGCGGCGAGGACGCCGTGGAGCTGGGCCCGTCCCGAGGTCGACCAGGCGACGCAGGTCGGCGCCTCGCTCGAGACGGGCCACGACGCGCCGCACCAGCACGAGCCGCAGCGCGAGCCTCGCTCGCCGCACAAGGAGCACGCCTACCTCGACGCGGCGTCGCTGCGCGCCAAGGTCGGGCCGCCGCCGCCGCCGCCGCAGCTCGTCCGGCGCCCGTTCGAGGCCGCGCCCCGTGCGGCGCCCGCCGCGTCGAGGCGCTTCGTCCCGGCGACGTCGGCGGCGAGCTACGGCCGCTCGGCACCCGCGGTGCACTCGGCGCAGAGCTCGGCGTCGCGCTCGACGGCGAGGGACCGCTCGTCGTTCTCGCTGCCGGCGTACCGCCCGCTCGGACCTTCGCACGCGCCGCTCCATGTGGCGCACTACCAGGCCCGTGCGTCCCTCTTGGGCCCGTCGACGTCGACGCCGCGCCGTGCCGCAGGGGGAGGAGCAGGTGGAGGAGGCGCGGCGGTGCCGAGCCCGGCTCGGGCGCAGAAGCAGCAGGCGCGCGCTCAGCAGCAGCCGCAGCAGCAGGAAGGAGGAGAGGCGGACGGGGCGTGGGAGGACGACGACGAGACGCTGCTGCGCTTCTCGGAGGAGTTTGGAAGGGTGCGTCCCTCGCATTTCTCTCTCTCTCTCTCGCCGGCCCGAGAAAGGAGGCACTGACTCTTGCCTCGTGCCTCGTCCTCCTTTCAACTTCCTCACCTCTTTCGCCCCGTCCCGTCTCCTCTACCCTCGCTCGAGCAGGCCCTCGTCGACAAGCAGCGCGAGCGTCGCGAGCGCCGTCGGGCGGTCGTCGAAGCGGGCATGCGGCGGCACAACGCGATCGTCGGGCAGTACGTCGACGAGGTCAAGGCTGAAGCGTGCGTCGCTATCTTTCTCTCTGTCTCTCTCGAGGTGGTGCGACTCGGGAGCGAGCGCGTGCAGGAGACTGACATTGCTCGCGCACGTTCCCCCTCCTTCCTTCCTCTCCTCCTGCCCCACCCGCCACTTGCCCGCCCTCGCCCGCTCACCCTCCCTCCCCACTCACTCCCTCACCCCCTCTCTCTCGCCCCGACCCGACCCTGTCCCTCAACAGCCTCTCCCTCGCCTCGCTCGTCGCGGACCGCGCAGCGCATCACGCCTCGCAGTGCGCGCCCGAGCACGCGACGACGCGCGCGATCAAGGACGTTGGCGACAAGGCGAGGGAGATCATGCGCTGGGTCGAGGAGGCGGCGGCGGAACTTGGCGACGAGTGAGGCGGCGAAAGGAGGGGGAGGTGGGAAGGGGAGCGCTTGAGAAGGACGACGAGGGGGACGCAGGCTTGGAACGACGCGCTTTTTCTGTCTCGCTCTCGAGTTTCGACCAGACGAGAGAGAGAGGAAGAGGTACGACGACCGAGAGAGGAGAGGGAGAGAGAGAGAACGACGAGTTGCACCCCTCCTCGCGCTCGAGCCCACGCACGCTCTAGACGCCGTCGGCCTCGCGCCTGAGCGCCTCGAGCCTCCTGCCCTCGTCCCTCCAGGCCTTGAACCCGACCGGCGGGCGCTCGACGCCCCACCTCGCGCGCAGCTCGTCGATGGGCGTCTCCCACTCTTGCTCCCACGGGACGCCGATGAGGCACTGTGCCCTCGCGCCCGCGCGGAGCGCCCACGGGCCGTACGTCCTCCACAGCCTCTTGCGCTCGCTCGCCTCCATGCGCAGAGGTCCGACGACGCCGCTCAGGACGGCGACGGGCAGGCCAAAGTTGCTCGCCTCGAACCACTTGACGACGAGCTCGGCGGGGAGCGAGACGCCAAAGCCGAGGAGGACGTGGTACAGGTCGTGCGACTCGCGGTACCGCTGCATGACGTACGCGAGCTCGTCGTCGGGCACGTAGCGCACTGGGTCGCGCGTGTCGGGCGAGACCTTGTTGCGCGCGAGCCAGGCGGCGTAGCTGTGGCCGAGGGTGCCCTTTGGGAGGGCGGCGAGGGAAGGGAGAGAGACGGTCGACGAGGAGAGGCGGGGGCGGGTGCGGAGGAGGGCGCGGCCCGAGGGCGTCGAGCGCAGGTGCGCCTGGAGGCGGCGCAGCGAGGCGAGAGGAGACGACGTCTCGGAGAGGGTCGCGATCATGTCTGTTTTCGGGGGAAGGGGGGTGCGTTCAGTCGTGTGTGTGTGCGGCAGAGGCTCGTCGAGGGCAGGGGCTGACCGTGGCGGTGCGTGTCGACGATGCCCATGACGGCGGATCCGAGGGTGAGGAGGGTGCGCTGGAAGGCGTTGATCGGGACATGGCCCGGGTAGAGCGAGTCGGGGGTGGTCGGGAGGTCTTCCTGGCGGGGCACTGGGCGGCTCGAGGTCGAGTGGGTGCGGCGAGACGCGAGGGACGAGGTGCGGGGCGATGAGGAGGCGAGGGGGACGAGGGGCCGCGCGAGGGCGAGCTGGGAGGGGACGCAGGTGCAGCGGGCGAGCATGGTGGCGTGTGGCTCTAGTGCGCTGCTCGTGTCTGTGCTTGGTGCGAGGTGGGACGAGCGACAGCTGCCCCGACCTCCGACGTCGCTCCCTCTCTCTCACACACACCGTGGACCGATGCGGCCACGAGCATGACGCGCTCCTCGCTACAGCGCACCCTGCGCCTCCTCCCCTCTGGCCACTGGGCCCCGTCCCCACTCCCGCTCAACCTCGCCCTGCGGCACCCTCGCACCCGCGCACCAGCCCCACCGCACCAGCCCGACCCGCCGCCCCGCCGACCTGCGTTCGACACGCTCGCGAGCGACGCCACGGCCGCACCTTCGCTCCAGGGCGTGCCCGCCCCGCTTGACGGCACAAAGCCCGGCGACGGCGGCGCGAGGACCGCCCTCCCGCTCGACGCGGCGGCGCACCAAGGTCCCGCCGAGGGCGCACGAGGACCACCAGTGACGATGACGAGGAAGAGGACCGTCCTCGGCGTCGAGCTGCCGACCAAGCCCAAGCCTCCCGAGCCAGACGGTGCGTCCCCCCTCCTCTCCCTCTCCCTCTCCTCGCCACAGTGTGTACCTCCCAGACTAAACCGCGCACCCGCCCGCAGAGTGCTGCATGTCGGGCTGCGCCACGTGCGTGTACGACCTGTACCTCGAAGACGTCGAGCACTTTCACGCCGAGGCGCTCGAGCGGCGCGAGAGGGTCCTCGACGTGCTCCGGCGACAGCGTGGCGGCGCAGCGGGGCGCGAGGGCGAGGGCGAGAGCGAGGGAGGACGGGCGCGGGTATGGGGCACGAGCGAGGAGGAGGATGGCGCGCCGAGCGGGTGGGGCGAGGCGGTCGATGTGCTCGGGCCGTGGAGCGATGCCGTGCGGGACCTCGCCGCCGCGGCGTCGTCGTCGGCCTCTTCCTCGTCGGCGGGCGCAGGAGCGCAGAGCGACGCCGAGCGGGCCGACGAGGCGCGCGACAAAGCCGAGCGCGAGCTCAAGCGCGCGAGGGACGCGCTCGACCCGGGCATGCGGTGCGTCCTTGCAGTTCCTCTCTCTCTCTCTCTCCCCTCTCGTGCCTCTCTCGTTCCCTCCCTGACTATCGTTCTCCCCTTCCCTCTCTCGCCCGCGCTCGCCCCCGCGACAGCGCCTTCCTCGAGATGGAGGCGCGCATCAAGGCCAAACAGCGCGAGCAGGCCGCCTCGGCCCGCCCGGCGTCGCCCGCGCCCGGCTCGAGCTCGCTCTCGTCGAGCCCGCCTGCGCCTGCGACATGAACTGGACGAGGAGAAAGGGGGAACGGCTCGAGGGTGGGTTACAAAAAGGGGCGGCGCGCGCCAAAGCTACTCGCGCCGACTCGACTCGACTCGACTCGACTCGACGCCCGCCCGCCCACCTCGACAGGCTATCGTACAACAACGCTCCACCCCGACGACGAACGACGACCGGCGGCACGGCGGGCACGGCCTGATCAGGGCAGGCGGAGCTTGCGCTCCATGCCGAGGTGGAAGTCGCCCATGGCGGTCGACTGGGCGCGGTCTGCGGGGCGGGGTGGGGGCGGGCGAGGGTGGCGAGGAGGAGGAGAAGGAGAAGAGGAGGATGGGCAGGGCGAGAGAGGGTCAGTAGACGGTTCGAGCGCAACTAGACTTGTCCCCGAGAAAGAGAGCGCGAGACGGACCGATGAGGACGTCCTCGGGCCTGATTTCCTCGTCGAGGCCCATGAGGATGTCGAGGGCGAGGTTGCCAGGCTTTGTGAAGCCATTGCCGGGGAGGCCGAGCGAGAGCGGGGTCGGGGCCGACTGGACGAGGGCGCGCTCCATGCCGAGGCGGACCGGGGCGTGGAGGCCGTAGGTGGTGCGCGCGAGGGTGAGGGCGAGGTTCTCGCGGGTCGAGTCCCACTGCGGGCGAGAGTGGGTGGGTGAGTGAGTGAGGCGGAGAGGGAGAGGGAGGGGTTACGCAAGCGGGGAGGAGGCGCACCTGGGCAAGGCGGTTCTCGAGCGGGTGCTTGGGTGCGGCGTCTGCAGCGAGGGATCGGATGCCGTGGCTCAAGGTGTCGTGCAGGCCGTGGGCGTTGGCGGTCGTGGCGAGCGAGACGGCGTCGTTGGAGGGTTGCGACGCCGGGACGAGGAGCAGAGAGGGTTCCTGTGCGGGTACGGGGCTGGGTCAGTGTGGTTCTGTGTGGGTAGTGCAAGGGTCGAGGCTTACCATGGTTTGGCTTGAGGAAGGAGCGGGTGAGATGAGGAGGACCAACTGACGACGACGACGAGATGAAGACGACGACGACCACGGCACCACCTCTCGCTCTCCCACACACCCGACGCTTAACCATGGCCACCCGACAGGACCAGGCCCTCCTGCGCCGCCTGAGCACCATCTCGCACCTCGTCACCGTCCTCTCCGGCAAAGGCGGCGTCGGCAAGTCGTCCGTCTCGGTCCAGCTCGCCCTCGCCCTCCTCGCGTCCGACCCGTCCCTCCGCATCGGCCTCCTCGACGTCGACCTCACCGGGCCCTCCCTCCCGCGCATGCTCGGCATGGAAGGGCGGGACGTCCACGCGAGCGACGACGGCTGGGTCCCCGTCTACCTCGACGCTCGCTCGGCTCTCGACAGGGCCGCTCAACGAGGGCTCACGGGCGCGCAGGTGGGCGGCGACGGCGCTGAGGGTGCGGCGGCAAACGACGGGCGGGCGGCGGGCGACGGCGCGGCGACGCCATCTTCCTCGCGAGCAGATGAGGTGAGCACCCTCTCTCCCTCTGTTTGCGCTCCGCGCGCTCCTCTCCCACACAGCGAGGTCCGACGATGACTGACTTGGACCCTGAGCAACAGCCCTCTTCCGGCACCGCACCACCCTCGACCTCGACCTCGTCCTCTGCACCGCCCCCACCCGCACCCTCGTCCTCTCGCGACACGCGCACGGGCGGCCTCCTCGCGTGCATGTCGATCGGCTTCCTCCTGTCGTCGTCGCGCGAGTCGGTCGTGTGGCGCGGGCCCAAGAAGAACGCCATGATCAAGCAGTTCCTCGCAGAGGTGCGCTGGGGCGACCTCGACTACCTCATCGTCGACACGCCGCCAGGTCCGTCCTCGTCTCTCGCTCTCTCGATCGCGAGTCGCACCAGGTCTTGACGACTGACCCTGCGTCTACTCGCGCGCACAGGCACGTCGGACGAGCACATCTCGCTCCTCGAGTCGCTGCGCCCGATCCTCGCCCCTCCCTCGCCCTCTCCCGCCCTCCCGACCCTGTCGGCCCTCCTCGTCTCGACCCCACAAGCCCTCGCCCTCCTCGACGTCTCGAAAGAGCTGTCGTTCGTGCGCCGCACCCAGCTCCCCTTGCTCGGCCTCGTCGAAAACATGAGCGGCTACGTGTGCCCGCACTGCGGCGACGTCGTCGGCGTCTTTGGCCAAGGCGGTGCCGAGGACTTTTGTCGCCGCGAGGAGGAGCGCAAGGCGAGCACGGTCGAGGGCGAGGGCGGCGGGTGCGCCTTCTTGGGCCGCATCCCGATCGACCGCGAGTTGGTCGCGCTCCTCGACGACGTCGCGGCCCAGGGCGCCCCCGAGGTCGCGCCGGCCGACGTCGACGCGATGCAGGTCGACGGCGACGGCGAGCGAGCGGGCGCAGCAGGAGCAGGAGCAGGAGCTGGAGCTGGAGCTGGAGGAGCAGGAGGGCCGGCGCCGCCGCCTCGAGCGACGCTCGTCGAGCGGTACCAGGCCATCCCGAGTTTCCCCGTCGTGCGGCAGCTCGCGCTGCGGGTGCGCGAGCTCGTCGACCTGCAGGCCGAGCGCGAGGCGGGCGAGGGGCGCAGGCTCGTAGTGAGGGAGCGGGGCGGGCGAGCGTGAGAGGGAACGCGCGAGTTGCGGGGCTCTCTCGAGGTCGGGGCGCGATAAGGGGAGAGGCTCGGCTGAGAGAGCGAGAGGGACGAGGCCCTCGGCGTGCAAGGGAGCGAGGGTCACACGACTTGAGCGAGGAACTTGCCCTCCCCCACCTCCTCGGTCGGGCAAACCTCTCTCTCTCCCTCCTTCCCCTCACTCGGCTCGCGCCCGCTCTTGCAGTGCGCCCTCTCCCTCTCTCGCTCGCTCCTGCCCACGCACCGCCCCCGTACCGACCCTCCCTCCCTCGTCGCAGAGCAAAACCCCTCCCCCACTCTCATCGCACCAATGGACGGCTCCGCAGCGCTCAACGCCGTCACGTCCATCGGGTCCAACGCCTCGGTCGAGCTCGGCGACTACATCGCGTGCGTGCACGGCCTCGAGCAGTGCAAGAACTGCGACCTCGACGCCCGTGAGCCTCTTCCCCGCTTCCCCTTCCCCGCCGCGCGCCCCACTTGCGTCCCGACTGACTCTTCTCTCCCTCTCTCGCGCGCAGGCGAGGACAACTCGTTCACCGGTGCGTCGCCGCTCTCTCCCTTTGTCCCGTCGCCCTGCAGCAGGGTAGGCGAGACTGATGCGCTGGCGATGACGCACGCAGCTGGCGTCGACCCCGAGCCCAAGCGCGAGTCCGTCCAGGTCGAGTTCAGCATGAACAAGGACGGCGAGCCCCAGTGCAAGTGCGTCGCCCGTCCTCTTTTCCTGTCTCTCGCGGCTGCGAAAGGAGCTGACCCACGAGTCGAGCGAGCGCAGGAAGCACAAGAAGGTCGAGTGCTCGCAGTGCTTCAACTTCAAGTGCGCCCGCCTTTCTCTCTCTCTTTTGAGGTGCTCCTCTAGGAGCAGGTACTGACGACGAGCTTGGGTCCCACAGGAAGCAGATTGTGAAGCTCACCGTGCGTCCACCTTTCGCTCTTTTTCTCGATACGCGACCTTCCCAAGTCCGACTCACGCCTCTTTTCCTCGCCTCCCCTCGCCCTGCCCCTCCCTCGACGACGTTCCCGTCCGCAGAAGGAGGGCCAGAAGCGCGCCAAGATCGACGCCAAGAACAACCCCATCTCGAACCTGCTCGTCTAAAGGGCCGGAGCCCGTCGAGAGGTGCGTCCTGTCGCCTCCTCCCTCCTCCTTCCCGGCCCCTCTCTTCGCGAGAGAGCGACTGACGCACCTCCCTCGCGCGCACGCACGCAGAGACGTCCATCGCTCTCGCCGGCCCCGGTCCTCGTACCCTTCTCGTCCTCGCCCGTCTCGCTCTCTGTCTGTACCTGCCTCGCTTCCTTGTCCTCGTGTCTCTCTCCCTCTCTCTGTGTTCGGAACTTGTGAATCGAAACAAAGCTGCAGTGCCCTCACTCGTCGCCTTGCTCGCGCTTGCGAGAGAAAGAAGAGGAAAAAGGAGTCGCGCTCGAGCCTCTCGAAAGACCCATAGCGAGAGCGAGAGAGAGAGAGAGAAAGAGGTGCGAGTTTCGGCCGACGAGGGGGCACGAGCGGAGGTGGTACACACAAGGGAGGGCTACTGCTTTGACGAGGTAGGGGGAGGGGGAGGAGCGAGGCGTACAACACCTGGGGCGAGGGGAAAGCTAGTGCAGAGACAGAGGGGGCCGTGCGACAGGAAGTCTAGGATGCGATGCGCGAGGGAATGGACGAGAGAGAGAGAGGGATAGGGGAGAGGCTCTAGCTAGTACCGAGACCTGCGCTCGCCGCGGTCGTCGCGGTCGCGACGCTCGAACCGGCTCGAGTCGCGGTCGCGGTCTCCTCCACCACCACGGCGCTCGTACCGGTCGCCGCCGTCACGACGCTCGTAGCGGTCGCCGCCCTCGCGACGCTCGGCGTACCGGTCACCGCCGCGCTCGCCGCGCTCGCCGCCGAACCGGTCGCCGCCGCCGCCGCTGCGCTCGCGCGAGCCGCGGCTGCCGACGTAGCCCCGGCGCTCCCACGGCTTGCCGCCGCCGTCGTCGCGGTCCCGACGGCCGCCAAAGCTGCCGCGGTCCTTGCCGCGGTGCTTGGTGCGGCCGTCGTTCATGCCGAGGCGCTTGAGGAACTCGTCGCTGACGTACGGCTCGTCCTCGAGGCCGAGCGCCTCGACGCTCCACCGCTTGAGGCCCGTCAGGACGACCTCCTTGGTCGTGCGGAGCTCGTGCGCCTTGTTGAGGTAGTAGCCGAGGAGCGACGCGAACGTCTCGCGGACCGTGATCGTGTCGAGCGCGGGGAGGACGTTGGTCTTGAGCGACTCGGGGAGCGTCTCGAGGCGAGGCGACAGGACAGGGGGGAGTGTCATCGCGCGAGGCGACGGGCGGTCGCGCGAGAAGCGGTCGCGGCGGGACGACGACGACGGCGACGGCGCGGCGACGGCGGCGGGTGCGGCAAAGGCCGGCGGGTTGGCGTCCCACTCACTCGCGAGCGTCGTGAGCTCGCGCTGCAGGTCGCCGACCGTGCACGGCTTGAGCGGGACGTCGTTGAGCTGCCACGAGATGAAGCCGCTCTCCCACGGGAGGAGGACGAGGTCGCCGCGGCCGGCCTTGCCCGCGCGGCCCGTGCGCCCGACGCGGTGGATGTACATGTCGCGCGACGGCGGGACGCCGACCTGGATGACGCGAGTGACGCCCGGGTAGTCGACGCCGCGAGCCGAGACGTCGGACGTGACGAGGACCGAGTAGCCCGTCGACGCGCGGCGGAACAGGTCCGACGCCTTGGTGCGCTGCTGCTGCGTCTTCTTCGAGTGGATCTCGATGCAGAGCGTGTCGCGGCCCCAGGGCAGGTGCCCCTTCATCTGCTGCAGGACGCTCGAGAAGAGCTCGGTCATGCGCGTCGTCGGGAGGAAGACGACGGCCTTGCCGCCGGCCGTGCCGCCGTTCTTGGCCGCCTCGTGCGCCCACAGCATCTGGTCGTGCGCGATGAGGCGCATGACGTGCACGAGCTGGTCCTCGGCGCGGGGCAGGATCGTGTGGAACTGCGGGATGTGCAGGTGCGTGTCGACCTCGTCGACGGGCACCGTGTCGATGTAGTCGTGGTCCTTCTTGAGCGTCTTGCGCGCCACCTCGCGGATCTGCTTCGACACGGTCGCCGAGAACAGGAACGTCTGGCGGCTGTCGGGGTTGGGCAGGTGCGACGAGATGGTGGCGATGTCGTCCGAGAAGCCCATGTCGAGGAGCGTGTCGGCCTCGTCGAGGATCAAGAGGCGCGTGTTGGCGAGCGGCTTGCGGATCGCCGACTCGCTCTGGAGCATGTCGACGCAGCGACCGGGCGTCGCGACGACAATGTCGTTGCTCGGGCTGCGAATCCAGTCGCGCATCTGGTTCGACTTGGAGGCGCCGCCGACGAGGAGCCGAACGCCGAACTGGGGCAGGTGCGACGTGAGCGCGATCGCCTCGTTGGCGATCTGGGTCGCGAGCTCGCGAGTCGGCGACAGGATGAGGGTGCCGACCGACGCTTTAGCGTGCGTGGCGAGCGCCTTCTTGGCCTCTTGCGACGACGCCTCGGGGTTCTCGGCTTTGAACGTTTCGAGGAACGACTCGAGCTCGTTCAGGCGGCCCTCGAGCGCCGGAATGAGGAACGCGAGCGTCTTGCCCGTGCCCGTCTTGGCGCGCACGAGGAGGTCCTGCGCCGCCTCGATCTCGGTCCCGGCCGTGTCGAAGCGCTTGGGCGAGGCCGAAAGGCGCGGCAGACGCGCGAGGACCTCGGCCTGGACGTCGCTCATCGTCTCGTACTTGAACGGCCTGCGAGGCAGGCAAGGAGAGCTCGGTCAGCTCGTCGTCCTGCGCTCGCTCGTCGACAGAAGGGGAGAGAGAGGACGCACTTCTCGGTGATGGCGCGGTAGACCGGCGCGTGGAGCGACGCCTGGATCGACTTGTACGTCTTGGTCTGCGGCGGTGCAGCGGCCGACTCGAGGGGCGCGTCGACCGGGGCTGCTGACGACAGGGCGACATCGGCGAGCGGCGAGGTCGGTGTGAGAGGTGCCTCAGTCGAGTACAGCGCTGCGCAAGGGACTCTGGTCAGTTGTGAAGGCGGACGAGGGAGGATCGCAAGGCAAGCTCACCTCGGAGTGCGGCCGGGCGCAACAGCGACAGGGGCGCTGCGCGCGGGGCTGCACAGACGGCAGGGCGCGCAAGCAGCCGCAGCGAGGTGCGGGCGAAGCGGAACATGCCAAGGTCGGCGAGGGGTGGCGAGAAACAGAGGCGAGCATCCGCATCTCGACGAGCGCGGGCGCGCGCGCAAGTTCGGAATCGGACCGCTGCCGGCTTGTATTTATGCTGGGCGTGATATGTATGCACCAAGTCGCCGGCTGCTCATACAACAGGCCAGATGCCCGAGCGGTTAAGGGGATAGACTCGAATCAACTCGCCATCTATTAGGCTTTGCCTGCGCAGGTTCAAGTCCTGCTCTGGTCGCTTCTCTTTTTGCTCCTCTCGGATGCGCTTTTCCGACGGTGCGAGGGTGCAGATCTTTTGCCCGCAGCTGAGCGCAGAGACCCCCGAAGCGAGAAGGGCGCCGAGGCAAGGGCCGGCACTCGACTGCGCTCGAGCCTCTCCTGCTCCAGACGACGCTCGCGGGCGCTCAGCTCGAAGAAAGGTCGCTTGAAGAGCTCGATGCATTGCGGGAGGCTATGGGCTACATGTGCGACAGAGAGAGAGAGACAGGGAAGGGAAATCGCCCTCAGAGCGAGTCGGACCGCCACATCGCCGGCGACGCGCGGTCAAACTGGCCCGAGTCCTCGCCACCCGTCAGGTCCGGCGAGTTGTACGCGCTCAGGTCAAAGCTCGCCGACCCGGAAGCGCGAGAGAGGCCGAGCGGGACGAGCGTCTGCGCTTGACCGTCGGCGCGCTCGGGCGTGCTCTCGCCGACCGAGTCGTCCTCGTCGCGCTCGGCGGGCGGCGTGCCGAGCTGCACGACAGGGACGGCGCCGGCGAACGCAGTCGGCGTGACGACGGGCGAGCGCTCGGCGGCCGGGCCACGCACGGTCGAGCCGTCCGACTGCGTGCCCGAGTGCTCGCCCGACGACGACACGTGCGACCAGCGCCCGTCGTCGACCGACCTGGGCGGCTCTCGCGCCGTGACGAAGCTCGCGTGCCCGTCGGCGCTCGCGAGCAGCTCGGACGGCGGGCGCAGGTCGAGGTCATCTCGCGCCTGGGCATCGTGCGCGTCCTCCTCGGCGCGCGCTCGCTGCACCTCGTCGAACAGGCGCTGCGACGCGAGAGTACGCTCGGCCTGCCCTGCGGCGAGCTGCGCCCGCAAGTTGGTCGTGCGCGCCGGGTCCCACCCGCTGCCGAGCTGGTCTGACGGCGACGGCGTCATCGACGGCGCCGACGACGAGGTCGAGTCGAGGTGGGCAGGCGAGTCGCGCTCGTCTCGAGGCGTCGAGGCAGCCGTCGTCGAGGCGTACGGGCTCGAGAAGGCCGAGAAGCGCGAGACGAGAGGAGGACGGGGCGAGGCGAGGATGTTGGGCAGGAGCGACCGAGGGGCGGTCTCGCCGACCGACGCGTACGGCAGCGTCGACAGCGACCCACCGGTGGCGCGAGGCGGGAGCGAACGTGGCGAGAGGTCGATGCCCGCCGTCGGGAAGACGATGAGGCCCTCGCTCGGCTCGTGCTGGAGGGACCGCATGCGGCGGTGCAGGATCGACTGGCCGACGTCGCCGCTCGCGCTAAAGTCGTCGGCACCCGCTGCGACAGATGCACGACGGGGCTCGATGCTCGACGTGTGCGCGACGTCGCGAGCCGGCGCGACCCACCGGGGCGGGGACGGCGTCGCCGGCGAGAACTGGATGAGCGGCGAGGGCGGCTCGCCGTCGAGTTTGGGCGAGGTGGGCGCTCGGGCTCGGCGATACGACAGCTCGGACGAGTCCTGGTGCTGCGGCGCGTCGCTGCGCAAGAAGATGGGCGCGCTGCCGCGCCGGGCCGGCGAGTCGTGCTCGACGCGAAGGACGGTCGCGTCGGTCGCGAACTGGCCGGTGCTGTACGCCTCGCGCGCCTTCTCGAGCCCGTAGCCAGTCACGTACGGCGACTTGGCGAGGACGGGCGACAAGCCGGCGCTGGCGGCGTCGTCTTGGAGCGGCGTGACGCCGAGGCAGGCGAGGATGGCCGTGCGGATCCGGCGCTGCCGGCGCGTGCGCCAGGTCGAGTACATTACGGACGGCCGACGCGACGAGAGCGACGGCGCCGAGGACGTGCGACGCTGCGCCGACTGGCCGAGCGCCGGGTACGTCTCGAGAGGACGACGACGGGCGAACAGGGCCGACAGGCGGGGCATGCCCGCGACGACAGCTGCGACGAGGACGAGGACGAGTCGCCAGGCGACCCACGCCGCGTTGGCGAGCAGCACGCCGGCCGAGAAGCGCGACAGGGTGCCGTCGGCGTCGAAGAAGGCCGAGTCGCGAGCCGTCGTGCTCGTCGAGGTGCCGTAGGCGGTCGTGCTGAAGAGGAGGAGGACGGCGACCGTGATGCCGGCTCGAGGAAGAAGGAGGAGGACCGTTGGCCAGTTCTGGCGGTACCGGCTGGCCGTCTCCTGGACGCCGTCGGTCAAGGTCGTGCCCTCGACGGCTTGGGCGATCGTGCCGGAGCGGCCAAAGGGGGCGAGGCGAACGCGCCAGAAGAAGGAGAAGTGACTGTACGAGCGCAGGCAGGCGAGCTTGAAGGAGCTGTGGCGGGGAGAAAGAGAGGTCAGTGAGCGGACCTCTCGAGCGTGTGCGGCGAAGGCGATGAGGGCTCACGCTGCGCCGGCGTAGACCTTCTCAATCTCGACACTGCGGTCGCCGCTCTTCCACCGCGAGTAGTAGTCGCGCCCGAGCTCCTTCCAGACGAGGACGCCGAAGAACCATGCGGCCGTGCACGCGCCGTAGACGCCGACGGCGACCCACCAGCCGGTGCTCGGCTCGATGTCGGGCACGCCGACGAGGGCGCGAGCAGCGATGTTGCGCGACGTCGGCGACGGGACCGACGGGTACCGGGCGAGCTGACACAGGACGTAGAGGAGGACAAAGTCGAGGAAGAGGGTGACGGGGACGTGGGCGAAGACGGCGATCGGGTACAGGAGCTGCGAGGCGACGGTCGAGAACGAGTGAGTGTCAAGGACGCTGTACCCTCGAGAGGAGAGAAACAAGGACGCACGAAGAGCAGTCGCGGGAACCTGCCCGCAAAGTCGCACATGGACCAGTCCATGCGCTCGGGCCGACACAGCGTCTCGGTGCGCAGGCGCTCCCAGTCGCCGTCGCCCGCCACGTCGGGGCTCTCCTTCTCGCGAGGATCGAGGACGACGACCTCGAAGCGCTCGCGAGGGGCGCCGCCCTCGGACCGAGCGCGCGAGTTCCTCGCCGCGCTGCCGAAGCGTGCGTCGCCCCGGCGCAAGACCGACTTGGTCGACGTGACGCTCGGCTGCGGGAAGAGGCGGCCGACGGCGCCGGTCGACGGGCGACGTTGGCTCGTCGGCGCCGTAGGCGAGCCCACCGACACGACCCTCGCCACCTCGCCGCCGCCGCCGTGCTCGTCCTCGCCGTCGTTCGCGAGCGCCCGGACGCTCGGCACCTCGCTCAGGCGTTTGCTGCCGCGGCGCAGCTGCGGACCGGCGCGCTGAGCGCGCACGTACGCGTCGGCGCCGTCCTCGGTGCTGACGTAGCGACGGTGCCGGCTCGACCAGACGCTCTGCGCTCGCGGCGTGGCCGTGTTCGCCGCCTGCGGCGAGGGCGGCTCGGACGACAGGTCCTCGACCGTCGTCTGGCGGACACGGGCGCGCGTCCCTCGCGGCGAGACGTGGACGTGCTCGGCGGGAGGAAAGGGCGCGAGCCGACCCGGCGACGGGTGGAGGAACTGCGGCGCGCGGTGGACGTCTGCGCTCGGCGCCGGGGCCGACACAAGCCGCTGCTCGTCCCACCGTCTGCGCATCTCGCGCGCCTCGACGCCCTCTCGGTCGAGCCCCAGGTCTGCGCGAGGCGACCAGACGACTCGACCCTCCTCGTCGCCCTCGACCGCCCGGCCCTCGTTGGCGCGACGAGCGACGAGCGCCTCGAAGCCGCCGACGCTGAGGCGGCTCGGGTCGCCCGAGGTGGGCGAGTCTACTCGCGAGAGCTCGGCGGGCGACGCGACGGCGGCGCCGGGCCCAAAGTACGACGGGACGGGCTTACGCCTCGACGACGTGCTCCTCGTCATCGGGATGGGCGGAAGGAGGCCGCTGCTCGGGCTGGCGTGCGAGGGCGGGACGGGAAAGTCGGACATCTGGGGGGACGTCTCGGACGATGGAGGGCCCGGCCGCAGCGCGTACTGGTCCTCGCTCGCGCCTGCGCCGCCGAGTACGATCGCGGCCGGCGCGTTGAACATGACGGCCTGCTCTGGATGCGACGGGCGACGAGGACGCGGCGGCGAGCCGGTCCGGGTGCGCTGCGGCGGGCGCGGTCGCGCAACGTCGAACGTCGCGCCGCCGCTGCTGATGACGGGCGAGGGTTCGAGCTGAGGCGTGGACGGAACGTCGGGGCGGTCGTGCGGGGAGAGAGGAGGAGGTGCGGCGTGGAGGGTTGTCGGCGGGCTGAACGAGGTGCGGCGAGGAGCGCCTGGCGCGAGCGGGATGGCCGACAGGTAGTGCCAGTCGCGAGGCTCTTGTGCCGTGTCGAGGCTCGCTCGCGGCGACGCCATGGCGGATCGAGGTCGTGGCTCGGAAACGAGCGTGATGCCCAGGCGAGGGCGGCAGTGGAGAGCGGCGACGCTCGAAGCGCGCGCGCAGGCGGTGGGCGGTTGGTGGAGGCGGTGCAGGGACGCTCAACGCTCGACGCTGGAGCGCTGCAGGCGGCGTCGTCGTCGTGCGTCGGGCGGTCGGGTGCGGGATGGAGGCTGCCCGGCGGCGTCGTCGTCTCGCCGTGTGCTGCCCTCGGGCGACGAGCAATTTGCTCCGAGCGGGTGCGCCAGTCTCAGCACCGGAGCCTCCTGCATTGATCGACCGGTGCCAGGGGGGGCGGAAGTGGAAGGAGAGGAGCGAAAGACACCGATGAACGCCAGGGGAAGACAGAGCGTGAAACCTCGCTTCCTGCTCGACGCGGGCTCAAGCAGCATGAAGGCACCTGTACGCTTGCTCGTGCACGGCTGAGGCGCGGCTCCTCGCGCCAGGCAGAGACGCTCGCTTCGAGGGACAGTGCGCTCTCCTCTCCTCCCGCCGCCGCCGAGCGAGACCGCGTCGGCTTCCGCCGGGCAGGAGTCCGCTCATCTGGCCTCGACGAGACACTCCGCTTACCGGCAGAAGCTCTCCCGCCGAACCGTCTGCGCTAGCGAGAGTCGCCGCCAGCGTCAGGCGCCGGCGCGGAGCTCGCCCCGCTTCTTTGGCACCAGGGGCTGCACACCGAGTCTCTTTCATTGCTCGAGCGCACTACACTCGACCCTCTGATCGCGCATTCGGCCGGACAACCGTCGACGAGACGATGCGGCCGCAGCAGAGCCGAGACGCGCTTGCGAAGGTCTCGAGGCGGGGCTCGAGCGCTCGACGACAAGTGGACGAGGGCGCGTTGCAGGAGGTTCGAGAGGAAGAGAGGACGAGAGGACAACGACGAGGAAAGATCGAAAGGACGCGAGACGCTATACAGGACGAGGAGGACCCGAGGAACCCGCCGACGTCGACGCCGACGAGGAGCGCCCGCTCACCACCTCCTGCCGAGCAGGTCCTCGCCCCACGCGTTCGCCATCCAGTCCGCCTCGGCTGCCGCTCTCCCAACCGCCGCATCGACGACCGGCGCCGCCTCCAAGCTCCCGAGGCTCTCCCTCGAGCTCTTGGCCTCGACCTTGGCCCTCGTGACCTGGCTCAGCGCCGCGACGCGCAGCCCGCCTGCACTGACGGCCTTGCGCAGGAGGTGCGGCGCGCGACCGCGCTCGCGCGCGAGCGTGTGCGCGTGCGCATGTGCGGCGCTGAGGAGGCGGCGCTGCGAGGGCGAGAGGCCCGTCGCGGCGTCGAAGGGCGAGGCGAACGGCGAGGGCGGCCGGGTCGACGAGGTCGAGGACGAGGAAGAGGGGAAGGTGGGCGAGGCGGAGAAGGAGAAGAGCTGCGAGACGCGCTCGCGCAGGAGGGAGGGAACGCCGGAAAAGGCGCCTGGGGCAGGTGGCGGCGTCGCGACTCGGTGCGGCGGGTGCGGCGGCGACGCGTCGAAGGCTGGGGTCGGGAGCGAGATGCCGAGGCCGGAGAAAGACTCGTAGCGCGGGAAGGCGGACGAGGAGGACGAGGTCGTGAGGAGGTGCGAGTCACTCGCGGCGTGGCGGAGGACGAGCGAGTTGCCGAGCCCGGCGCCGGCGTGGCGGGGTTTCGTCGGCGAGTCGGCGTCGCCCGAGATGGCGATTGTCGGGCAGAAGGACGAGGCATGGGCCGAGGAGGACGGGAGCGGGTGGTGCGGCGTCGGCGGCGAGTAGTCGAGCGAGAGCGACGACGAGTACGACCTGGCGCTCGCCGTGTCGTCATCGCGCGCGCCGTACTGCAGGAGCTGCGGCGTCGATTCGAGGGACGAGCCCAACCCGATGGGCAGGCTCGAGCGCGAGAGCGGGTGCGGCGCGCTGACGAGCGGCGGTGCCGGCGGCGGGAACTCCTGGTTGACGCCGTCGACCCAGTGCAGGACCTCGCTCGCGCTGCGCATGCGAGGCTGCGGCGAGTCGGTGCCGCCGCCGCCGACGACGACCGGGTCGGCGAGGATCTCGACCGCGTCCTCGTCGTCCTCGCCGCTGTCCGACTCGGGCGTCGGGCTGAACAGCGAGAAGAAGCCTCGCAGCGACAGGAGAGAGCTGCGCTCCTTGAGCGTCTTGGGTGCCGGCGGCGCGAGTGACGAGGACGGGGCGGCTGACGGCGGCGCAGGCGAAGAAGCTCGCGGTGGTGCGACCTCGTCGACGTGCGCGCCGAGGTCGGCGGGGCGGATCTTCTGCGCTTGCGGCGTGATGACCCGCGTATCGGCGTACCCATGACGCTCGAGGAGCTGTAGACGAGGTGTCCGAGTCAGTTGACGAGGTCGCGACAACGAGGGAGACGTGAAGGGGACGCACCTCTTGCAGGCTCGAGAAACCCGGATCCGCCTCGGCGCCATCGACGCGAGGATCCACAGGATCGACAGTGGACTGCGCCGGCGCCTGGGCCCGACCGCGTCCGAGCGCCGTGAACGACGCCTTCTTGCCCGGCCCTCGCAGGCCGGCGGCAGCGGGCGGCGGCGTCGCGGGCGGCGGCGTCGCGGGCGGCTGAGCCTGCACCTGCGCGACCCGCAAGCTGGCCGCCGATGCCCTCGCGCCGAGCGGCGAGCCCGAGCGCGACGGGGCCGAGTTCTCGTCCTGCGCGTCCTGCGGTGCCGACTCGTCGCTCGCGACGCTCGCCAACCGGCCGAACCACCTCCCGCTGCGGCGCATGCCCGCCGCCGCCACCGCCGATGACGAGCCCTCGGTCGGGCTCTCTGCGCCGCCGAGCTGCCGCGCGGCGAGCGTGCGCCGCTTGAGCGCCGCCTTGTGCTCCTCGACGGCGGCGGACGCGGCGGGCGAGAGGGCGCGCGCGCGCGTGGGCGAGATGACGGGTTTGGCGAGCGCAGCTGAGCGCGATGAGGAGGAGGAGGAGGGCGTTGGGCGGAGCTTGGTTGGCGGTGAGGGCGAGGTGGAGAAGGACATGGGGCGACGACGAGGGGGAGAGGTCGAGTCGGCCGGCGGCGAGGTAGGGCTCGAGACGTAGGAGAGGGGCCGGGCGCGAGGGGTGGGGGAGGGACGCGAGGGTGAGGACGAGGCGTGCGAGGACGAGATGGCGCGCAACGACGAGGTGGCGAGCGAGACGGGCCGGCGAGGAGCGCTCGACGACGACGCCGACGAGGACGGCAACGGCGGCGAGCGGGTCAGACCGAGTCGCCTGCCGCCGTCGCACTCGTCTGCTGGCGTCATGGCAAAGTCGCTGCGCACGACGGCGGTCCTCCTGCGGCGCTCCTTGTCGGCCGCCCGGCTCGAGTCGTTCGACCGGGCGGGCTCGGCATGTTGCGCGACGTCGACGCTCGTCTTGCTCTTCTTGAGCGCGCCCGTGCCGCTGCCCGCGGCGCTTGCGCCGGCTGAGGCGCGGTCGGCGGCGCGACCGGGGGCTGCCGGAGGTGCAGGCGCGGTCGCCGAGGTGCCGCGGAGGATGAAGGGGCGGACCTTTGTCGGCTGGGCGGGCGGTTTGGGCTGGGGCGGGGCGCGGTTGGCGCGCACGAGGTGCGACTCGGAGGTCGAGCTGGGCAGGGCGGGCATGGAGCGCTGCTGGTGCCGGGGAGGTGGGCTCGAGGAGGCGAACGGGCGAGGCGGGGAGGGAGAAGGGCTCGGGGCCGTGCGACTCGGTGAGGGTGCGGCGGGTGTCGGCGTGATTGCCGCGGTCACGCAGGCCCTGCGAGCAGGTCGACAGAGCGGTGTGGAGGAGAGCGAGAGCGGTGTGTTTGCTCTTGTCGCGTCCGGCTCGACGCGTCTCGCCTTTCCTGCCGGTCCCCTTGTTCCGCGTTCGGCCGAGGCTTCCGATGGTGGACAAGTCTGTGCTGAGCTGCACGCTGTCAACGCATGCGTCCTTCAGCGCGCAAGGCGGCCACTCGCTCGACCTCGGCAACGTTTCCCCGCATTTCTCTGAGCCCGATCGTCGCAGCAGCAGCCCTCATCAGCTCGCGGCCTCGCTCTCGCCTGCACCAGCGATTCGACCGCACCAGCACCCTCTCGCATGCTCAGCTCGTGCTTCCCAGCCCACCTCGTCGCCTCTGCCCTCGCCTCGCTCCTTCCTTCCGCCTCGCCGTCCTCGCCGTCGATGCTGCTCGACCGCACCTCGCACGTCGACCTCCTCGTCCTCGGCCTCGGCTGGACCGGCTCGTTCCTCCTCCCGCACCTCGCCTCCCACCACAATGACCTCACCGTCGCCGCCACCACCCGCGACGGCCGCGACGGCACCCTCAAGTGGGCGTGGGATCCCGAGGACGACGGCAAGGACCAGTACGCGGCCCTCCCGAGGGCAAAGACGGTCGTCGTCGTGTTCCCGCTCCGAGGTGAGGGCTACAGCACGCGCCTCGTGCGCGGCTACGAGGAGTCGGTCGGGCAACGTGTGCGGTGGATCCAGCTCGGCTCGACGGGCATCTTTGACGTGCGTCCCGCTCTCCTTCCTCTCGCTCCTTGCGCACAAGCGGACGAGCTCACGTCGACATCACTCTCCTCCTGCAGGGCGGTCCTACGCTCGCCTCGTTGAGCGCCAAGGCCGAGCACGACGAGAAGCCCGCTGCCGCGCCCAAGTTCGAGTGGACGACCCGACACTCGCCGTACGACCGCAAGAACCTGCGCGCCATCGCCGAGGACGAGCTCCTGTCGCAGCACTCGGACACGGTCGTGCTCAACCTCGTTGGTCTCTGGGTGCGTCGCGCTCGTTCCCCTCCCTCGCTCCCTCTCTCGCTCTCGAGCGGCCGCTCACACCCTCGGCCCGACTCTGCGCAGGGCGGCTCGCGCAACCCGGCCAACTGGTTCACCCGCATCGCGCCGACGCCCGAAGCCCTCGAGGGCAAAGGCTCGCTGCACCTCCTCCACGGCATCGACCTCGCGCGCGCCATCATCGCCGTCCACCTCGCGCCGACCCTCCCCTCCTCTTCCGCGGCGACGGGCGCCGGGACGGGCCAGCGCTGGATCGTGAGCGACCTGCGCGTCCTCGACTGGTGGGACCTCGCCTCGGCGCACCCTCTCGCCGGCCCTCCCCCGCCAGCCGCCCTCCTCAGCACCGGCGAGCGCTCGCCCGACCGCGCCCTGTGGGTCCAGGACCTCATGCGCAAGCACGGCGTGCGCGCCCTGCCGAGGACGCCGCGCGAGCTTGGGCGCGCCATCGACGCGCGCGAGTTTTGGGAGGCGTTCGGGCTCATGCCGGTCCGGGGCAGGTGGGAGGAGGCTAGGGCGTAGCGCACTGTTGTCCTACTGTAACGAGAGATGTCTCGAAGTGCTCTTTCGCCCGGCCGCCCTGAGAGTGAGCGCGCGAGAGCCTGGGAACGAGCCGCACGGTCCTCGGCAAGCTCTCGAGCTGCTTGCCCTTGAGCACGCAGGAGCGGCTCGTCGCTCGGATCAGGCCTGCTCTCGCCATCTCTCGCGACACGATGAAAGGAGAAAGCGAGGCTGGGTATCATTGCCGGCCGCCGAGAGATTACGAAAGCGCGCCTCCTTTAGTCTAGGGTCAAAGCCTCGCTCGCCGTACAACACGTCTCCTGCATCTATAGGTTGAGGTCGTCCGAGTCTCGACGCTACTTCTTGGGCTTCTCGGCGGGCATGAAGAGCCAGACGAAGACGGCGATGACGCGCAGGCCTGTGCGCGAGAAGGGGAGGTCAGTGACGTCCTCGTCCTCGTCCCGCTCATCCTCCTCCTGCTGCGAGAGAGAAGTGTAGACGTACCGGTACAGACGCCGAACGCGACTGCCGAGCTGCTCGCAAAGACGATGCCGGCCGAGCACATGCCGCCGAGGAAGGCGGCAAAGACGGCGAGCGCGCGGTGGTCGCGGCTCTTGACGGCCTTGCGGGCAAACAGGAGCGGGTCGTTGGCGAGCTCGACCCAGACGGTCGTGAGGACGAGCGAGGTGCCGCTGGCGGCTGTTGAGGGGGAAGTGCGAGAGGGGCACGAAATGGTCGGCGGGCAAGGTCAGTGAGGGGCTCGGAAGGCAGGCGACGAGGGCGAGAGAGAGGACGCACGATTCAGGCGCTGCAGACATAGAGAAAGTAGACGAGAGAGGACGACGAGAGTGGACAGGTCGGGCAGGTCGACGACGAAGGGAGGGAGAAGGGAAGGGGAGGAAGAGGACAACGGCAAGGTCAGTTTCGAGTCCTGACGAGGTCGACCGTGCTCTGTCGGCGGCTCACCTTTGCAACGATGCCCTGCGACGAGAAGGCTTGGTCAGTACAAGGACTTGGGGCAGGACGAGGGAGGAGGGACGTACCTGCAGACCGAGACTCGCGCTCGCGAAGCCGAGAGCCGCCATGCCCTGCGGTGACCGCCACGACGCCTCTGTGCGGAACCTGTGCGCGTGAGGTGTCAGGGCGCGGATCGAGACATACGAGGGAGGAGGGACAAGACGCACTCGGCGACGCTCGTCTCGCGGCTGAAATGGGCGCACAACGCGGCGGCCATGGTGAGGAGCGCCGAGATGAAGGTGGCCGACATAGCCCACCACCGCTTCTTGGCGCCGACACGGTCGCCAATGCGGCCGAGCGAGGTGCCGAGGAGGAACGACAGGAGCGACGTGAGGGCTTGCTGGTCAGGCTTGTGGAACGTCCGGTCGCTCGTCGCGAACAGGCGCCCGACGGCGAGGCCGAGCTGGACAAGGCCACCGGCTATGCGAGGGGGAAGGATGAGGGTGGTCAGCGCTCGGGAGGCACGGAGGAGGCAAGGGGAGGGAGACGAAGAAGGGAGAGAGGGACGCACTCTGGAAGCCCGCCCACAAGTAGCACGCGAGGAAGGTAGGCGCGGACGTGAAGCCCGTCAAGAAGCAGAAGAAGAAGCACAGCTGCCACACGCCGAGTGGCCCGCTCGTGTCGACGTTGGACTGGAGGAACCTCCTCGCCGCGGGCGGTGACCTTGGCGGCTCGGCGACAGGGGACGAGGCGGTTTCTGCTGGACCGGCGCTCGAAGTGGTGGCACTGCTGGGTGCCAGGAGGCTGTTCTTGGCTGTGTCTGCCATGGCGTGGTCGAGGAACGAGGGCGACAGATTGCGAGAGCTGATGGCGCGAGAGGTCGAAGGGGAGAGGCGAGGGGCGTGATCGAGGCGTCGCGACTCGCGTGCGGATGGTCGTGTGCAGTGGGCGAGTCGAGTGAGAGGGTGCAGAGCAAGGCGCAAGCCGCTGGAGCGGGTGCGGACGAGATCTTGGTCGTGCCGTCGGTCCGCTCCTCACAAGCCGAAGCGCCGAAGCAAGTTTCGCCCGGATCGCTCTCGAGATTGTCGATTCCGTGCTTGACTCTGGCGCTCTCGCCAAGCCTCTCGTCGCACGAAACGGCCGTCGGCGGCGGCCGGTGCCGCAGTCGCTTCTTCACCGACTCCAGCTCTCGATCTCTCGCTCGCGACGTCGACCCGCTTGAGAGGTAAAGAGGACATTACTCGAGCGGAAGGCTCTGCTACAGCCACCGCAACGCGACGACGTGCACGAGGGCGATGGCGGCCGTCCAGCTCGGGTCGGCGAGCGCAAAGTCGAGCGCCGTTTCGAGGACGAGGAGGGCGACGACCGAGAGCGGGACGACGGAAGTGGTACAGGCGGTCGGGCCAACGTGTGGTGGCGCGCAAGTCGGCGGGGCGGGCGAGGACGAGGCGAGTCGGGCGAGGAAGAAGAGCTGCGCCGCGTGGAGACGAGCATCAGGCTCCCTCCCTGCGACGGGAGAAAGAGACGTGAGATCGGCTCGGCTTGACGCACCTTTAGCATGGCCGCAGAGAGCGCGACGGCCGTCGCAATGCCCGTTTCTGCGCTGCGGGCGACCCTTTGCCGTTCCGACCCGACGACAGCTGGCCGCTCGGGCCGCTGCGCGGCATCTTGCTTCGTCGGCGGTGTCGACGGTCGACTCGGCGGGGTGATCGAGGGCGGTGGAAGAGGTAGAGGAGGGCGTGAAGGTGGGGGAAGTGGCGGTAGGGAGGAGGACCGGGACCGGGAGAGGAGCGAGGGGGTGGAAGATGTGCGGCTCGAGGCCGGTCGACGCTGGGAAAGTTCGAGTTAGCCGCCTGGCGAGGTTCACAAGACGACATGGAAGAGAGAACGAGAGACGCACTTGCAGAGGCGGGCTGACCCTCCACTCGCTGTCGTCCCTCGACTCGGGCTCCTCGACCTCGACCTCGACCGCCCTGTCGCCGAGCCGCGCGCTCTCGAGCCGGCTCACGCTCCTCCCTCGCTGCGGCCTCCACAGCGGCGGCCGCTCGCTCACGAACGACTGCTTCGCGGCCCATCTCCCTCTCGGCGCCGCTAGGACCACCTCCTCGCCCTCGCCGTCTCGCCCTGCCGAGCGCCATCCGCGCTTGAGCTCGATCCGGACGCCGTCGATGGCGCGCAGCACACGCTCGCACAAGGGGCGACGAGTCGGGGAGCGGTGGATGAGCGCCTGGAGGAGGGCGAGGAGGGAGGGAGGAAGGTCGTGTCGTGCCGAGGCGGCAGGTGGAAGTGGCGCAAAAGGATGGAAGCTGCGGCGACGACGAAAGAAGAGTCTGTCAGTGGGAGACCGCTAGGGAGCCACGAGGGAGAGGCGTCGGGGACGCACCCGCCGTAACGCTTGACCTCGTCCTCCATCTCGCCCGTGTCGTCGCCCTCGGCGCTCGCGTACGGGAGCGCAAAGTAGCACAGGAGGTAGAGGACGAGCCCGAGCGCCCACATGTCGGTGGCGCGGTCGGGAGGAGGTAGTTGGCCCGTGTGCGGCGAGAGAAAGAACGCCTCGGGCGGCGTGTAGAGGAGGGTGCCCGAACCGCCTCCTGCAGGGGAGATAAGGGGGTCAGTACGCGCTCGAGACCGGGCGACAGGCCCCTCGCTGATCGACGAGCGAAAGAGGAACGAGAGGAGCTCACGGCGCTCGGCATGGTACGAGTCGGACGTCGCGTTGCCAAAGTCGCTCAGCTTGCAAGTCGGGAGGAGCGCATCGTCGTCCCAGTGCAGGAGGACGTTCTCCGCCTGTGCGCGTGTGGGGGAACCTCGTCAGGGTACGCTCTCGAGCGAAAGATCGGAAAGAGGGAGAGAGAGAAAGAGGACACACCTTGAGGTCGAGGTGCAGGATGTTGCGCCCATGGAGGAACGACAGGCCCTCGACGATGTCCTGGAACAGCGTCATGATGTCCTCGACGCGCAAGAGGTGCACCGCTCGCTCCCTGCCCTCCCGCCTCGCGCGCCTCGCCCTCTCTCGCCCGCCTTCCTCGCCCGTCGGCGTCGACGTGCCCTTCCTCGCGTCGACAAAGCCCTGCAGGCTCCCGCCGTTGGCAAACTCCATGAGGATGTGCAGGGTCGGGACGGGCGGCGCAAAGGCGCTGCGGGACGGCGACGTCTCGAGCCAGGCGTGGTGGTACCGCGTGATGTTGGCGTGCGTGGCCGACTCGAGGAGGTGCACCTCGCGCAGGATCGACAGGAGCGACGGGGTCGAGTCGCCGACGGGTACTGCGTGAGGAAGAAGGCGTCAGGGATTGGTCACGACCTGAGTCGAGGCCAACCGCTCGACCGAGCAGTCCCGACCGCACATGCCGACGAGCGAGAGGGGGACGCACTCTTTTTGCAGGCGTACAGACCGAGCGCCTCGCCATTGAGCACGTGTCGCACGAGGTAGACGCTCCCTTGCCCGCCTTTGCCTGCGTCGCGGTGGGAAGGTCAGTGCACGTCCTTTCGCGAGGGAGGGACGACGAGAGGAAGAGAGAGGAGGACGTACCGAGTAGCTGCAGCTCTTCGAAGAACCGCGCAAAGTAGCCCTCGTTCATCTGACCCTCGTCGAGCCGCCCGTCTCGCCCCGCCGCCGCCGGACCTGCTGCGCCGGCGACCGTCTCGTGCGCGCCCGTCGGCGTCGGCAAGGCGCGGGCCCGGGCCCCAGTCGACGACGGCGTCGTCGCGCGCGAGTTGACCTCGCTCAGGAGGTCAAAGTACGACTGGCCGTCGACCGTCCTGCTGCCGTACCCGCCGCGCGCGACCGTGCGCCGCCTGTCGTCCAGGTCGAGGTCCACCTCCGAGTCGCTCCACCGCCCGTGCCCCTCCGACTCGGTCGCCTCGCCGTCGTGCTCGCCTGCGGGTAGCGGGAGGAGCCACCCTCGGAGCGTCGCGCGAGGCCGGCGGTGCGCTCGCGAGCTGGGCGACCCGGGCCCGCGCGGCAGGTCCTGCAGGCACAGCGGGCAGACGCTCGGCGGCGGGCCAATCGTGCCCACGGCCTCGGCGGGCGGCGTCTCGTCGCCCTCGTCGTCGTCCTCGTCGCCGTCGACCTCGCCCTCGTCGTCGGTGCCGCTCATCTCGCCCGAAGTGGGGGTAGGCCGCTCGCCCGCCCTCCCCTCGCGCCTGCCCTGGCTGCGCGGCGCGCTCGACACCTGGTTGAGGCGTCTGCGGCTGATGAAGGTGGGCGAGCTGCTGCGCGGCGAGCCTGGCGGGGTGGGCTGAACGGCGAGTCGACGGAGACGGGGCGAGTACAGGACGAGCTTGCGTGACGAGGGGTCGCTGAGCACGACCTGCCAGTGCGTGTGGTCCTCGAAGTCGGGAGGCGGATCTGGCTCGAGCGGCGCAGAGGCCATGGCGAGCGGGCGTGCGAGTGTGAGGAGGAGCAGGAGCCAGCGGGAAGGACGAGGCGGTTGGTCGACTTGCACCGCCTCGACAAGGTCTGATCTCTCTCGCTCTGCTGCAGAGAGTCTATGCAAGGAAGGATGGTTGCAGAGGTACCCAGTGGAACAGAACGAGGTCACAGCGGAGCCGAGGAGGGTCTACGAGAAAGCGAGGGGAGGAAGAGGGACAAAACGACAGGGCGGGGCTCTACTGCTTCTTGACACCGGTGCGCGCGTTGTCGTAGTTCTGCAAGGCCAGGCAGTCAGAGAATGTCGCTCGAGGGACGCCGGTCGAGAGAGAGAGAGAGGGAGCGAGACGCACCTGCACGAACCACTCGACCGACTCCTGCAGCGCCTTGTCGAACGGCGTGAACTCAAAGTCGGGCAAGTACTTGCGCAGCTTCTCGTTGCTCGCCGTCTTCTTGTACTGGCCGTCGGCCTTGGACGTGTCCCACTGCGCGCGTGCCGCTCGAGGGTCATTTCCCGGCGGACGGGCGAACAGGCACGAGCGCGCGACGCTCGACGACGGGAGGAAGGAGAGAGACAGAGAGACGCACCGTGACCTCGCCCTGGAACTCGACCGCCTTGACAATGGCCTCGGCAACCTGCTTGATCGTGATCTCGTCCTTCTCGCCGACCGACAGGATGATCGGGTCGATCTCGGGGTACTCTGCGGGTCCGGGCGACGGCATCAGGACGCGCTCATGGGCACGGTCGCACAGACGAGGAAAGAGGACGCACCCTTGAGCTGCCAGATGAAGAGCTTGGCGAGGTCGCGCGAGTAGATGAACTGCCGCAGGGGCGTGCCCGAGCCCGCGACGGTAAAGGGCGTGCCGTTCTCTGCGGGCGGGCGCCGAGAGGGTCAGTATCATCGAGAGCAGCCACGAACTGGGACAGGACGACCAGGGACGCACTCTTGGCGAGGAGGCACTTGTGGACGAGGCCCGGAATGACGTGCGAGTCCTCGAGGTCGTAGTTGTCGTGCGGGCCAAAGATGTTGGTCGGGATGGCCGACGTAAAGTTGCAGCCAAACTCCTCGTTGTAGGCACTGCGTGAGGGGGTCGACGAGGTCAGGTCTCGTGCGCCTGTGGAGGAGAGAGGCGGAGGGGCGCACTGGTTGTAGACGTCGACGAGGCGCTTGCCGTGGGCGTAGCCAAAGTTCGAGTGGTGAGGCGGGCCGAGGTGGACGTGCGACTCGTCGATCGGGTACGAGACCTTGTCGGGGAAGACGCAGGTCGACAAGCACGAGATCATCTTCTCGACCTGCAGGCGAGGAAGGCGCGTGCCGGTCAGTGTCCGGGTCCTGCTCGGGCCGGTGCGGCTGGGAGAGAGAGGGAGCAGAGACGCACGCCGTGCTCCTTGGCGGCCCACATGACGTTGTCGTTGATGAGGCAGTTGTCGCGGAGGAAGGTGAGCTGCGGGGTGAGGACAAGGGGAGTCAGCGGACCGCTTGCAAGACCTGGCACCAAGCCCCCGTACGGCCAGTCTGCTCGACCGCATCGTGGGCTTGTCGGAGGACGCGAACAGGGGCGCAGGGCTCGCCTTGTACTTCATGTTCTTGAAGAGGCCGCCGACGAGGGCGGCGAGGTGGATGACGTGGGTGGGCTTGTACTTGTCGAAGATGGCCATCGTCTGCTTGAGGTCACTGTGACGGTGGGCGGAAGGAGAGTCAGCGAGGTCTGTGCGGGATGCACGAGGACGAGGTGCGAGTGCGACGAGGGGGGCGAGTCGGGGCGAGAGGCGGCGCCGGTGCGACGGTCGCGCGCCAGCGTTCGGCGTCAAGAGTGCGCAGTACGGCTTGGCCGGCTGCGCATGGCCGGGCAGAGGGTGTGGGGCGAGGACGACGCGTCGAAAGGGGAGAGGGGGGGGGAGGGACAAGGGACTGACCGCAAGTCGCCGTCCTTGGAGCTGAGGTAGATCCACTGGTCGTCGTCGGCGAACTTGCCAAACTGGCTGCCGACGGCCTCGTGCTCGACGGTCCACTCGATGGCCTTGCCGACGAGGCCTGCGAGTCGCGTCGTGGTCAGCTCGAGGACAACGGAGCTCCCTCTCGACAGGTGCGCGACGCAGGGCAGCGAGAGTAGGCGCACCGGTACCTCCAGTGACGAGAATGGTGGCGGGCATGTTCACGCTGGAGCTCGAGCTGGTGAGGGTGAGGAGAGGAGCGAGGAGTCGCTGGCAACCGCCATCCCGGCCGCAAGCCTCGCGCCACTTCGCAGGTCGTCCTTTTGAGCTGTGTGTGTGCTGTTTATCTACTCGGAAACACGGCGACGCGGTCCTTGCTATTTCTCCCCGAGCTGAGAGCGCGAGAGCAAGCGCGGCTGCCCCGACCGCGCCACCTTCGCCCTCTGTTCACGGCTGCCTCGCCGACCAGGCACCGAGCACACCAGCGAGCACCACCAGTCTGCTCGCAGCCTTCGCTCGACCCGAACCAGCCTTTCGAACCGGCCCGCACCGCCGCCCCTCGCACCTCGGCTGCTCCTCATCAACTCGAACCCCGCCCACCATGGCCGACGAACTCGAGAAGCTCGAGCTCCTGTCCCTCGTCAACTCGATCACCCAGGAGCTCGTCAACCACACCGGCCTGTCCGGTGCGTCCCCCTCTCCCCCTTCCTCGTCTCGTCCCCTCGCGCTGACTTGCCCTCTCGCGCACACAGACTCGACACTCGCCGAGTTCCTCATCCACCTCCACGGCGAGAGCAAGGACTTCAAGACGTTCAAGCAGAAGTGCTCGGACGTCGGCGCCGAGTTCCCCGACTCGTTCCTCCAGGCCGTCGACCGCCTCATCCTGTCGATGCACCCCAAGTACAAGGTCAAGAAGGCCGCCACCGCCGCCGCCAAGGGCAAGGGCAAGGCCGACGGTGCCGCTGCCGCCGAGGTCGTCAGCGAGGACAAGCAGAAGCAGATGCGCCTCTTCCCCGGCCTCGCCCTCCCCGACAGCGACTGGATCCCCTCGTTCACGCCCGACGACCCGGCGACCGTCAAGGAGCGCCAGATGCGCATGGGCCAACCCGTCGACGTCAAGGGCGCGAGCGACAACAACCGCCAGCGCGACGAGGACCAGCTCGGCGTCGACGACCTCATGGCCCAGCTCGAGGGCGTGAGAAAGCGCACCGTCGACGACGACCCGCGCGACGCCAAGCGCACCCGCCACCGCTCGCCCGACTATGAGCGCCGCGACGACCGCCGAGGCGGGCGCGACGACGGGCGAGGGCGCGACGACGGGTACGGCGGCGGGCGGGACAACGGCTACGGCGACCGTGGGCGGCCCGGCGCAGGCGGCGGCGGGAGCCGGTACGGCGAGGACGACCGTGGGCGGTACGGGCGCGACGGGCGGACGGGCGGTGCGGGCCCGGCGCGGCTCGACGAGAAGCCCGTCCTGTACAAGATCTACCCGGGCAAGGTCGCCAACGTCAAGGACTTTGGCGCGTTCGTCACGCTCGAGGGCATCATGGGCCGCATCGAGGGCATGGTCCACGTCGGCCAGATCTCGAGCGCGCGCGTCACGCACCCGTCCGACCTCATCTCGCGCGGCCAGTCGGTGTTCGTCAAGGTCATGTCGATCACGGGCACCCGCCTGTCGCTGTCGATGAAGGATGCCGACCAGCGCACCGGCGCCGACCTGAGCCCGCACCTGCGCGTCAAGACCGAGGAGGAGCTCCTCGAGGAGTCGCGCAAGGCGGCCGAGCGCGCCGCGACCGGCCCCAACGGCGTCGCCGTCCGCAAGTCGTTCGCCGACGACCACCGCACGGCGTCGGTCCGTCGCCTGACGAGCCCCGAACGGTGGGAGATCAAGCAGCTCATTGCCTCGGGCGCCGCGAGCGCGTCCGACTACCCGGGCCTCGACGACGACCTCCTCACGCCGAGCGACTTTAGCGGCGGCAAGAAGTCGCTCGCCGACGAGGCCGACGAGGAGCTCGACATCGAGATCAACGAGGCCGACGCGCCGTTCCTGTCGGGCCAGAGCAAGCGCGCGCTCGAGCTGTCGCCGGTCAAGATCGTCAAGGCGCCCGACGGCGGCCTGAACCGCGCCGCCATGGCCGGTGCCGCCCTCGCCAAGGAGCGTCGCGAGCTCAAGGCGCAGGAGGCGCAGGACGAGGCCGGCGACGACGCGCGCAACGTCAACACGCCCTGGCTCGACCCGATGGCGCAGCAGCACGAGCGCTCGTTCGCCGCCGACGCCCGTGGCGCCGCCGCCGGTCAGCGCGCCAAGGACATGCCTGCGTGGAAAAAGGCGACGTTCAACCAGGCGACGACGTTCGGCAAGATCACGAGCTTGAGCATCGGCGACCAGCGCAAGAGCCTGCCCATCTACAAGTTCCGCGATCAGCTCATCGAGGCGTTCGCCAACGTGCGTCCCCTCTCTCTCTCTCTGTCCCTCTCTCTCGTCAAACGAGGCCCTGACCCCGAGGTCTACCTTGTCCACCTGCAGAACCAGGTCCTCGTCGTCGTCGGCGACACCGGCTCGGGCAAGACGACCCAGATGACGCAGTACCTCGCCGAGGCGGGCTACGCCGACCGGCTCAAGATTGGCTGCACCCAGCCCCGTCGTGTCGCCGCCATGTCGGTCGCCAAGCGCGTCGCCGAGGAGGTCGGCTGCCGCCTCGGGACGGACGTCGGGTACACGATCCGGTTCGAGGACTGCACGAGCCCCGAGACCAAGATCAAGTACATGACCGACGGCATGTTGCAGCGCGAGTGTCTCGTCGACCCGGACATGAGCCAGTACAGCGTCCTCATGCTCGACGAGGCGCACGAGCGCACCATCGCGACCGACGTCCTCTTTGGCCTGCTCAAGAGTGCGTCCCCTCTTTCCCTTCTCTTCCCTTGTCGTCACCTTCGTGCGCATCCCGACTAACTCGCCTCGTCCACTGCACAGAGTCGCTCAAGCGCCGCCCGGACCTCAAGCTCATCGTCACGTCGGCCACGCTCGACGCCGAGAAGTTCTCCGAGTACTTCTTCGGCTGCCCGATCTTTACGATCCCGGGCCGCACGTTCCCTGTCGAGATCCTGTACACCAAGGAGCCCGAGCCCGACTACCTCGACGCGGCTCTGATCACGGTGATGCAAATCCACCTGTCAGAGCCGCCCGGTGACATCCTCATTTTCTTGACGGGTCAGGAGGAGATCGACACGTCGTGCGAGATCCTGTACGAGCGCATGAGGATCTCATGTTTAACGTACTAAGCTCTCATGTTTAACGAACTAAACCCTCATGGCTAACGTACTAAGCTCTCATGGCTAACGACCCGGCCCCGCCCGGTGCGCGCAAGGTGCGTCCCTTCTCTCTCCCTCCCTCCCTTTCTTTCTTTGTCGTAGACCTGCCCGCCTTGCCTAGTTCTTGTCGCGCATCTCTCGCTCGCCCTCGTACCCCCTCCTCTTGTACCCGGCCCTCTTCCTGACGCACTCGCCTCGCCCCTCGTTCCTCCTCGTCCTCCTGCAGGTCATTCTCGCCACCAACATCGCCGAGACGTCGCTCACGATCGACGGCATCTACTACGTTATCGACCCGGGCTTCGTCAAGCAGAACGCCTACGACCCTCGCCTCGGCATGGACTCGCTCATCGTCACGCCCATCTCGCAGGCGCAGGCGCGTCAGCGTTCGGGTCGCGCCGGCAGGACGGGCCCGGGCAAGTGCTACCGCCTGTACACCGAGGCGGCGTACCGCAACGAGATGATGCCCAACTCGATCCCGGACATCCAGCGCCAGAACCTCGCCCACACGATCCTCATGCTCAAGGCCATGGGTGCGTCCCTCTTTCTCCTTTCTGCGGCCCGTTCTCTCTCCCTCGCGAAGGCCGGCAACTGACGCCTTGGTCCCACCCCCCTCCCTCTCTCCCTCGCAGGCATCAACGACCTGCTCAACTTCGACTTTATGGACCCGCCGCCGCAGCAGACGATGATCACGGCGCTCGAGAACCTGTACGCGCTGTCGGCGCTCGACGACGAGGGCCTCCTGACGCGTCTCGGCCGCAAGATGGCCGACCTGCCCGTCGAGCCGCCTCTCGCCAAGATGCTCATCGCCAGTGTCGACCTCGAGTGCTCCGAGGAGATCCTCACGATCGTCGCCATGTTGAGCGTCGGCGGCAGCATCTTCTACCGCCCCAAGGAGAAGCAGTCGCAGGCCGACGCCAAGAAGGCCAAGTTCCACCAGCCCGAGGGCGACCACCTCACGCTCCTCACCGTCTACAACGGGTGGGCCGCGAGCAAGTTCAGGTGCGTCTCGTCTCGCGTCTTGTCCGGGTGGTCGTTCGTCGCCGTCGTCGTCGCAGAGACTAACTCTCGTCGTCCTCGCACGCAGCAACCCGTGGTGCTCCGAGAACTACATCCAGGGTCGCGCCATGCGTCGCGCGCAAGACGTCCGCAAGCAGCTCCTCGGCATCATGGACCGGTGCGTCACTCTCTCACTCGTCGTCGTCGCAGGAGGAGAGAGCCGTTCTGGCCCGAGACCGACCGTCAGGCAGGCGAGGGAACTGACCCACTCGCTCACGCACCTGCAGGTACAAGCACGACATTCTCTCGTGCGGCAAGAACTACAACCGTGTCCGTCGCGCCATTACGAGCGGCTACTTCCGGCACGCCGCCAAGAAGGACCCGCAGGAGGGCTACAAGACGCTCGTCGAGGGGTGCGTCCTCGTCTCCTCACCTTTTCTCCCGGTCGATGCTCACCCTCGTCTTTGTCCTCGCAGCACGCCCGTCTTCCTTCACCCGTCGTCGTCGCTGTTCAACCGTGCGCCCGAGTGGTGCGTGTACCACGAGCTCGTCCTCACCACGTGCGTCTTCTTCTCTCTCTCTCCTCTCTCGGGCACCTGACTGACCCTCTCTCTCACACACACAGGCGCGAGTACATGCGTGAGGTGACGGCCATCGAGCCGCGCTGGCTCACCGAGGTCGCGCCGTCGTTCTTCAAGGTCGCCGACCAGAACACGATCTCGAAGCGCAAGAAGCAGGAAAAAATCACGCCGCTCTTCGACAAGTGCGTCCAGTTTGTCTCTTTGATTCCGAGGCCCGTGCACTGACCCGTCCGACGCACTCCCTCCCCTCGACCGTCCTCGTCGCGCAGGTACGCCGAACACCAGGACGCGTGGCGACTCTCCAAGCTCAAGCGCGCCACTCGCTCGAGCCAGACTTTTTGATCGGACCTTGTGTAGCTGTACTCGCCGTCTGTCAGATCAAGTTTGCCTCGTTCCGGCTTCGTGTCGACCTCGAGTCGGCGAGCGCTCGCTTTCGTCAGAGAGGGAGAAAGCGGGCCTGGCTTTCCTCGCGAGTGGGTCTCTGTCTCGAGTCGAGAGCCTTTGAGAGAGCGCAAGCCCTCACACATGAGCTTTGCCACAAGACCAGTCCGACCGACCCTCCGAGAAATCGCTCTCGAAGCTGCGACGAGTCGACAAGACGCGCACCGAGAGCGACAGGGATGCGCTGCGCAGCTCCTCTTCGATCGAGAGAAGGCGTAGCTGAAGTGGAGGAAGAAAGAGCGGGCCCTCAAACGAGCGACGTGCGCGCCGACAACGACGTCCAGCTCGTCGGCTGCGGCGAGCAATATCTCGAGAACGAGAGCCAACCAGGGCGTCCCACCGAGCTCAATGGACGTGGGAATAGCGTAGCTCGCTTTCCCAGCCGTCGGGAGCGCAGCGCCTGCCTTGACGACAGTGTGTACTCGAACGGCCCGCCCAAGCTGCGGCGGGCCGACGATGCCAAGGCGACGCTCGCTCCTCCTGCGAGGCTCGGCTTTTGAGAACCCTCCAGGCTCGCTCGCGAGGAGCAGGGACACAGCCAAGGCTGGACCACGGCACTCTCGACGAGCGCGAGCCCATCTCACAAGCCCGAGCCGGCGGCGACGCCCTCTCGCCCAGCAAACCAGGAGCCGCCTCGCGTCAGGCAGCCGCACTCTCATTCTCCAAGAGTGGGTCCCGCACCCTGTTGCAGCCCACAGTGCCACTGCCGCCCAGCAGAGCTTGCCGCCCCGCCGAGAGAACGGTCTGACGACAGCTCGCGCTTTGTCACGTCGTCTTCGGCAGGGGTGCGGTCAAGGCTGAAGGGGGGCGAGGGCACTCACGGCAGACGACAGGCGTGGGCAGCTTGCGCAGGGCAGGGGCTGGCAACACGGGCTTCTGCCCTCCCTCGCCTGCTGGCCCGCCCGCTCGCCCACGCACCGAGAGCTGCACAGGGGCTGGCTCGGGTGCCGGAGACCTGCCATGCGGAGCGACTGGAGCAGTCGAGCAGGCTATTAGGCAGGATGTGATGGTGGGAAGTCGAGGGGGAGATGAGGCGGGAGATGAAGATCGGGGAGCGTCGGACGGCGGCGATGAGGACTGGGGGAACTCGCAGGCGGGTGCGGTGGCTTGTTGAGTGCAGTCGACGCGCTCCCGAGCCGCTATTGAGCGCTGGAATGGCGAGCTGGTGGTGCCGTGAGGGAGAGCTGCCTCGCAGCGTGCGCGCCGCTCGCCGACGGCTCTCGCGCGCTCTCTCTCGCACCCTCTGAGTCGCGAGCCTTGGCGTGCCGCCTGTCGTTATAGAGGAGAGGCTGCCCGGGCAACGAAGAGGCGCGCGTTCGCTTCCTCCCCTCGTGCCGACCGTCTGGAGGTCACGCTCGAGCGAGAGCGGTCACCAAGGACGCACGGCTATGCAGATGCCAGCTAGCTGCGTCGCGCGACGACAGAGAGAGACCCACTCGCGAGGAAAGCCAGGCCCGCTTTCTCCCTCTCTGACGAAAGCGAGCGCTCGCCGACTCGAGGTCGACACGAAGCCGGAACGAGGCAAACTTGATCTGACAGACGGCGAGTACAGCTACACAAGGTCCGATCAAAAAGTCTGGCTCGAGCGAGTGGCGCGCTTGAGCTTGGAGAGTCGCCACGCGTCCTGGTGCTCGGCGTACCTGCGCGACGAGGACGGTCGAGGGGAGGGAGTGCGTCGGACGGGTCAGTGCACGGGCCTCGAGCCGGTCATTCACGCTCGCACACATCAAAGGAGAGACACAGAGCTTTTCGCAGCATGCGGAAGAGCTCGACTTGGCTGCCTGCCACGGGCGTGAGCCACCTCGACTTCGAGCTCTCGGTCGTTTCTGGCTCTCGGCTCGCTGAACCTCTCGTTCCGCTCGTACGCTCGATCATCGCTACTTATCGCACTTCTTGTTGCATCGAAGGAAGGCCAGGAAAACGAAAGATACTCGGTACAAAGAGGCAAAGTCCCTCGAGCGCGACCACCGCCACGCCGCCGCCGCCGCCGTCATTCTCCTCGAGCGCTCAGAGCACGTAGCGCAGCTGCTTCTGCGCCGGCGCCATGCGGCTCACGCCGTCGCTGCCGGCGTCCTTCTCGTCGTCGCCGTACAGCTCGGCCTCCTCGCGGTCCATGCGGGCGTTGTCGCGCGCGAGGAAGAAGCGCAGGACGAGGCACAGGGCGATGGCGAGCGCCGCGACGACCGAGTTGGTGATGAAGGCGATCTGGGGAGGCAGAAGAGAGTCAGGTCGATGCGAGAGAGAGGAGAAGAGGGTGACGGCGGCTGCTCACCGAGTACTCGGGGCCGTCGCTCTTCGGGTAAAGGTCTGTGGCAGAAAGAGTCAGTGCCTGTCGAGGAGACGGGGAGACCGGGACGTGTGACGCACAGGGCGACCAGATCTGGGCGAGGTTGCCACTGTGGAAGAGGCTCGAGCGTCAGTCGGGCTCAACTTGAGAAGGTCCTGAGGGCGGGCGAGGTTTCGCGGTGCTGGACGCACAAGCTGTTGATGAAACCGATCGCGACGGCACGCTTGGCGCGAGGGCGCTGGAAGACGCCCGAGTACCAGGCGAGGAGGATGTTGAAGTTGCCGTGCAGGCCGCAAAGGGCGAGGACGATGGCGACGTAGCGTGCGGCGGTGTTGAGCGTGGCGGCGGCGATGATGAAGCTGCAGGAGGAGTGTCCGAGAGTCAGGAAGAGGTCGAGGAGAGAAAGGAGGCGGCCGAGAGGACGCACCCGATCATGCCGACTGCGAGCGGGACGACGAAGAAGTAGCACCGCTGTCCCTTGCGGTCCGACAGGCGCGACAGGACGAGCGAAAAGATGGCGGCGACGACGTAGGGCGGCGCCGTGATGAGGAGGGTGTTGGTCTTGCTGTAGTGGAAGTCGCGCATGACGGTCGGGATGAACTGCGTAAAGGCGCTCGCCGTCGTCTTGGCTGCACGTCGCGAGAGGGAGAGTGTCAGCGACTGCTCTGAAGGTGCGACCTCGGTAGGGACGAGCAGAAGGCTGGAAGGGTGCAGGAGGTGCGAGGAGGAGGTCCGTGCGGGAAGTTGACAAGGACGTACCGGCAGTGATGACGCACAGGGCCCAGAGCTGCGCACAAAGACGCAAGGTCAGTCCGAGCACTTGCTGAGACGGTAGAGAGAGCGAGAGGCGACGCACGCGCCAGTCGAGGACGGCAGCCTTGAGGGTCGCGAGCTGGCCGACCTGCTCCTCGCCGTCCTTTGAGCCGGCGTCGACCTCGAGGCGGTACACGGCGAGGGCTCGCTGACGCAGGGTGAAGCTCTTGGTCGTCGCCGGGTAGTCGGGCAGGAGGAAGACAGCGCAGATCGCCGCAAAGACCGTGATGGCACCCTGCGGGGAGGACACGTCAGAGGTGGTTCGACTTGGAGGGCCGTTTCTTGCTCACCTCGATCAGGAACACCCAGCGCCACGACTCGAGACCTCGAACGCCGTCGAGGCTCGCTTGGACGCCCCCAGATATGAAGCCAGAGAAGGCGCCGGCGAGGAGAGAACCCGTGTAGAGCTGGGAAGGACGCAAAAATGGGTCAGCGATTTGCCCGTGAGCGCTTCGAAACGTCGAGGATGACCCACAATGGCCGTGCGCAGTGCAAGCTCGCTCCTTTTGTGCCATGAGCTCAACAGGAATACCGACCCAGGGAAATCTGTATGTTCAAGTTGGTCAGCGAGCTGTTCTGCGACGTCGAGGGCTGCACCCGACGTCGGCGGCGGCTCTGAGGGGGCACGAGGACGAGTTAGACTCACAGGGCGCTTCGACGAGGCCGAGGAGGACGCGCACGGCATAAAGCTGGTTCCGAGTCTTGACGAACGCCGTGCAGAGGGAGACCAGGCCCCAGAGCGCGACGAAAAATGCGATGAAGTAGCTCGGGCGCGACCGTGATAGTATCATATTTGCCGGGATACCGCCTATTATGTAGGCAGCAAAGAGGATCTGCGAGGAGGAGGAGGGTCAGCGGGAGGAGGAGGAAGGGGACCGGCGGGAGGAGGGCGGCTAGCGCCGTTCTGCCGACAGAGGACGGCCGAGACGTACCGAAATGGCGACGTTAAAGTCGGTGCCCTTCATGCCGAGGTCTTCCTCGATGCCCTGGACGCGAGCCGAGGCGAGAGCGTTGCGATCTGCGGGAAGGCGAGGGGGTCAGTGCGGGCCTCGCAAAGTCGAAGCGGCTGGGCGCACCGAGGTAGTTAAGGACGAGGAGGATCCAGAGGACGGGCATGAGACGCATGTCGAGCTGTGTGCGCGGTACAGGGTCAGGAAACGTCTCTCGAGTGCGGGACGAGGAGGCCGGCGACGGCGGCAAAGCACGACGTCGCCGCCGGTCGACGGCCCGCCCTGGCCTCGTACGTCGTCGGCGTCGACGACAGAGAGATAGGGGACGCACCTTGCGAACGAGCGCCTTCTCCTCGACGGCGTACTCCTCCGGGGTGAGGGCCGCGATGATGTCGATTTCCTTCTGCAGCTCGCTGACATTGCCGGCGTCGACGCCGTTGACGTTCTCGATCTGGAGCACGGAAAGCTTCTTGTCGGCCATGTTGAGGACGACGAGGCGAGAGCGAGTGAGAAGATGCAGGGAGAGGAGGAGAAAGGCGGAGACCCGGACAGCGAGCGAGGAGGAGCAGCTTGTCCCCCGCGCCTCGATCGCGAGCCTGCTCGCCGCGTGCCGAAGCGCCGAAAGGAGTGGTGCGAGCGGTGGTGGTGGTGGTGGTGGTGGTGCCGCGAGCAAGGAGGAGAGCAAGGGCGAGCGAGAGCACCGGGCCGCAAGCGGCCGTGGGGTGGCAGCGCCGACATGCTAATTTGCCGTGCGGCGACCCACCCCTCGAAGGGAGCGAGCTCTGAGCGAGTCCAAGCGATCGAGCGCAGCGAGAGTGGGGGTCGAACCAAGGGCTTAGGGTGCGGGCGAGTTTGGCCGGCCGCGGCCCGAGCGGGTTGACCTTCCTAAGTCGGGCTTCCTCCTCGCTCGACAGCCGACGGCTCGCTCTCCTCTTCGCTCGGCGCTTTTGCAGACAGCGCGAGTCGTTCTGCGCTTTGAGCGCAGGATTCCCTTATCTACGAGCGTGGCGCGCCGACCGCAAATCTTCAGAGAGCTAAGGAGAGGAAGTCGCTCAATGTCGTCCACCTCGCCGAGGCGCGGAGCCAGACTAACCACCGTAAGCCGCTCACACGAGAGGGCAGACTCGCTAAGCTCACGAGCTCTCAAACAAGCTTCTCGGAGCGATGCAGGGGGTCGAGACGGCGAGAAAGTACAGATTGCGTCGAAATCTGGTCTAAACAAAGGTCCGGCGTGCTCTAAAGGTACCCGCCATTGGCCAGCATCGCCTTGGCCTGCGCAGGATACCAATCCTCGAACCCGAGGTCCCACCCAAAGAGCGGCGTGTTGACGCGCTGCTGCTTGCCCTTGGCGGCCATGCCGTCGAGCGTGTCCATGTCGTCGGCGTCGAGCGTGATGAGGTGAAGGTTGGCCTCGATGCGTGCTGCGCTCACCGACTTGGGGAGCACGACGCAGCCGCGTTGAGGCTGGTACGAGATGAGGACGGTCGCGGGCGAGACGCCGTGCTTGTCGGCGATGGCGTTCAGCTCCGGGTCGGACAGGAGGGGCGAGTCTGCGCTCGAGCGAGACGACTGATGGTCAGTGCGTGAATATGAAGAGGGAATGGGATCGAGAAAGAGAAAGAGGGACGCACTGGTCGAGCCGAGAGGGCAGTAGGCCTCGAGGAGGATGCCGCGCTTGTCGCACCAGGCCTTGAGCTTGTGCTGCGGGTTGAACGGGTGGAGCTCGACCTGGTTGACGGCAGGGACGACCGTCCACGTCTTCTCGAGCTTCTCGAGGTACGCGACGCTCCAGTTCGAGACGCCAACCGCCTTGACCTTGCCCGTCTTGAGCAGGGCCTCCATGCTCGCCCACGTCTTGCTCATGTCCCAGTCGCGGTCGACGGCGCGAGAGCCGTCCGGGTTGACGGGGAGGAGCGCCGACGACTCGTTCGGGACGAGCCGCACGGGCCAGTGGATGAGGTACAGGTCGAGGTAGTCGACGCCGAGCGATGCGAGCGACTCGTCGAGGCATTGCTCGACCTTGTCGTGGTACGTGTTCCACCTGTGGGGAGGGTGCACATGCGTCAGTAGCTGTACGACGACGAGGTGTGCGCCGAGCGAGAGGGGAAGAGGAGAAGACCAAGACGAGGTCGGGAAGAGTAGGGGGGCAGGACAGGACCGAGGGACGCGGCCGGGACTCACAGCTTCGACGTGATAAAGATCTCGGACCTCGGCACGCTCGACGCCTTGATGCCAGCGCCGACTTCTTGCTCGTTCTGGTAGATGAGCGCGCAGTCGAGGTGACGGTAGCCCGACTTGAGGGCGTGCTCGACGGCGCTCGCGACCTCGCCCGGCTTGGCCTGCCACGTGCCTGCAGGGAGCAGCGTCAGTTTGCTGGATGCCCGACGACGGCGACGACGAGATGAGGCGAGGAGGGACGCACCGAGGCCGACAGACGGGATCGACGCGCCCGTGTTGAGCTGGAAGGACGCGGGTGGCTGGGTGACGTGAGGCATGCTGGGCTGAAGACGGCGGGGCAGAAGGCGGCTAGGTTGAGGAGGGAGAGGTCGAGAGGGAGAGCCGACAAGTTGAAGAGGAGGAGGAGGAGGATTGAGGCGTCGGCCGGTGCGTGGGGCAGCAAGCGCTCGACGGGTCCACGCTCGGAGTCATAGTGGGCCTCCTGGGCGAGCCGAAGCCGGCACGCTGAGCGTGAGCGAGGAGGTGGATGAGGGCGAGCGAGTTGCGTGGAGGCTGCGGAGGCTTCGCCGAGCCAGCATTACGAGGGCGGTTGATACTCCGAATAGCGATCTGCCTATACAAAACGGGCACCCGGCTTCGCGCGCGAGTGGGCCGGCCGATCCACCTCGTCGCTCCCCACCCGCCTCTCTCGTTCGAGACGGCTCGTCCGCCCGGCCGCATGGAGCGCTGCTCTTGCCTTCATCCGCTGCCTTGCCCCACTCGGCACCTACTACGCCCGCTCCCGCCATGCCCGACGCCAGTGCTCGCGCCGACCAGTACGGCGAATCTTTCACCACCATCAACGAGCTCCTCCCGGCTCGTTCTCGGCAGTACCCAGGTGAGCAGGGCTGTGCTTCGCCTCCTTGCCGATGTCTACTGACACCTTGCCCTCGCTCTGCAGATGTTCCCATCCTCGGCGTGCCCGGCAAGGACGGCGTCGTGCGCTCGTTCACCTACCGTGAGCTCGAGACGGCGACCAACCTCCTCGCGCACCACCTCGCGACCGTGATCCCGCCACGCGCCAAGGGCGACACGAGCACCCTCACCTGTGCGCTCCTCGCCCCGTCGGGCTACGACTACGCCATCCACGAGATGGCGCTCGTCCGCATCGGCTACGCCGTCCTCCTCGTCAGCCCAAACAACTCGCCGCCCGCCATTGCCCACCTGTGCACGGCGACCAAGGCCTCGTTCCTCTTCACGGCGCCGGCGTACGTCGAGGCGGCAAAGGAGGCGCTCGCGCTCGCGACCCAGAACAAGTCGACCGAGCACGCCCTCGCGCCTGCGACCGAGCATCGCTTCGAGGTGCTCGACCTTGCGCCACCCGCCGTCTACTCGGACAAGGCGATCGCGACGTCGACCGTCTCGCCCTACCCTGTCGCGCTCGCGCCGGCCGACGAGGGCGCCCTCACCGCCTTCATCGTTCACTCGTCGGGCAGCACCGGGTTCCCCAAGCCGATCTACATCTCGGGCGCGAGTACGGCGTTCAACATCGCGACCAACTTTGGCCTGAGCGGCCTGACGACCCTGCCGCTCTACCACAACCACGGGCACTCTTGCTTCTGGCGCGCGCTGCAGTCGGTCCGCCAGCTGTGGCTCTACCCGGCGAGCGACCTTCCTCTTACTACCCCGTGCGTCCTCAGCTCTCTCTCTCTGGTCCTCTCGTTCTCCCCCACCTCTCGTCCTCTCCCCCTCCCTCCTACCCTCCATCTCTCCTCCTTCCCTCTGCTCCCTCCCTTCCCCCCTCCCTCTCCCTCCCTTTCGGGCCCGTGTACCTCGACCTGACTTTTCTGCGCCCAACAGGAACGTCATGAACATCCTCGAGCAGCCGTCCGTCCAACCCGACGCGCTGTTCGGCGTCCCGTACGTGTACAAGCTCCTCGGCGAGACGGACGCCGGCGTCAAGACCCTGCGCAAGTTCAAGCTGTGCCTGTTCGGCGGCAGCGCGATGCCGACAGAGCTCGGTGACCGTCTCGTCGAGGCCGGCGTCAAGCTCGCCGGACACTATGTGCGTCCTCGGGTCCTCTCCCTCTTCCTCGAACGTCACCCGAAAAGGAGCACTGACACCGCCTTTCCGCAGGGCGCCACCGAGGTCGGCCAGCTCATGACGTCGTTCCGCGACTACGAGAACGACAAGGAGTGGGCGTTCAACCGGGTCCCGGCGGCGCTCAAGCCCTACTTCAAGCTCGAGGAGTACAGCCCGGGCGTGTACGAGGTCGTCATCCTCGACGGCTGGCGCGGAAAGGTCGTCTCGAACCGGCCCGACCGCTCGTACGCGACGAGCGACCTGTTCGTCAAGCACCCGACGCTCGACGCCTTCAAGTTTGTCGGTCGCGTCGACGACACCCTCGTGCTGGTGCGCCCGCTTCTCTCTATCTCTCTCAGCCTATCCAGGAGCACGAATTGACGAGCCTGTATGCCCTTCCCTCTGCCTGCGCTCGCAACTTCCCCCTCGCCGCACCACCTTCCTCGTCCTCGTCCTCGCCCTTACCTCGGCCTATCCATCCGCTCCTCGCCCGCCCGGCACCCTCTCTTTGCGTCACCTACAGGTCACGGGCGAGAAGGTCAACCCTGTCCCGATCGAGCTCACGTTGCGCGGCGAGTCGCCCTACATCAAGGACGCGATCGTGTTCGGCGTCGAGCGGACCCAGACGGGCGCGCTCGTCATCCTGTCCGACACCGTGGACCCGTCGACGCCTCGAGACGAGCTCATCAAGCTGGTCGCGCCCGCCGTCGAGCTCGCCAACTCGGAGGCGCCGTCGCACTCGCGCCTGACCGAGGAGATGCTCGTCTTCCTCCCCGCCGACACGGTCATTCCTCGCGCCGACAAGGGCTCGTTCATTCGCCGCAAGGTGTACGTCGCCTTCAAGGACATCATCGACAAGAGTACGTCCGGACCGTGTCACTTGCCTCCCCGTCTCGAGCCGACTGACCTTTTGAGCCCTCGACCGCAGCCTACTCGGACCTCGAAGGTGGCACCGGTGGCTCTCGACCTGTCGGCGCGCTCGAGGACATGCGCTCGTACGTTCACGAGCTCATCGCGTCGATTGTCAAGTCGTCGGACGGCCTCGAGGACGACACGGACCTGTTCTCGTTCGGGCTCGATTCGCTCGCCGCCACTCGCATCCGCAACGCTCTGCAACGAGTGCGTCTCGACCGTCGCGTTCTCTTCCGTCGTCGCCGTACTGACCCTTTTGCGCCGCGCAGGAGCTCGACTTGGGCGGCAAGAAGTTGCCGATGAACTTCGTCTTCGAGCAGCCGACCATCGCCAAGTGCGTCCCCTTCCTCCTTCCCTTTCCGCCTCGCCGACTCGTCGACTGACCCTTTAACCCCTCGCAGGATGTCGGCTTACCTGGTCGCGCTCGCCAAGGGCGAGTCGGTCATCGAGCGCACGCAGGTCGAGCAGATGGGCGACCTCGTCTACAAGTACCGCCACTTTGACGTCCCGAGCACGCTCTCGCCCAACGCCACCTCGCCTGCATCGGCCGAGGTCGTCCTCCTGTCGGGTGCGACGGGCTCGCTCGGCGCCAATCAGCTCGCGCAGCTCCTGTCGAAGCCCGAGGTCAAGAAGGTTTACACGCTCGTGCGCGCCAAGGACGACGAGGAGGCGGCAGTGCGCGTCAAGACGTCGCTCGAGGAAAAGGGCCTCGCCGGCGCACAAGATTCGCGCATCGTCGCGCTCGCCGCCGACTTTTCGCAGATCGCCTCGGCCTGAGCGAGTCGCGCTTCGAGGAGGTCAAGTCGGACGTGACGGTCGTTCTGCATGTGCGCCCTCTGTTCTGCCTGGTCCCTCTCTCTCTCTCTGCAGAACCGAGAACTGACCTTGCACGTCGTGACCTCGCCGCAGTACGCCTGGAGCGTCAACTTCAACCTGTCGATCGGCTCGTTCGAGCCGCACATTCGCGGCGCGTGCAACCTCATCCAGCTCTGCCTCTCGTCGCGCCGACTCGCCGCCTTCTACTTCGCGTCGTCGGTCTCGGCGGTCGCGGCCTACTCGGGCCCGTCGAACGTGCCCGAGGCAGTGACGGACGACCCGCACTCTGCGCAGGGCATGGGCTACGCGCGGTCCAAGTGGGTGACCGAGAAGCTGTGCCAGATCGCAAGCGAGACGACGCCGGTGCGGGCGGTCGTGCTGCGCGTCGGGCAGATGGTGGGCTCGACGGTCGACGGCCGGTGGAACGAGGTGCGTCCTCTCCCTCTTCCTCCTCGACTGTCTCGATGCGGGACCTAACGATCGCTCTCCGACGCGCAGACCGAGGCGGTGTCGCTCATGATCAAGACTGGCGACACACTGCATGCGCTGCCTGAGCTGCAAGAGGTGCGCTCGGCCCCCTTCTTCCCCGCCCCATCCCTCGTCGCCCGCCGGTCGCTCGCCGCAGGGGCTCGATCTGGACCGCCCTCTCGCGCGCTCGCCTCGACCAGATCGTGCACTAACGCTCTCTGCCCGCCGCAGACGCCGAGCTGGCTGCCCGTCGACTGCGCGGCCTCGACCATCTGGGACCTCGTCACGAGCGAGCCGCCGTCGGCGCGCACCTCTCAGTGCTGGCACGGTGCGTCGTCCTGTTCTTCTTCCTCGGGCGATGAATGTACGATGAGCGGCCCGGCCTGACTCTTGTCGACCTGCGCGCAGTCCTCCAGCCTCGCCTCGTCCACTTCTCCTCCATCCTCGACTCGCTCGCCGCGTCCGGCATGACGTTCGAGCGCGTGCCGCCTGCCGAATGGGTCGACCGCCTCCGCAAGGGCCCTCAAGACCCTGTCGCCAACCCGGCCATCAAGCTGCTCGGCTTCTTCGAGTCGAAATACGCCTCGAAACCCGCCTCCGGAACCGCCGTTCCCGCCGACGACGCCGCACCACCTCGTCGCTCCCTCGACTGCTCGCGCACCTTGGCGACGAGTCCGAGCCTGCGCGATGCACCTGTCGTCGGCAAGGAGCTCGTCGCTCGATACGTCGAGGTGCGTCGCCGTCCTCTTCCTCCTCGCCCGATTGAGGCACCCTCCCTGATGCTCGGCCCCTCTTTTCTCGCAGGCTTGGCGCAAGTCCGGGTTCCTCGCACCTGTGGGTGCATGAGGCAGGCCGCTTGGACAGGAGCTCGGTCGAATGCTCGCGGTGCGCCAGAGGGAGTTTGCCGTCCCGAGGGTTTTGTGGCGGACGTTGCCGCCCTTGTATCTCTCGAGTCCTTTCAATGATCATCAGTACTCTCGGCACGGTCTGTTCGCAGCTGCGAGAGCTTGACCGCGAGCGCCCTCGACAGCTCTCGACTTGAAAGCCGGAAAGGAGAGACAGCGCACGGTCCGCCCGCCTTCTGCGCGCACAGCAGGCGCGCTTCAGTACAAGCCTGTCGAGCAATCCTGAGCTGCAGAAAGCTGCACTGGACCGGCGGTCGCGCCGCGCAAGGTCGGGTTGTCGACCCACCTCTGTTCCGAGAAGTGGGTGGCCGCTCTCCGTTCCTCCCTCTCCACTCACCGCACGTCCGGCTCTGCACGACCGCTCATGGCCGAGTCTGCAGCTCGACACGACCAAGCGCACCCTGCTGCGCACGCTGCTGGCCCCTCAAGCGCGTTCGCCCCCGACCCTCCCCCACCCTCGACGACCAGCTCCGCCAATCCTCCTCCGGCAGCGACGACGCCAGACTCGCCAGACGAGGAGCGCCTGCCTTGCACCTTCGAGGGCTGTGACCGAGACTTCAAGAAGATCGCGCACCTCCGCCGGCACATGAAGACTCGTGCGTCCTCGTCCCGCCCTCCTCTCTTTCCTGTCGCGCAGAGGCGAGTGACCCGCACACTGACCTCGCTCGGTCCCTACAGACGACTCGGCACCGAGCTACGAGTGCTCGTCGTGTGGCAAGAAGTTCATGCGCCGGTGCGTCGCTCGTCCACGCACCCTTGCGAGTCTGGTCGAGGAGCGTCAAGCTGACCTCGCTCGCCTCGCAGAGACGTCCTCGTGCGCCACACCTCGTCCGTCCACGGCATCGTCACCAAGCACCGCAAGGCGTCATGCATCGCCTGCGCCATCCAGAAGCTCAAGTGCGAGGGCGAGTTCGACGAGCAGTGCAAGCGCTGCGCCCGCCTCGACCTCGACTGCGTCTTCAAGAAACCCAGCCGGTCGTCAGAACCTCCGCGCAAGCGTACCCGCACCTCGTCGCCCTCGCCTGACCGCGACGACGTCGATTCGGCCTCCCTCGAGCCCGACGAGTCGCCCGCGCAGTCCGCCGTCAACCTGCACCCCGCCATCATGCCTCCTCCGCCCTTCTTCCACCATCACCCGGGCTCGTATACCTCGACGTCCTCGGCCCAGCACGGCGTCGGCGCATCTCCCCAACCCGGCCCTTCACGCCTTCCGACGGACCCCTTTCCCTCGACCTCGACCGCCCTGCATCCGACGCCGTTCCTCCCGCAACCGGACCCGTCGTTGCAGCAGGTCGATCGCGACCCGTCGCCGCTGTGGCAGCCGTCGTCGTACAACTTCTCGGCAGAGCGCACGTCGGCAGCGTTGAGCAACATGGCCCGTGCGTCCAGCCGTTCCCTCGCCCTCGACGTGCCAAAGCTCACCTTCTTCCCTCGTACAGCGTTCGACTTTCTGCCCAACATCATCGATCCGCCGGGCACCGGCGATGTCGCCGCCTCGTTCGACGCGAGCGCCGGGTGGGGCCTCGGCGACACGGAGCTCGACCTCGTCAGCATGTTCAACCTGGGCGACGGCAGCAGTCGGGCCGCACAGCCGTCGCAGTCGGGCTACGACACGCCGAGCGTCGACTGGCTACGTCTGCTTGGGAGCCTGCGAGATCCGCCGACGGCTGCCGCCCAGACGGTCGCGCCGGGTCCGCCTGCTGGACCTCTCGACCCGACCTCGTTCCGCCAAGGCCCACCACCTCGACCGACTACCAGCACCCGAGAGCAGCTCGTCGGCGTGTCGCCGCACGCAACCCTGAGCGCCGTCGACTCGCTCGCGACGCCGTCCGACGGCGGCGGACCCGAAGCGCCGACCGCCACACCATGGGTCCGTCCCTCTCTCTCTTCCCACGCGTCAGCCTTTCGATATCGTGCTCATACTTCTCGTACCGTCCACAGCCGCATGTCTACCAGCCCGTCGCTCCCGTCGGCCCCCTCTCGCTCCCGACGGTGCCCAACCCTCCTCCACCACTCGTCTTTGAGCAGCCGGGCGCGATGATCTCGACCGAGGTCCGCGAGGCGATGCTGCAGCTTCTCGCCGCCTCGCACACGTCGCCTTGGGCCGGCATCTCGCTCGAGTCGTTCCCGTCGGCGTCGGTCCTGTCGATCTGCCTCAAGCTGTACCTGTCGCGGTTCAACAGCCACTTCCCGATCCTCGACCCGGTCAGCCTCGAGCTGGCGAGCTCTTCGCCGCTGCTCCTCCTGTCGTGTGCCGCCATCGGCGCCATGTACCGCGCCGACTTTGAGGGACTCGGCATCGCCCTGAACGAGCTCGTGCGCCGGCAAACCCTGTGGATGGTCCGTCTCCTTCTCTCCCTTCGTCTCTCCTTCTCTAGCGTCAAGTGGCTCACCTTATCTCGCCCTGCCCGCAGCGCGAACAAGATCCTCGGGCGTCGTTCGAGCTCGAGGTCATCCAGGCGTGGCTCCTGTCGTCCATCTCGGGCCTCTTCTGCGGGAGCCGGAAGCTGTATCAGCACGCCGAACACGCTCGAGGCGGGCTCGCGACCGCCGCACGGCGCATGGAGCTCTTGCGCGAGACGCGGTCGTGCGTCGACGAGCTCTGCAGCAGGACGACGCCCGACCCCGAGGAGCTCGTCGCCGCTCGTCGCGAGGATGAGCTGCGCCTGCGCTGCGGCTGGGGCATCTACGGTGCGTCCCGACCTCCCTCGCGCCCTTTCCTCCCCCTCGCCTCCCCGCCTCCCTCGTCCTCTCTCCTCCCTTCCCTCTCCTACAACCGCATATTGATCTCTTTCGCTCCCGCGCAGTGTTCGACAGTCTCGTCGCCTCGCTCCTGCACCTGCAGCCGGTCATGTCGATCGACGAGGTTGCCGCCACGACCTACCTGCCGTCCGAGACGTTTACGCCCGAGTTGCCCGACCGCGTCCGGTTCCGGGCCACCCTCGCGACCCTCCTGACGGACGGGCGCATCGAGCAGCCGCTCACGCCGTTCTCGACCGTCGTCATTCAGCTCACGCTGTACCGGTACGCCCGCCTTCCTCTGCGCTCGAACCTCTCCTCGCGACTGACATCCCCTCTTCTCGCGCAGGCTCTGCCTCGACGCGTCAAACCTCGCCAACGTGCTCGACGGCGTCGTCCCTGCGACCCGCACTGGGACATACCGCCTCCCGTTCAGCCCCGACGTCAAGCAGTGCGTCCCTCTCTCCGAGCCCTCTCCTCGCCGAGTCTCTCTCCTCGTCGAATTCGCCCTCACGCCCTCGGTCCTCACGTCCACAGCAACCCTCAAGAGCTCCTCGACCGCATCGGCTCGGCGTGGCACTCGTCGAGCGTCAACGTCACTTCGCTGCACGTCATGGCGACGGCCCTCTCGTTCCACGCGGCGCTCCAGTTCTCGTGCGGCGAGTTCCTGTCGCAGGCCAAGGTCTGTGCGGGCAAGTACGGGGGCGATCGGGCGGCGACGGCGAGGGCGTGGGTGCGGGACAAGGCCGAGAAGGACCCGGTCGCGGTGCGACGAGTGCTCGCGAGGGCGCTGCAGCTCAACGCGCTCCTCGTGCGGCACCGCTTCGAGTGCGTCCTCCTCTCTCTCTCCATCTCTCTCTCTCGATCGCCTCCTTGTGTGCCCCGCACTGATTCCCTCGCCTCTGCAGCACGCCGTCCGAGACGATCTGGCTCGCCGACTCGGCGCTCGCAGTATGGGCGGTTCGTCCCTCTCCCTTTTCTCGCACTCTTTCTTCCTCTCGCGGCACCTCGTGATGGTCCCCCTGACGCTGTACTCTCCTTCTCAGATCCTCACCTTTGCGGGCCGGCCCCTGTTCGACCCGCCGACGGCGCTCCAAGTCGTCACGACGATCAAGTGTGCGTCCTCCTCTGAACCTGTCCCCCTCTCGTGGTCTGCAGCACCTCACGCTCTTCCCCCTTCAACACAGGGAACGACGCCGGCCCGGCGACCGAGTCGTGGATCCAGTGCGGCGGCGCGCTCTCGCTGCGGTCGGGCCTGGGTGAGTACGGCACGGCGACGCCCGGGAGCGTCCTGCGCAAGTTCAGCGAGCACCTCGAGGACCTCCCGTGGGGGCTCTCGAGGAAGTACCGCGCCGTCCTGTTGCAGTTGAGCCAGGAGGACGAGGTGTAGCTGTGCGAGGCAGCCCGGTGCGGTGCAGCTTTGCTCGCTCGTCGAGCAGTTTCTTGCCTTTGCTGTGCTCGACGCCGAGCGAGAGAAGGAGCGCGCGCGCGAGAGAAAGAGAGAGAGAGAGCACGAGAGAGCGACAGAGAGGCACAGGTCGCTTTTGCGGCGGGCCCCTCGACCTCGAGCGAGAACGGAGAGCTGCAGAGCCCCAACTCGAGTCTTTCGCTGTCCCGGCGCTCTCACTCAGTGCGCGGATGAGAGGGGTTCTAGTATTGCGCGTCAGGAAGGTACTACGAGGGGGAGGCGAGGGAGATCAAGACAAAAGGAAGGAAGGGGTGGGGGAGGACCGTAGAGGGCCAAGCGAGGTCGTCGAAAGAGTGAGAGTGGGAGGGGAAAAGGCGAAGGAGGATGGGTGTAGGTCAAGGTCGAGAGATGAGAGGGAGGCCGAGCCTCAGACGGCGTACTTCTGGGTCCACTCGCGCGAGACCCTCATGGCGTCCTTCTCGTTCTCCTTCCAGTGCGACGCGACGTCATTCGCCAGCGGGTCGTCCTGTGTGCGGGCCGCCAGCCTCAAGAACGTCAGGACCGGCTCGAGACGAGACGAGACAGGTTGCTCGCGAAGAGAGAGATCGCGGAGGCGCCGCACGCACCGGGTTGGGCGCCGAGAGGAGGGCCTGGATCGAGAGGAGGACGGTGCGGATCTGGAGGGCCGGGGACCACTTGTCCTTGAGGATGTCGAGGCAAATGCGCCCGAGCTTGTCGATGTTGGGGTGGTAGATCTTGGTGAGGAAGCGCACTTTGGGCGGCGCCATCGGGTAGTCTTCGGGGAGGAACAGCTCGAGCTTGAACTTGCCGCCTGCATCGTCGCGAGGCGGGTCAGTCGGTGGTCGGGAGAGAGAGTACGCGAGAGAGAGAGCGCAGGTGCTCACCCTCGAAGGGAGACGAGTCCGGGCCCGAGATGACGACGTCAAAGTAGCGCAGGTTGTCGTCGTGCGGCTCTGCCGAGATGCCTGGCGGCGAGTCGGCGACGAGGCGCTGCGTCTCCTGCGGGCGTGCGAGAGGTGTCAGGGAGTCCTGTGCGGTCGGGAGAGGGGCTGCGTCTTGGTCGGCCCGGCCGAGGGCGAGCATGCGGAAGCTGCCCGAGGCAGAGAGGCGAGCGCGCAGGGGCTACACCGCCCAGTATCCGGTCGACGCTCCTTCGAAGGCTCGAGGCATCGCCCCGCCGCCCTTGTCCCGCCCGCCGAGCGATCCCCTGCAGCTGTCCCCCGCTCGCGCGACCCGTTCCCCTCGTCCTCCCTGCTCAACCGCGACGGCTCGCCGAGGGTGCTTGCTCACCTTGATGATGCGCTTGGGCAGTGCTGCGGCCATTGGTGCTGCTGCGAGGCTGCTCTGGCCGTGTAGAAGCGAGAGAGGCGGAGGAAGGTGACGCGGGGTGGGGGCGTCGAGGTCGAGAGGGGCGAGACGGCGCGCGACGGAGGGGCGAGCGGCGGGGCGAGGGCTTGGAGGCGTGCGCGAGGGAGCAGGCAGAAGCTCGAGCTGTACAAGTCGGTCGAGGTGAAGAAGGCAGCTCGCTCGTCCTCCGCGGCCGCCTCCTCGTCGGCGACCGCTTTCGTCTCGCAGTGGTGGCCTGATACAGTCGCCTGCGCCTAGCGCAGTACATCGAGAGGCTCTCTGTGCAAGCCCGGCAAACCCCCGTGCTGCCCGGCTCTCTCGCTCTCTCTCTCCTCGGCTTCCGCTCCGACGAGCATGCAGGCCCACCTTGGTGCGCAACGCGGCCGCGAGAGCGGGCACTGCCGAGCGAGCGTGACCAGGAAGCCGTACCGCCTGCGTCGCTCGAGCAGGACGCGGCGGCGAGCCCGAGTTGCTCGAGCAGAGCGTCGAACAAGAGCTGCGACCTCGTCGCCGACAAGCACCTCGGCTTGGGTCGCGCAGCCAGAGACGCATCTCCGAACACATCTCTCGCAGCGGGGGCCGCACGAAACGTCGGCGTACCGCGTTTTGTCACTGCAGTTCCTCGCTCCGTCTAGACGCGCACTCCCTCGTCGACGACCTGAACCCGAAAAGGACCGGGCGGCAATCAGTGCTTGGCGGCAGCCTTCTCCTTGTGCTCGACTGTGAGAGAGACGTGAGTCAGTACGTGCTGGGCGAAACGCGAGAGGCAGCGCGGCGAGAGCCGGCGAGGACGGGGTCACGCTGCGAGGACGAGCACCGAGTCAGTGCACAGTCGAGGACAGGCAAGAAGGGGCGACCCGGGGACGCACCACGGTCGTTGATAAAGTTCTCGAGGAACGCGGCCTCCTCCTTGCTCGTCGCCGACTGCTTGGGGTCGACCTGCTCGGACGCGACCTTCTTGTCGCTCGAGCCGCCGCTCATCGACGCGTACACGCCGAGGCCGGTCAGGCCGTACACGCCGAGCGCGATGTACTCGTTGAGCTGTTGGCGAGGGGGTAGGGTTAGCTGGGAGTGGCCTCGGGGCTGAGGGAGGGAGAGGAGGGGAAGGAGACGACGCACGATCTTCTTGCCCATGATGGTGCTGCGCAGGGTCGAGAAGGGCATTGTCAGTGCTCGTCCAAGCTGGCGCGCACCCGCCTGGCTGGCCAGTGGGCGTGACGGCGGCCAGGCGATGAGAGCGAGTCGGGTCGGGCGACGACGGGGCTCGCGGCACCACGGCACGGCGCCGCGGGCCGCTTAGAGGGGGCGGCCGTGCTGCACAGAGAGTAGACGGGCAGGGACGCACTAAGACATGGTCGGCTAGAGGCGGTGCGGTGAGGCGGGAGGGGGGAACAGCTCGAGGCGCCAGCTGCCCTGGTTTGCTCCACCCGACCCCGACTGCTCGTCGCAACCTCGCTCGGGCCGAGTGCTGCGGTGCTCGACTGCCTCTCTCGACTGCTCTGAGCGTGCTCCCGTGCTCGCGGCCCTCGGCGGTGCCGACTCGTCGTCTTGCCCACGGGCTCCTCCAGCCGAGCGTCTCTCGACCGGCCACGGCGCTCCTACCCGCTCGGCGCGTGCTCGTGCCGGTGTCCAGCGAGTCCTGCACTGGCCCTGTAGCCAGTGCGGACCGCGCGGGCTCGCAGGCGGTGCAGCGACTCAGCTCTCGCTCGCCGGCTCTGCCAGGCTCGTCCAGCCCGCGTGCTCTGCGGGCGCGAGCCCCGCTCAAGCGCCAACATGCTCTCCCGGCGCAGCTCGTTTGGTGCGCGCACCCCTGCGCCCCGTTCTCGCTGACCTCGGCCGCGTCGGCCGCTCTCCTCGCTCGCTCGACAGCTGCTCCGCGCGCTCGTCTGCGCCTCGTCCACTCGGCCGGCCTCGACGATCGCGATGGCGACGAGCGACACCGCAAGGCGCTGCAGGCTGTTGGCCCCGCAGAAGTGGCGCGAGCGGAGAGGGAGAGCACGCGACAGTCCGACAGCAAGCGAAGGTTGGCGAGCGGGGCGAAGGGTCTCGTCGTCCCTGCCAGCGAGGCTGCGAGTTGCGTACACTTCGAGAGCAGGGCACATAGCGGAAGTAGAGAGCCAGGACGAGGTGCGCCCGGACCTTTCACGCTCGTTCGATTTCGGACTTTGGCTCGAGAGTCGAGGCTGCCCGGTCGGCCTCGTCGCCGCTCGACCTCCCCTCACTTGACTTGCTCGAGCCTGGCCAACACAGCATGCCCACACGCTGCTGCTGAAGCACCTTGCGCACACCCGCACACCACCCTGCACCAGCCCCGGCGCCGCCTCGCCGTTTCCCCCCTCCCCGTCGGCTCGTCCGACGCCAAGATCGCCTCCTCGCCACAAGCCGAGCCCGCCGCGTCGCCCACCCGCCATGCCGCCGCCGCCGCCGCCTGCTCCACATCAGCCACCACGACCCGCGCCCGAGCCGCGCGCGTCCACCTCGCGCACCAGCCTGGACGACCTCGCGCGCGCCGACGGCGAGGCGGGGACGAGCGGGGGAGCCCGCACCGAGGGCGATAAGCCGCACACGGCGCGCACCGACTCGCCTGCGCCCTCGAGTGCGAGCGCAAAGGGCAAGGAGCGCGACTGGAGCGTCGAGCTCGCCGTCCTCGCGCCAGACGGCGCCGACGAGCGAGGAGCGCGAGGGGGGACGGACGGGGCGGAGCGCGGCAACCTCGCGCCTGCCGGCGGGTCGGGGCAGGACAGAGGGACGGGAGGCGCTCCTGCAGCACCAGGAGCGACGCAGCACGGCGGCACGCCGCGTCCCTCGTCGTCGAGCGATGCTCCGACCCCGGTGCCCACTCGTCCGCTCGAGCCGGCAACCGCCTCGTCCTCGCCTCCTCCGCCCGCACCAGAACAGCCCGCCCGACCTTCCCGACCTCCCCTCCAGTCCATCCTCAAGCGCCCAGAGCTCGCCCGACCCGCCTCGTCCCAGGGTCGCTCCCTCGCCTCGTCCACCCCTCTTCCCCTCCTCTCGACCGCCCCGCTCCCGCCCGCCCAACCCGCCGCCGCCTCCGCGCCCCTCACGCCGACGCAGGGCACGCTCGCCCTCGATCCTCCGACGCCCGACTCGGTCGACGACGAGAACAAGGACAAGCTCGCCGTCGCGCACCCGCACACGGTCCTCTTCTCGACCCCGGGCACGACCACGTCGGTCCTGCCCCTGTCGTCGCCCTCGCGCCTGTCGCACCACTCGGGCTACTCGTCGTCGGCCGCCGGTGAGCACGGCGCAGGCGGCGGCGGCGACTTTACGGGCACGTTTCGCAGCTGGAAGTCGAGCGTCATGGGCCGCAAGAGCGGCGTGTACGAGAAGAAGCGCCTCGCCGAGCTCGGGTTCGACGAGGAGCTCAGTCGAGACTACGACTTCTTCGCGAGCTTCGGCATCACGATCTGCAACGTTGGCGGCTTGCCCGGTGCGTCCCTCCCCTCCCCTTGCTCCCTCAGTCGGGCCTCCTCATGCGACCTCGACTGACTCGTCCCCTCGTCCTACAGGCACCACGCTCGGCGTCCTGACGGCGCTCGAAGCCGGCGGTGGCTCGATGTACGCCATCGCGTGGCCCCTGTCGGGCCTCTTCATGATGTCGCTCGCGGCCGTCCTCGGCGAGATGGCGTCGACTTGGCCCGTCGCCGGCGCCATGTTCACGTGGGTCTTTCGCCTGTGCCGCAGCCGCAAAGGGCTCAACCCGTGGGCGCGCTACGCGAGCTGGGTCGTCGGGAGCTTGCTCCTGTGCTCGCACATCCTCCTCCAGGTGCGTCGGCGCTGCGTCCTATCTCTCTCGCCCGCTCTCGCACTCGTGCGACTCGGGCGTGCATGCACTCGAACTAGCCCTGACCCTTTTCACTCCTCCTCGCAGATCGTGTGCACGTGGCAGTTTGCGCACAACCTGCTCGGCGTCGTCGGCCTCTGGACCGAGAAAGAGTACTCGTACTGGGTCGTCGTCGCCATCTCTTGGGTGCGCCCAGCTTTCTCTCTACTCCTACCCTCGAGCGGCGCTCACGCCTCGCTCGTGCAGGGCATCGTCACCTTTTCGGCCCTCGTCGTCTCGTCGCGCATCTCGCGCTCACCCTGGCTGTGGCGCATCTGCGGCGCGCTCATCATCCTCTTCTTCATCACGATCAACATCACCCTGCTCACGACCGCCGACCGGATCGCGTGCGTCCCCTCGTCCCTGCGTCCTCGCCGGAGCGAACGTGCCCTGACCCTTTCTTGCTCCGTCATGCAGCCCGGCCGAGTACGTCTTCACCTCGTACCGCAACTCGACGGGCTTCACGTCCAAGAGCTACGTCTACATGCTCGGTGCGTCCCGCGCTCGCCCTCTCTGTCGTCGTTGAGCTCCTCTCGAGCCGGACCTGACTTTCTCTCCCTCGGTCTCGCAGGCTGGGTCCTCACGTGCGTCGCGACGGGCATGGAAGCGTCGGCGCACATGGCCGAGGACACGAAGCGCCCGTCGAGGACGGTCCCGTTGGCCATGTTCTGGAGCGTCGCGGCAACCTACATCATGGGCTGGGTCTCGATCTGCGTCCTGCTCGCCGTGCGTCCCACTTCTCGCTCTCGTCGTCTCTCTCGGACAGATCCTGACGCGTCGTGTGCACCCTCGCAGACGATGCGCCTCGACGGCCTCGACCCGGACCTGCAGCCCTCGATCGCGCTCCTCGCCAACTCGATCCCGCGCCGGTACACGACCCTCATCCTCGTCCTCGTACTTTTCTCGTTCCTTTTCCAGAACGTCGCCCAGCTCCTCGCCACGTCGCGGTACATCTGGGCCTTGGCGCGCGAGTCGGCCCTCCCGTTCTCGACCTTCTTCCGCCGCCTGAGCGAAAAGAACCGCACGCCGACGGCCGCCATCTGGGTCGTGTGGGCCATCGCCTTTCCGGCGCTCCTCCTCGTCGCCATCAACGTGTCGATCATCGCGACGACGCTCCTCGAGGGCGCCGGCATCACGTGCGCGGCGAGCTACGTCGCGCCGCTCCTGTTCTACCTCGCGTGCCCGGCGGGCGTCCTCAACGGCGACGGGCGCGCCAAGTGGACCCTGCGAGGGGCGAGCAAGGTGCTCGCGGCTCCCGCGGCCGTCTTCCTCCTCACGTTCATCGTCATGATGAGCCTCCCGACTGGCTACCCCGTCACGGCCCGTGCGTCCCCTCTCTCCTCTCTCGTATCTTTCTCCTTCCCTCGTGCGCCTGTCTGAGACACATCGCCGTCACAGTCAACGCCTCGTACGCCTCGGCGATCCTCCTCGGCGTCCTCCTCCTGTCGTCGCTCGCCTGGGTCGTCTACGGCAACGCTCGCTACGCCGGCCCGATCAAGACGACGACGCGGTGGACCATCGGCGCCGAGGTCGATCTGCGCTCGGGCAGCCAGGGCGCGCAGGGCACGGGCCGCAGCCGCAAGAAGAGCTCGGCGCAGCAGCAGCAGCAGCAGGAGGCGCCCGTGCGCACGATGGGCCAGAGCACGACGAGCGAGGAGCACGGGCGCAGCGCGCACGTGTGGGCGACGAGTAACGGCGGCGCTGCGGGCGAGAGCCGGGCCCGGGCCGAGGGCGACACGCGCGACGACGAGCGCAGCGCGGCGTGGACGTACGCGAGCGGCGAGGTCGGTGAGCGGACGGGCGAGACGACGACGGGCACCGAGACGGGTACGGGCAGCGGGTGGAGCGAGTACACGTCTGAGGGGGACGAGGAGAGTACGGGATCCGAGGAGGACGAGGACGAGGAGGAGCGGCGGAGCCCGTCGAGGTCGCGAGGGCGGGCCCGCGACGAGGAGCATCGCGTTTCGTGAGCCTGTGTTTCTACTCTCTTCTCGATACTGCCCCCTTCCCTGTATCCCCATGTCGTGCACCTCCTCCTGCGCCGGCGCTCGGGCCGTGCGCGTCGTCGTCGTCGTCGTCCTTGTTGTTCTTCCTGTTACCCCTCCTCGTCTCGCGCGACCACTCTCGGCCGCAGCAAGCTCTATTCACTCTCTCTTTCTCGAACCTGGCCGACCGCGAGAAGAACGACAGACTCTCGACGTCGTTGCCGAGCCGCTCTACTTCTGCCCGTCTGTGCGCTCGTCCTGCTTGCGCATCGCCTCCCGCCGCTCTCGCACCCACCTCCTCCACTTGCTCCACACCTTCTCGTCGCCGGCGTCGATGTCCGCGAGCGCGGCGGCCGCCGCCGCTGGCTTGCGCCGCACACTCAGGCTCCTCCGACTCGCCCGCGCCGCCGCCCTCGTCGACGCCGAGCCCTCCCAGCGTCGGCCGTACGAGGCGTAGGTCGTCGACGTCGACTCGTTCCGGTCGAGCAACGGCCGAGCGGTCGGGAAAGCCGAGAGCGACGTCGGCCGCGCAAAGGCCGCGACGCCGGGTGGAGCGGGAGGGCGTCGCGAGACGGGCGGCTTGGACGAGGGAGCTCCCGACGAGACGGCGTGTGAGGACGTCTGTCGAGGGGTCTGATAGCGAGGCGATGTCGGCAGGGCCGAGGAGGGCGGTGGCGCCGACGAGGCGCTCGGACCTGCTTCGACCCGCCCGTCGGCTGCGCCTCGTGACGGCCGTCGCGGCTCGCGCGCCGGCGTCGATGCATCGCCAGACGACGTGAGGACGACCCACACATGCTCAGCGGCGGTCGCGACCCGGTCCTCGGCTAGGAGGACGCCGCCGCTCAGGCCGCTCGTCGCCCTCGGCCTGCGCTCGCCGCCGAACATCGTGCTCGCGCTAAAAGCAGACTTGGTGCCGAACGAGCGCGAGCGTCTCGGCCTCGACGAGTGGTCAGACGGGCGAGACGAGCGCGTGAGCATGCGCTTGAGGGTCGAGACGGTCGAGGCAAACGCGGTCGAGGGACGTGTCGGCGGCGGGTGAGGGTTTGAGGGCAAGGCTTGGGCCTGAGTCGGACGGGACGAGTAGGTGACTGGCGCAGAGGCGGTCGACGTGGACGTCGTCGGGAGGTCGGGGAGGGAGTGGCTGGCGAGGAGGAAGGCAGGTGGTGGGCGTCGAGCTGTACCGGAAAGTCGTCAGGGGCGGGTCACACGGGTCGTAAACGTCGACGAGGAACGGACCTGCACGTTCATGCTCGCCAGTCTGCGGCGCCCTGCCTGCTCGACCGACAGCGCTCGCCGAACCGGCCGCCACCGCCGCTTTCGACAACGTCTCGACGGCAGCTCCCGCCTCGACGACGTCCCACTCGGTCGACCGCTTCTTCTGGCTCTGTCGGGCCGCTCTCGCACTGCCCGCCACCGACGACGACGAGCCGAACGCGCGCGGGACCTTGCTCCACAGGTCGGCGACGCCCGACGCTCCGCTCCTCGACGGCTTGCGCTGCGTCCTGCTCGAGCCTATCCCGGTCGACGTCGAGACTTTCGTGTGTCGCGTCGACGGGCGGCGAGCGAGCCCTGGATCGTGGGCGACGGCGTCGAGGTACTCGGGCGACTGGAGGAGCGAGTGTAGGAGGGGGAAGTTGTCCTTGTTGAGGTGGATCGGGCCGTTCTGTGGCAGGCTCCTCGACGTTGGTGCTGCCGAGAGAGCTGGCGAGATCGGGTGGACGGCGAGAGCGGCGTCGGTAGGTCGTCGAGAGACGGCGGACGGAGGACAGGCGACCACCGTCGTGCCGCGAGACGGCACGTGCGACGCCAGCGGCATCGCAGCGAGTGCAGCGAAAGCTAGCTTGCTCGAGAGAAACGAGTAGAGGCGTCGAGCAGGCAGGAAAGCGAGGCGGACGCCGAACTCGAGCGGGAGAAGGCCCCGCCGGCCGGAGAGACGAGGCGGAGGCGGACGTTCGCGGACCGGGGAGAGTGACGCTCCGCGGCAGCAGGAGGCGCGAGCCGGATGCGCAAGCTTCCGAGGCGAGAGCCGAACGCTTGAGCTCGAGGTGCGCGAGAGAGAGGCGAAGCGAGCGAGCGGTGCGAGCGCGGGGCCAATCAGCGGTCGGCTTCGGCATCCCGACTACGTCGAGTGCGAACGCCAACCTCGCCTGCGGTCACCTCGCAGGTGTACGAGCGCCGCACAGCAGACCTAGAGAGACGCAGATGGCGGGACAAGCACCGAGCGCGCAACGAGTAGGGCGCGAGGAGAGAGGAAACCTTGCGCGCTGCCCGGACTGAGAGGAAAGGAAAGGCTCGTTACTCGCTTCCGCTACGCTCCTGCTTCGACTCCCGCGTCTCCGAGATACGCCGAAGGACTCGATCGAGTCCGTATCGAGAGCCTCTGGCACTGCGCACACGAGCATTCGAGCGATGCGAACGTCTGCTCGAGGTCGGAGCGCCGCAGCTCACTTTCACTCGCCCGTCGCGCTCTCGCCGTACTGCTTTCGAGCCTCGACGATGGCCGTCGTTGCAGTATCTCACGAGCCACTCTCTCTCTCTCTCGGCAGAGGCTCAGGTGAGAAGCAAGCTGACGCAAGCCACGATGCACTTCGGCGACCTTCCCAAGTCGAGCCGGACCTCCTCCCGACCTCCTCCACCTCGACCACGGCAGCTCAGCCCACCGCTCCCGCCATCTCCTCGTACGCGACGATCGCCATGAGGGCCCCCTCGAAGCGGCGCAGCGGGCCCATGCCGATGTTGACGTGGGTGAGGGACGGCGGGACCGTGCGGATGAGGGAGCCGGCGTGGTAGAAGTGGCGGCAGCAGCTGTGGTCATGGGCGTCGAGATCCGAGTCAGTCTCGAGGACTCTGAAAGCGAGAGACCGAGGACGTACAAGTCGAGCGAGTCCCTCATCTTGCGGACCAAGTCGAGCAAGCTCTCGAGCGGGTCCTTCGTCTCGGGCGTCTGCCTCGCGATGCGGCTCTGGAGGTCGAGTTCGACGGTGGCGTACGCCTGCTTGAGGGTGTCGCTTGCGAGCTGGGTCTTGGCGACGGTTTGCGCGTACAGGCGGACCTCGGGGTAGGCGTCGGTGAGGAGGACGAGCCGCGTCGTGTCGACTTCTGCGAGGGCGCAAAGAGCTGCATGAGCGGCGTCGAAGGGAGAGAGACGCGTCGAGAGAGAGGGAGAGAGAGGACGGACCGAGGCGCTGCACCTTGCGGTAGGTGTGCTCGAGAGCGAGCCGCTCAGGGGCGCGATGCCTGACCGACGGGTACGACGGCGGCAGGCCCCGGGGCAGGATCGGGAGCGCCGACGGGAGCGCGGCGCGCGAGAGCAAGGCGAGATCGTCGGGGCTGTAGTCGATGATGGCGAGGTGCTTCGGCATGATGGCGCGGAGGAGGGCGAGCTGGCGGACGAGGTGGCTGCGCACAGGCAAGCGGCGTCAGTACGGGGGTTCGGACTGACGTCGAGGACAGAGGACGGACCCAGGGTGCCAGAGCGGGTCCTCGGGCAGGTCGCCGACGAAGCGCCACAGGCCGGCACGACTGGCCTGCAACTGGCACAACTCGGCGGTGCGGGCGCGCTTGTTGCTCTGCGGCTGCTGCTGAAACTCGTCCGGGAGCGGACGCTTGTTCGACAGCGGCACGGGCGACGTCGCGGTCGTAGAGCGAGAGCGTGGTTGACTGCTGCTGCTCGCGTCGTCGGGGAGGGAGGTCGCGCGAGGTGGCGGGGTCGGGTAAGGAGGAACCGCAGTGGGCTGCTCTCGCACGATGCGCGTCCTGCGGTTGAAGAGAGAGAGCGTCAGAAACCCTTCGCGATAGAGTGGACGAGAGGACGAGGACGCACTCGACGAGGTGGACCGGGAAGGCTTCGACGGCGCTCCACTTGGCGACGGTCGAGCGCAAGTGCTCGAACGACGGGTCCGAGACGCTGACGCGGCCGAGCTTGATGACGACGAGCTTGATCTGCGTGTCCTGGTCGGGCCCGACGAGAACACCCTCGCTCGCCTCGACCTTGAGCGTGCAGTCCGTGGCGCGCCCGCTCGCGCCGTCGACCGTCGTCACGTCTGCGCATGGGAGGAGAGTCAGCGACGTGGACCCGAGAGGTTCAAGAGGTCGGCGAGGACGTACAGTGGAAGCTCGTGATGTGCTGCGACTCGATCTGCACCATGACCGTGCCCTCGGGCGACATGACGAGGCCGTCCTCCTTGATCTCGAGCAACAGGTTCTTGGCGAACGACGGCACGCCGCCGAGGTACTGCAGGTCGCAGCGCTCGACGTGGAGGATCTGCTGCGCGATGCGCCGCTGCTCGGCGTCGTCCTCGGCCTGCTTGGCGCGGGCCCGCTCGAAGAACAGGTGCTGCGCCGTCCCGGCCTCGCGCGCCGTGATGCACCGAGGGTTGAACTGCAAGAGGGCGAGCTCCGAGCTCGACATGCTCGACGGCGAGGCGGGGCGCTCAAAGTTGAGCGACATCTCGAGGATGGCTGCGGCGAGGTGGCAGAAGAAGGTCAGGGAGGAGGAGGGAGAGGAGGAGGGAGAGGAGGAGGGAGAGGCTCAGGACGCACGCTGCTCGTGCGAGCCGCGCTTGGCGCTCTCGCGATACATGCTCCGGCGCAGGAGGAACTCGGTGTAGGCGCGCTGGCGGGTGAGGAAGTCGAGGTCGGGGCGGAAGGCGGCAAGGGCGAGTTGAGCTGGCGACAGCGAGATGAGGCTCGCGATGGTGACGGGTGCCGCCAGGTCCTCGCGCAGGAGCGCCTCGTCGAGCGCGCTCATCTTCGGCCGACGGTGCGACGTGGACAAGAGAGAGAGAGCGGGAGCGAGAGAGGGAGGGACCGCCAAAGCCGGAGAGACGGACCGGAGCCATCACCGAGCGACGTACGTCCGTGCGTCGCGGCTCAGGAGAGCGTGTGCCCCGCCTCGATCGCCTCGAGTGACGCAGCGATCAAGCGGAAGCGGCATCTCTCGCTCGCTCGCTCGACACCGGCGCCGATGAGGGGGCTCGAGCGCGAAAACGAGGTCACAGACTTGCTCGTCCAGCGCTGCAAGGCCTGCACCGACAAGCGTAGGACGCGTCCTCGTCCTCAGAACCCTCGGCGGCTCGCCGTCGCCGTCTCGACCGCCCCAATCCAACACCGCTGTCGCTCAGCTACCGCGTCCACCACTTGGTCTCGAACGACGACGACGCATGCCGCTCATCTCGCCCTGACCCCGCACTCGAGCGGCCTCGCTCAGGCGATGGCGGGTAGTCCGAGCGTCGCCTCGGCGGCGGCGGCGAGCGGTCCCGCCCGCGCTCGTACTCGTGCTCGCGGCGGCCCCAGCGCGGCTCGCCGCCCTGCCGGCCGGGCGACGGCGTGCGGCGCCACGCGTACAGCGGCACGTCGGGCGAGCGCTCGCGCCGGCGTGGTGGCGGGGAGCGGTCGCGGCGCGGCGGCGAGTCGAACGGGTCGCGGCGGCGGATGGGCGAGCGCGAGCGGCGGCGGTCAGGCGGCGAGTAGGCTCGACGAGCGGGAGGCGAGTAGGGGCGACGATGAGGGGAGGGCGAGCGGCGAGGCGGAGGAAGTGGGCGCCTGGACGAGTCGAGCGAGTCGCGCTGACGGACGGGCGAGCGAGAGCGACGCCGGTCGGGCGCAGGCTCGGGTCGACGTCGAGGCGAGAGCGAGCGCCGAGGTTGTGGTGGAGGAGGAGGGAGGGTCGGAGGGTTGTGGCGGACAGGAGGGGAAGGGGAGCGCTTGAGGGGAAGACGGGACGGCGACGGCCCACCCTGCCCATACGGCAGCGGCGGCGTGCCCGACTCGTTCGACAGCGGGCGCGTGCTCGCCGCAGGCCGCTTCGCAGGCGACGGCGGGCGCGGACGCGACATGCGCGAGTTGGCGACGTCGGCGGACCCAGGCGAAGGCGGCGTCGAGCCCTTGGGAGGACGAGCCGGCAGAGCCGACGGCAGCCGAGAGGTGCGAGGGGCTTGCGCAGCGGCTGCCACGGGCGCGTGCGGGCGAGGGAGGGTGGAAAGGTGCGGCTGTGGAAGTGGCTGCGGCGGGAAGGTCGAGCTCGAGTGCGAGGGCGCCTCGATCGGCGCTTGTACAGCTAGCGAGGTAGTATTGATGCTGTAGGACAAGCGATGTGAGCCATTGGGAGGCGAAACGGGAGACAGAGAGAGAGGAAAAAGAGAGCGCGCGACGCACAAGTTCGTCTCCCTCGTCTCGAAGCAGAACTCGCCCGCCCACGCCGTCATCGCCTCGCGCAGGCCCTGCCACGCCTCCTCGTCTCGCGCGCTGTCGACCTCGAACCGAACGACGACGGCGCGGTGCGTGATCGACGCCGGCGTGGCGACCTCGGCGAGCGACACGGCGATAGTCGTCCGAGATGCAGGCCCATCGAGCGTCGGCGGCACGACATCTGTGCGGCGAGAGAGAGTCAGGCACGTTGAGGTGTACAGCAGAGACAGAGAGGACGGGAGAGACCGGGACGCACACTCGACCTCGTCCATCTGGTCCGCCTCGAGCCGGAGCACGAACCCCTCCCTCGAGACGACGACGAGCCCTTGCGCCTGCACGCGCGCGACGAGCGGACCCTCGAGGACGTCCTCCCGCCCGCTCTTGTGCACGACGACGCACCGCTCGATGGAAAGCTCGACGTGCGACGAGGTCGCGCGCGAGGTGCTGGACGAGCTCGTCGGGGTCGGCGCCGGGTGGGCGGCGGCGGGGCGAGGCCGAAGGAAGGACGGGAGCCAGGAGGTGATGGAAGTCGAGGCGACGGACGACGTGGGCGCGTACGGCTCGACAGGAGGAGCTGGCGGCGTGAGGTCGGCCGTGGCGAGGTCGGCTGGCGGAGGAGGGGTGCCGCTCGCCATTGTGGACGCAGCGACGGCGATCTCGGGCTCGTTGTGCGCTGCGGCTACGGGAGACGATGTAGGGCGGAGGAGGGTGGGAGATGGCGCTTGCGGAGGCGACGGCAAAGTCGCACTCGGGGCTGGGTCGGTCGTGGCGGGGAGGACGGCCGAGTGGAGCTCGACCGGCGCGAGCGCATCTGGCGAGGCGGAGCCATCATCGTCCCTACGCAAGAGCAACATGAGTGACCTCCTTGCGCATCGAGTGAGACTGAGAGAGAGCTGGGCGCACCCGTCCTCCTTGAGCCGGATGCCGAACTCGCCCGCCATGAACATGACCGCCTCGCACAGGCCCTGCCACGCCTCGTCGTCTCGCGCGCTGTCGATCTCGAGGCGGACGACGACGTTGCGGTGCGTGGTCGAGGTCGACGTAGCGAGCTCGGCGAGCGAGACGGCGACGGTCGTCCGAGTGGAAGGGTGGTCGAGCGTCGACATGTCGATGTCTGTACCGCCGGGAGAGCGTCAGGACCGTCGAGGAGGAGCCCTAGAAGAGAGAGAGAGAGAGCGACTGGGACGCACACTCGACCTCGTGCGTCTGTCGCGCCTCCAGGCGCAACTCGGACCCCTCCCTCGGGACGACGACGAGCGCACTCGCCTCGACGCGCATGACGAGCGGGCCGTCGAAGACGTCCTTGCGCCCGTCGTGGTGCACGACGACGCACCGCTCGACGAACAGGTCGTCGTACGGCACGACGTTGGACGCTGATGCCGGAGAGGGCGAGTCGTCGGACCTGCGTTGGAAAGGCGTGAGCGATCGCGCATCGAGTAGAGAGAGGGACAGAGAGGGAGAGAGGTCGACGCACCCGGACGGCACCCCCATCTCGAAGCCAAAGTCGCTCGCCCACGCCACAACCGCTCCGTACAGGCCCTCCCACGCCGCCTCGTCCCGCGCCGGGTCGATCTCGATCCCGAGCCGCACGACGACGCTGCGGTGCGTAGCCGTCGCCGACGTCGCGAGCTCGGCGAGCGAGAAAGCGAGGGTCGTCACGGCAGGCGAGCCGTCGAGCGCCGGCATGTCGAGGGCTGCGTCGCTCGCGAGGAGCGTCAGTCAGGCTCTCGAGGCTCCAGGCGAACTCGCCGAGAGGGCGAGAGAAAGAGGGAGAGAGACCGGGACGCACACTCGACCTCGTCCATCTGGTCCGCCTCGAGGCGCAACTCCGACCCCTCACTCGGGACGACGACGAGCGCACGGGCCTCGACACGCACGACGAGCGGACCCTCGACGACGTCCTCCTGGCCATCCTGGTGCACGACGGCGCACCGCGCGAGCGGGAGCTCGACGTGGGCGAGGAATGGCGGAGCGGGCGCTGAGCGCGAGGAGGAAGGCGAGTCGTCGGACATCGACATGGGCGCCGAGACCGAGTCGGGGGTGGTCGAGCGAGCGAGGGCAGGTCGAGAGGCCGAGACGGGAGCGGTGGTCGAGGTGACAGGAGGGGTGGGTGGGCGAGGATCGGCGCGAGGCGGGGGCGACGCCGTCAGGTCGACCATGGCGAGGTCGGCTGGCGGTGTGGGCGTGCCGCTCGGCGCCGGCGCAGGCTTCGACACCGTGAGCGCAGCGACGGAGGTATCGTCTGGCGGCAGGTCACTGAAAAGACGTCGAGGTGAGCACCCGAATCGCACAGTGACAGGTGAGGGACGGTGCGGGACGCACCTCGACGACCGCGCCCCGAATCCAAACTGCTTCGCCCACGCCCACATGCTCGACCTCAGGACCTCGAAGCCGGCGTCGCCCTCGCACAACTGGGCCGACTCGAGACGCACGATCGAGCTCGAGAACAGCTTGTGCGGTACTGCGACGAGGCGAGCGAGGCGCAGGAGGATGGTCGGCGGCGAGACTGCCGAGGTGCCGTCGATCGGGGCTGACGCGTAGTCTGCGGGTACACAAAGCGTCAGGAAGAAGTTTCTGGAGAACAGAGGACAGGGGAGTAGAGGACGCACACGTGAAGTCGAGGATCTTGTCGGGCTCGAGGTGGAACAGGCGCCGGCCGCCGCTGCGGCAGACGATCAGGCCGTCGCCCTTAACGTCGAGGACGAGGGACGATTGAGGATCGGAGCTTGCTCCTTTGCTCGAGACGATGCAGCGGTCGACAGGGATCTTGGCGAGAGGCGGTTCTGGGTCGTGTGCAGGCTCGACAGGCGCCGGTGGCGCAGGCGCAGCGAGCCCGACCGCCGTGCCGACAGGTGGCAGAGGTGCTGATACAGGTACATCAGGCGACGTCCTGGCGGCAGAGCCGGCGGTCGCGTGCCGCACGAGCGCGATGAAGTGGGCTCCGGCCGCCGCCGCCTCGGTGTCCGACAGGCACAAAGGGTTGAACTGGACGAGGAGGAGGTAGGCGGGCCCGAGGGTCGAGATGTCGGTCGGGATGGGGAAGTTGAGCGGGACCGAAAGGATGGCTGCGCGAGGTGAGGTGGTCAGGAAACGGGGAGGACGAGGACGAGGAAGAGCAGGAGAGGATAGGAGCAGGGACGCACGCTGAAAGACGTCGGCGCCGAAGCCCTGCTCGCACTCGTCTCGGCGCTGGAGGAACTCGTGATAGGCTCGGCGCTGGACCAGACTGTCGAGGTCGGTTCTGAGCGAGGCGACGGCGAGCTGGACGGGGCTCAGGCTGTCGAGGTCGAACAGGGACGCCTCAAAGTCGCAGGGGACGTGCAGGAGGTCGAGGTCGGCGGGGCTCATGGTCGCCACGGCCGATGGCGCAGGAGGGCGAGGCGGAAGAGGGTTGGTCTAGGCGGTGCTGGCGGCGAGGGTCGAGTCGTCCTGAGCGGTGGCGGTGGGGAGGGCGGCGGCGGGATGGGGATGGGTGCTGGACGAGCTTGCCAAGTCGACGTCGCGCGGCCCTGCTGCGTCGCTGTCGCGCTGCGGGTGGTCGAGCTCGTCGACGAGCTGGGCGAGCTGGCGTTGGACGTCGTGCGCGCGCTGGCGAGCTGCGCGGCGGGCTTTGCGAGGGGCTCTGGCCATGTTGGGCAGGCAGATGGCTGGGTCGCACAACCCTGTGCGACGAAGTGGCCGACTCGGTGGCCGTCCGGAGCGATGAGGACGCGTCGGAGCGCGAGAGCTCTCTCGTCCTCTGCACCCTCCCACACTCGCTCTGCAGCTCGGAGTGACCATGGACTCGAGCCAGCGAGGTAGCAGCATGGCACCTGGCGCACCCGGCGGCCGCCCATCAGCCCGCCGCACCGCCAACAACGGCTCGTCCTCGTCAACCTCCGGCTCACTCGCCGCCCGCCTCGCCCGCAAGGTCTTCCAGCAAAAGTACTCGCTCCAGCTCGCACCAGGCGTCATCGACTGGCTCGACGCCTTCGTCAACGGCTTCGAGCTCGACGACGAGGACGAGATCGTCGACACGTTCGAGCACCTCGTTCGCGGCGCAGTCGGCAGCGGCAGCGGTCTCGGTCCGTTCCCCTCCACTTCTCTCACTTGCGCCAGGACCTGACCCACGAGCGCGCACCCAGACGGGCCGAGCAAGATCACAGTCGAGCTCCTCGCCGAAACGTACGAGAAGCTGCGGGTCACCAACGACGACGCCGAGGACCACGCCCAAGACGGCGGCGCAGACGTCGACACGGCGCATCACCTCAAGATCATCGACGCGTTCGACCTGCCGGCGTGGAGGTGGGACGACTCGCGAGGAGGGTTCGAGAAGTGCGTCGACTCGTTCCTCCCTCTCTCCCTTACCCCGGCGCCCGAGCCTGACCAGCCTCTCGTCGCACAGGGCCGAAACCGCACCAACCCTTGCGCCAGGTGCCCTGTCCAAGGCGCAGTACTTGCGCGACCGCTTCAACATCATCAAGCAGGTCATCCTCCGCAACGAGCACTTTTGCCCGCCGACCATCGTCGACCCAGAACGCGCCGACTACATGAAGGTGCGCCGCCTCTGCGGGATCCGCTCTCTCTCTCTCGAGAACCATCACTGACCCTGCACCTTTTGACCGCAGTTGACGACGATCAAGAACCTGCTCGGGCGGCAAGGCGGCCACTTTCTCATTTTTGGCCTCTTGACCCGCATGGAGGACGGCGAGCTGTACCTCGAGGACCTCGACGACAAGGTCAAGCTCGACCTGTCAGACGCTGTGCGTTCCCTCTCTCTTTCTCCCTGTGCCCTTTCGAGCGGCGCACTGACCCTCGCTCGCCGACCGCTCGCTCGCAGACGCCAGAGTCGGGCCTGTTCACCGAGGGCTCGTTCGTGCTCGTCGACGGCGACTACACGCACGACTCGATCTTCAAGGTGGCCGAGATCGGGCACCCGCCGAGCGAGCGACGAGACGAGGCCATGTGCGTCCCCCTTCCTCTACCCTCTGTGGCCCGAGACCTCGCACTCACTCGCCCTTCCTCTCCTCGCGCACAGGAGGATTCACGGGCACCACGACTTTCTCGGCGTCGGCGCCCTGTCGGCCGCCGAGGAAGCCGAGCTCATCGCGGCCGAGCAGGCGCCGCAGCACGAGACGTCGTTCATCATCCTGTCGGACCTGCACCTCGACAACGCAAAAGTGCTCGCCGCGCTCGGCGACGTCCTCGGCGCGTACAACGACATGGACCCCAAGTCGATCCCGAGGCTGTTTGTCCTGTGCGGCAACTTTCGCAGCCGGCCTTGGCTGTTTGACGGCGAGGCGATGCGCGAGTACTCGGGTGCGTGGCCAGCTCTCTCTCTTTCTCTCGTCGTCGTCGGCACGAGTTCGAGCCCGCGTCGTCGTGATAAAAGAAGTCGTGGCTTACGCTCGCCGTCCTCGTCCCGCAGAGCTCTTCGCGACCCTCGCCTCGCTCCTGTCGTCCTTCCCCGCCCTCCTCGCCGCCTCGCACTTCCTCCTCATTCCCGGCCCAACCGACCCTTACTCGTCCGCCGCCCTCCCTCGCCCGGCACTCCCCGACGCGCTCGCCAAGCCCCTCCTCGCGCGCATCCCCAACCTGACGCTCGGGAGCAACCCGTGCCGGGTGCGGTGGCTCAGCCAGGAGCTCGTCTTTTTCCGCGACGACATGATGGGCCGCATGATGAGGAACGCGGTCCGGTTCCCGGCCGAGGAGCCGGGCAGCAAGGGCGATTTGAGGAAGGCGGTCCGTCCCTCTTCCTCTCTCTCTCGTTACAACGAGTCCTCGGCTCGGGCTCGAGCCCCGACGACGCACGCCCTGACACTGTCTACCTCCCGCTCGCAGCTCGTCCAGACGATCCTCGACCAGGCGCACCTCGCGCCCCTGCCGCTCAACGTCCGCCCCGTCCTGTGGGACTTTGACCACGCCCTGCGCCTGTACCCGATGCCGACAACTGTGCGTCCCCCTCTCTCACCTCTATTTCCCTCCCTTCACTCTCACTGACTCTCTCGCGGCCCGCAGCTCGTCCTCGCCGACTCGTTCGACCCGTACAAGCTCGTGTACGAGCGCTGCCTCGTGTTCAACCCGGGCTCGTTCCAGCGTCGCAGGTTCACGTGGAGCACGTACCACCCGCACATGGCCGAGATCAAGGAGCGCATGGAGGAGAGGTGCGTCTCGCTCGCTCTCTCTCTCTCTGTCTCTCCTTTCCGCTCGAGGCCCGAGAGCGCAAGACTGACTCTCTCCCTCGACCTGCAGCGAGTTGCCCGGGCCCGACGACTATTGAGGAGCGAGCGAGGTCTTCTGTACGGAGTTGTAGATGCTCTCGAGACACAGATGTTGTATCGCTAGCAGACGAGGTGCGCTCGAGGACAGTCGAGAGCGAGAAGGTCGTTCGAGAGAGAGCGGCCCGCATTCGTCGTTGCAGGCTCGAGACAGAGAGAGAAAAGCTCGTCTACAGATATCTACACGTCCTCGACAAAGTCCTGCCTTGGCTGCGTCTTTTGCTGCGCCGACGCGTGCGGGTCAAACAGAAGCTCCTCCTTGTTGTTCGGGTCGGCGCGGTCGGCGCGCTCGCGCCTGAGCGCGGCGAGGACGCGCTTGTTGGCCGACCAAGGGTGCGGGTCGAGGAAGAGGCGGTCCTGCGTGCGGGAGAGGCCGGGGCGGCGAGGAGCGTCAGAGAGGGAGGAGGACGAGGCGGGAAGAGAGGAGGGGAGGGGAGCGTGCGCACCATTTCCTCGAGGGGCACGTTCTTGGTCTCGGGCAGGAGGAAGAAGACGTAGGGGATGCTCATGACGGTGAAGCAGGCGAAGAAGCTGCAGGGAGAGCGGGTCAGTCGTTGGCGGCAAAGTCGAAGGCGAGGAGGGCGACACACATGTACACGCCGTACCCGCCCGCGCCCATCTGCTCAAACATCGTCGGCGTCGCACGAGCGATGGCAAAGTTCCCTGCGAGAGGAGAGGCGTCAGGTCAAGTCCAGAGGCCAGAGAGGTCGAGCGAGAGGGACGCACAGAGCCAGTTCGACGAGGCGGCGAGGCACTGGGTGACCTGGCGAACACTGCCCGGGAACGCCTCGGCATTGACGACCCAGGGCGTTCCGTTCCACGTAATTGCATAGAAGGCTGCAGGAGGAGAAGCGCAGGAGCGCGGGAGGAGGAAGGTCAACTTGGGAAGGTCGACTTTGAGCCCGGCGGAAGGTGACGCACTCGTCCACAGGTACAGGAAGAAGATGGCAGCGACGCCGCCCGAGTCGAGGCTCGACGTCGTCTTGTTCTGCGGCTTGCCGATCGCGATGTAGCCGCTGCGAGGGACGTCGGAAGGTGAGCTCGCGCCGCTTCGGCATGGTCGAGAGCAGGAGACGCACCCGACGATGAACATGGAGACCGAACAGCCTGCCGAGCCGATCATGAGGAGCTTGGTGCGACCGAGGTGGTCGATGAGGAGGAAAGCCCACTGCGAGAGGGCGCGAGACGAGGTCAGTCGACGGTCGGTCGAGAGCGGGAACGGCTCGAGCGCACGATGAGGGAAGCGACAGTCTTGACGACGCCGAACAAGCCCGTCGTGAACAGCGACGTGTTGCCGCCCGTGACGCCGATAGAGCGGAAGATGGTCGGCGAGCTGCGAGGAAAAGGCGGGTCAGTGTCGGAGCGGAAGGAGGAAGTGCGAGGTCGGCTCACTAGTAATTGATCGCGTTAATGCCTGTACCGTTCTGAAGACAGAACAAGCCAGCAGTAGTGAGCATGCGGCGGAAGAGGTAGCCCCGGCTGAAGAGGTGGCGGATGGGCGCAAAGAAGCCTGGACCGACGGCGGTGCGGTCGTTCTCGACCTGGAGGTCGATGTCGTTGACCTCCTGCACGAGGTACGGGTCGTTGTACTCGAGCTTGCGCAAGTAGCACAGGTTCTTGATCGCCTCGTCGCGCCGACCACGCGAGATGAGCCACCGAGGCGACTCCTTGATGAAGAAGGGGATCCCGATCGCGAACAGGCCGCCCGGGATGAGCTGGACGGCGAACGGCTGCGCGCAGTGCGGGTCGTTAATTTCGAGCTCGTCACGTCGACGACGAAGAAGGGCGGTGGCGCAAAGGGAGCGCCCGCGAGGGAGGAGGGGGGAAGAAGGGGGGAAAGGGGCTCGAGCGACGCACGATGAGCCACTGCTTGTGCGAGACGGCGAGTTGCTCAGAGACGCCGTAGTTGATCCAGAAGCCGATGAGGCCGCCGACTGTGGGAGAGAACGACGGCGAGTGAGCGAACGCACACCGAGCAGGCTCGAGAGAGGGAGAGAGAGGGGGACGCACTCTGCCAGCCGATCTCGTACATGCCCACGAGCTGACCTCGGATAGCTGGCGGCGCGATCTCGGAGATGTATAGGGGCGTCAAGTTCGAGGCGGCGCCGCTGCAAGGAGAGGGAGGGGGGCGAGGAGGAAGAGAGGGTCAGTGTGGTTCTCTGGCCGAAGCTCGACGACGGCGACGAACATGCCCAAGCCCGCAATGACCCGACCGGCGTAGATGGGCGCAAAGCCTCGCTCGCCGTCGGCGGCGAGCATGATGCCGGCGCCGAGCGTGAAGACGAGGGCCGAGGCGAGGAGGCCCCAACGGCGACCGAAGTAGAACGCGCAGGGGAGCGCGAGGAGGGATCCTGCGAGCGCGCCGAGCTGGTAGCACGACACGAGCCATGCGCTGTTGCTCGCGACGTTATCGGCGCCGAACTCGTTCTTGAAAGAGGTCAAGGCGACGCTCGTGCCGAACTGCGGGAAGGGGGAAGTGTCAGTGCTCGTTCGCGAGGGAGGACGGAGGGAAGAGGAATACGAAGGCGCTGTCGTAGCCGATCAGGATCGCTGCGAACTGCAATGAAAGAAGCCGTCAAAGACGAGGCGGGTCGAGGAGACGTCGAGGGAAGAAGGGGAGCACGTCAGGTCCGGCGTCTGCGAACCGTCCCTCTCCTTGGAGATGACGCACCGCTGCAACGATTGCCGCCGAGTATACGCGCCTGCACGAGCACCGAGGACAAGGTGAGCTACGGCACGCAGCCGTCGAGGCGAGCGAAGAGGCGACGCACAGGTTGTACACAGCCGACGGCGTCGGCCGGTCCTCGACTTTCTTGAGGCCCATCGTGCGTGGCGTGTCGAGCGACTTGTCGAGCGAGGTCGAAGAAGGAGAGGGCGAGAGAGGTGCCAAGCTGCGCGAGGGGGAGCATCGATGAGATGCCGAGAGGGAGGGCGGGGTCAGCCAGTTGGCGGCGGCGAGAATAGCTCGTGCTCGAGAGGGAGAGGGAGAGAGACAGTGCGGCGCACCTGGTCGAGTGGAGGAGCCGAGCGGGATGCGCGAGCTTGTCGTCGTCGCTCGAGGAGGCGGTCGACGAGGAGAAGCGGGGGGAGGAGGAGGAGGATAGCAAAGAGCAGGTTCGGGGGCCGTGGAGCGCAGCCGAGGGGGACCGCTGGGGAGCTCGGGGTCGCCCACTTCAGTCGCTTTGCTCAGCCGAGCCGCAAGCGTGAGGAGAGCGAGTGGCGAGCGGGTCGGGGAGAGCTGAAAGATCTCTCGAGCCAGACTCGGTCAAAAAGTGCGCGCTGAGCGTTTAGCCGTCGCCCTTGGTGTCGACCTTGGTGATGTCAGTGCGGCGCTCGCAACGCAGTCATTGGCTCGCTGAGCCTTCTCGGACGAGAGCCAAGTGGCCGACGCGCTTTCGTTCTCCGCCGGCCGGCGAGCGCTTCTCCGCGTGCCGCCGCCTCGTCTGCCGACCCACACGCGCCGCAGAGTACTCGCAGCAGCAGCAGGGCGCAGAGCGAGCTCGAAAGGAAGCCGTCGTGGCCGACGAGGCGCTCTCGAGAGCCCGCCGAGCGGAGCGCACAGACCCTCTCGGGAAACCGACTGCGCCTTGGGAAGGTCGAAACGACAAGTTGCTGCGAGATGCGAGAGGGCGAGAGCTACAAAGAGGGGTGCGGTATAGACATGGTGCGGAGAGTCTAGTAAGGAGGGGAGCGCATGAAGAGGGGCATCGGCGCGAGGTTGAGGACGGGGAGGCAAAAGCGGTGGAGAGACCAGAGGCGGACGGGCGGGAGGCCATGCACGAGCCCGAGAGCGAGCCTGCGGGACGCACGAGAGTCGTCAGTGACCTGTGCGACGCCGAGAGAGAGAGAGGGAAAGAGAGGAAGAGGCGGCGCACCAGCTGCGCCCGACGCTTGCCTGCCCGAGCCCAACCACCCACAGCGCGACCCACACCTTGCCGGCCCACCCGCCGACGCGCCTCCTCGTCAAAGCGCTCCACGCGCCCTCGAGCGAGACGGCGAATGGTTGCGCGAGGAAGAAGACCCAGGTGCCGTGGCGCTCGACGAACGAGAGCGACGCGTAGGGGGCCGGGTACAGGGACGAGAGCGGGAGGTGGTGGGCGGCGGCAAAGGCGAGAGAGGAGGACGAGGGCGAGAGGGCGTAGCGGGCCGAGAAGAGGGCTGCGGGGAGGCGACGAGGGTCAGAGTCGGACGAGGGGGAGAGAATAAGGGAGAAGGGAGTGCACCTTGCCAGTGCATCCAGGCGCTCAGGGCAAAGACGGCGACGACGGCGGCAAACTGCCCCGCCTTCTTGGGCACGCCCAGTCGACGAGCGAGGCGCGACACGGGCCGGTACCCGACCGAGGTGAACCTGCGGGCGGCGAGAAGGGCGTTAGGCTCGCTCGAGACCTCGCGCGAGATAGGGAACGAGCGACGCACACGTCGCGGAACAGGGCGTGCCACCGATGGCCCCAGAACCCAGCGAGCCCGCCCTCGCCCATGGCGGCAAACGGCCGGTCAAACAGCGGCGGGTACTCGCGCACGTCGAACGTCGACCGCCACTTGACCGCCTTGCCGCCACCGACGCGGTCGAGCACGGCGTTGAGCACCCTGTGCGCCGCGTACAGGCCGAGCGAGACGCCCTCGGCGCCAATGTTCATCTGGGCGTGCAAGCTCGCGCCGATCCCGAGCCGGGCGACCGTCGCCGAGACGAGCTGCGCCGCGCCGGGCGACAGGAGCGGGACGGCGCGCGCGAGGATGGGCGCGAGCTCGCCGTCGCGGTCGAGGACCTGGAGCGCGACGCACGCCGTGCTGACGGCGTGCGCGAGCACGAACTGGGCGAGGGCGCGGCGGACGAACGCGGCGTGCGAGGGCGCCGGGCGCGCGAGGGAGCGCAGCGGCGGGCCCCACAGGTAGCCGACGCCGCGCAGGGACGACACGAGGTGGGTCGCGTCGACGAGGGTGCGCAGCGGGTCGTGCTGCTGCGCGGCCGACTGGGCGTCGCGCTGCGCGTGCGCGAGGGGCGAGACGGACGAGGTCGGGTGCGGCGCCGAGGCGATCGAGGGCGGGTTGACGGCGTCAAAGGGAGGTGAGGGAGAGGGCGTCGGGAGGTGCGAGATGTCGGTTGGGGAGGAAGAGGGAAGGGCGATGTCGGGCGAGAGCGCCGTCGACGGGCGGCGGGGCGTCGGCGCCGACAGCTCGGGCGGAGCGCGCTTGCGCAGGCCCTCTGCGGCGGGATCAGAGCGCGCCGTGGTCGATGCGGGCTCGTGCGCGCGACCCTTCTCGGCCTCCTCGCGCTCGACGACGACGTCTCTCGAGCGCTCCTCCTCGCGGCCGTCGAACCCGACCCAGGCGAGGTCCTTTGCGCGCGCGCGGTCGCTCAAGAGCCCCCACTGGACGGCCTTGAGGACGCCGTACGGGGCGAAGATGGCCCAACGAAAGTTGGCCGGGATGGCGAGGTCGAACGGCTCGAAGCGCCACCACAGCGGGGTGACGCAGGCGAGGGCGGCGACGGGGAGGAAGAGGGCGAGGCGGAGGTGGCGCGAGATGGGTGCGGGGATGGCGGGCTGGAGGAGGAGGGCGAGGACGAGGAGGAGGAAGCCGAAGCCGAGCCCTTGAAGGCCCGGGAGGGCAAAGGTGAGAGGAGGCGGAGCTTGTCGCGGGTCGAGGTCGAGGGCCGTGCTCATGGCGGGCCGTAGGTTGGTGTGCTCGTGTTGACGGTGTACAGGAGCGGAACGAAAGGCTGGTGGGCGCTGTGTGCGAGGCCAAAAAGAGGTCGGCGGTTGACGAAGCCGAGGTTGCGAGTTCGGGCATGGACGGAGGTGCGCGGCTCCGCCGGAACCGGACGGCCAGGTCACAGGGAGGGTAGGGGAAAGCAGTGCGCACCTGACTGAAGACGCCGAGCGACTTGTGGGCTGAGCCGGGCCGCCGAGCTGATGAAGTGGTTGGCCGAGGAGGACGAAGAGGACGACGACGAGTCGAGGGGCGGTGCCGAGCTGGAGGGGGCTCAGGCTGGTACCGAGGGGGAGTGCAGTAGCCCTGGCAGGCGCTCTAGAGGTGCTGGCTCGATGTTGTTATGACAGCGATGACGGCGGCGACGACGACCAGGCGCGACTCGCTCTCTGGCTCCCTCCACCGCCCCTCACCCAAGCCAGTCGAGCCTGTGCAGAACCCGACAAGCGCACCCGCTAGCGCTGCATCCATACCCCGAGTCTCGAGCGCGCGTTCCCACCACCCTCCTCCTCCGCTCGCCGTCGACCATGGCCAACAGCGACGCCCAGCTCGAGTCGCGCATCGCCACGTTCGATCCAGCCCTCAAGCTCTTCATCGCTATCGCCGCAAAAGTCTCGACCCTCCACGCCCTCTCGGGCCGCTACTCTCAGCGCCTCACCCTCGCCGACCTGTCGCCCTCGCCCTCGCGCCCTTCCTCTCCCACCCGCAACCACGACCGCGACCGCGGCCGCGACACGGCCTCGGCGCAGCGCGCACTCGACGCCGAGCAGACTCGCGTCCAGCACCTCCTGCGTGCGACCGTCGCCGACGCGACCGCGTGGCTCGTCGTCGTGTGTGCCCACCTCGGCGTCGACATGGCGCAGCTGCCCGACGCGCCCGACGAGCACACGCGCCTCGTCGACGCGCTCGACGTCGGCGGCGGCGCTGCGGGGCGGGAGGACGAGAGTGAGGAGGAGCGGGGCAGGAGGCGCGAGCAGCGCGAGTGGGAGGTTGTGTACGAGCTCGTACTCGTCAGCCTCGGCCTCGTCGGCGCAGGGCAGCAGGCCGCCGAGCCGGACAAGGACGCCAAGGCGACAAAGGTCGGCGCCGCATCGCTCGTCGGCGGTCTGTTTGGCTCGTCGTCCTCGTCCTCGTCCTCGTCGTCCCCGTCGGCCAAGTCGAGCGCGCCCAGGGAGCCGTCAAAGCCCCCACCGCTCAACTACACGGCCCTGTCACGCGCCCTCGTCGTCTCGACCGCCGACGTCCTCGGCATCTCGTCGCACGTCGTCGCCGACGTCGAGCGCGCCATCAGCCAGACCCTCTTCTTCCAGTTCCAGCAGCAGTCGGACGCCGACCAGCGCAAGGTCGACGACCCGACGGGCTCGAGCGGCGGTGTTGGCGGCGGTGGGAGAGGGTGGGACGATGCGGCGAGGGAGTACCGCGACAAGGCGGCCAAGAAGGGCAACGCGCTCAAGTGGGCCGCGACGGGCGCCGGCGTCGTCCTCGGCGGCGTCGCCATCGGCCTCACGGGCGGCCTCGCCGCGCCGGCCATCGCCGCCGGGCTCGGCACGTTCGGCATCAGTGCCTTCTCGGGCGCGGGCGGCGCCGTCCTCATCGGGACGCTGCTCGGGCTCGGCGGCGGCGGGCTTGCTGGGTACCGCACGCACCGCCGCATGAAGGGCCTCGACGAGGTCAGCTTCGAGCCGATCAAGGACGACGGCCATGAGGACGTGCCGCAGATCCCGTCGCTCACGGCCACCAGTGCGTCGCGCTCGTTCCTCTTCCCTTCCCTTTCCTTCCCTCCCTGTCTCCCCCTCGCCTTCTCCTTGCACCGCCTCGCCGTGGTTAGTTGCGCACCTGGACTGACAGGCATTCCTCGACCCTGCAGTTGTCGCGTCGGGCTTCCTCCTCGACCTCAAGGACTCGGTCGACCCGTGGCGGCCGTTCGTGCGCTCGTCCAAAGTCGACGCCTACGCGCTCAAGGCCGACCCGCTCAGTGCGCCCCCCTCTCTCCTTCCTCTCTCGTCGTCTCTATCGCCCTCTCGCGCGGACTGACTCTGTCCTCTCCCTTCCGCTGCCCTTCCTCTCCCCCCTCCCTCTCTTTCCCTCGCCCTCGCCCTCACCCGCAGCCTTCCTCGAAGCGGGCCGGTCCCTCGACAGCTTCATCAAGAACCGCCTGATCCAGATGGGCGGCACCGAGCTCGTCAAGCGCACGGCGCTCGCGGCCGTGTACGCCGGCGTCGCCCTGCCGCTCACCGTCTTCAAGAGCGCGACGACGGCGTTCGACAGCGAGTTTACCCAGTGCAAGGTGCGCCTCGAGCGTTCGCTCCCTCTCTCTCTCTCTCTCGCTGGCCTTTCGGCTGTCCTCTGTCGAGCTCGGAGAGGAGGAAATTGACACGAGCCGGGCTTCCCTCCTCGCAGGACAAGGCGCGCAAGGCCGGCGTGCTCCTCGCCGAGATCCTCGAGAAGGAGGTCCAGGGCAAGCGGCCCGTCGTCCTCGTGCGTCCCGCTCTCTCGCCGCTTTCCCAGCGCTCGAACCCCCCTCCTGACCCTCCTCCCTCCTCCCTCCCTCCCTCTCTCTCCCTCGCACCGCAGATCGGCTACGGCCCGGGCGCGTCCCTCATCCTCTCGTGCCTGCAGCACCTGCACGCGCTCGAGCTCGGCCACCTCGTGTACGACGCCGTCCTCGTGTCGCTGCCCGACTCGCCGAGCGCCGTCGCGTGGGCCGAGGCGCGCAGCGTCGTCGCCCACGAGCTCGTCAACGCGTACTCGGCCAACGACTGGGTCCTCGGCATCGCGGCGAGGCTGTACACGCTCAGTACGCGCATCGCTGGGTGCGTCGGCTTGCCTGGCGGGCTCTCTCTCTCTCTCTCTCTTCCTCAACGCCCGAGACTGACTGTCTCTTCCACTTGCCGCCTCTTGCCCGTCTCCTACAACCCCTCGACCTACCTCGACACTCATCCTCACGCCCTCCCGTCACCACCGCCCCGTCATCGTCCCCGCCTCCCTCCCTCCTCGCGCCTCATCCTCCCTCGCGCTCTCCCTCGCCTGCCCGCCAGCCTGCGCCCCGTCCAAGTCGAGGGCGTCACCGACATCAACATCTCGGACCTGCTCGGCGCGCACATGGACCTGCGCACGGCGCTGCCGCGCATCCTCGAGCGGTGCGGCGACAAGAGGGGGGAGCAACCCGTGCTGGGGAGTGTCGGCGGCGGCGGCGGTGGGGCGGCGGGTGCGGGTGCGAGCAAGGTGGCGGGGCAGGGGGAGCAGGACGGAGCCGAGGCGGCGAGGGACGTGGCGGAGAAGGGGCTGAGGGACCTTGCGCTCGGCGAGGGAGGGGCCGACGAGCGCGACGCGAGGGACGAGGCGGAGCGGCTCGGGAGAGAGGTCGAGCGCGAGGCGAGGAGGTAGAGTGCGAGGAGGAGTGCGCATAGAGCTCGACCCGCGCGGCGAGGACTGCGAGAGAGAGAGCGTGTTGGCGTCGACGTCGAGGAGCGGGTGGAGAGCACGCTGCTGATCTTTAGGGCCCACTCGCGGCTTCTCGGACGCTCTGTCTCTCTCTTTCGAGTTTGCTGTACATGCTCGCTGCTGCAGAGCGGCCCTCCCCTGTCCCCTCGCACGCTGCCCGCTCGCCCAGTCGAGGCCGCCTCCCTATATCCGCGAGATGTAGAGGACTGTGACAGGGAGAGGGTCAGTGTTCGCTCTCTTTGACAGGCTTAGACGAAGACGAGAGAGAGGTGGAGCGCACCGTTGTTGCCTCGCACGAACGCGTCGCCGTAGTCGTTGGTCTTGCGGCCGTCGACCCACTCCTCGGTCTGTTCGAGCGCAATGTTCATGTACCCGTCGAGGCAGCTCAGGACGCCTGTTTGGATGATTCGAGGGTCAGCTGCGATCGATGGGGCGAGGGGAGATGAGGAGGAGGAGGAGGAGGAGGAGGAGAGGGAGGACGGACCGCGGTAGTCGACGCCCGAGTTGAGGCGCACGACGACTGGCTGGCCGACGACGCCCTTGAGGAAGGCTCCCGGGCCGGGCAGCTCGGTGGCCTGGGCCTGCTGGGGCTCGTCGTGGTCGTTGGTGGTGGCCGGGGCAGCGTCTTGAGGAGGAGGCGAGGCGGACATGGTCGGGCGGGGTGCGCGGGGTCTGGGCGTCTGGTGTGCTGTACGGTGCTGGTTCTAGAGGTACTCGTGAGCTTGACGAGGTCGGGTGAGGACGAGGGAGCGACCCGCTCAGCTCCCCCCTCCCCTTCCTCATCTCCCGCCGCCTCTCAATCGCCTCGACTCGCTCGAGCAGGCTCGCGACCATGTCAGACTCGACCACGTCACCCTCGGCTACGACCTCGCCCAAGCTTGACCCGTTCGGCCGCCGCGAGAGCTGGCTCCGGCCTCCACAGGACGGCCACGACTCGCAGACCAAGCGCCGTCAGCGCGCTCTCGATGCACAGAAGCAGGTCCGTCCCGCTCTCACTGGCTCGATGCACTGTGCTACCCAGCTCACGCACGTCCCCTCGCAGCGCCGCGTCCACGCCATCGAGGCCGCAAGGTCGTCCTTCCGCGAGCTCGAGTTCATGGAGGACCTGTCCCTTGCTGGCTCGCCCGAGTCGTCCGACACCGAGCACGGCGAGGCGCTCCCGCCGTCGTCGACCGCAGGCGGCGACGCGGCGTCAAACCCGCCACCCGTCATCGGCAAGACCAAGCGCCAGCGCTTCAAGCCCAAGTTCCATGCGTGGGCCAAGAACCTCCTGTCGCACGCCGAAACGCTCGACCTGCGCCACGGCCTCCCCGAGGGGCTCGAGAGCGACTGGCGCGCCGTCGTCGTCCCCAAGGGCAAGCGGTGCCTGTGCGCGACGATGCCGACCAACGCCGGCGTCAACACGATCCTGTACTCTCGCGTCGCCGGGCGCACCCTCGGCCGGTTCCGCACGTCCCTCCCGCCCGACTGTCTCCTCGACACGGTGTGGGACGCCGAGCTCGGCGTCCTGTGGGTCCTCGACCTGTGCGCGTGGCGCTCGACCTGGTTCGTCGAGTGCGAGGCCGACATGCGCGCCTTCTTCCTCGCGTCCAAGCTCTCCGAGCTCGACACCCAGGCCTACTTTCCGCCCTCGTCGCCGTTCGCGACCCAGTCGCAGGCGGGCACGATCAAGACGCTCCTCGTCCTACCCGTCCCGTCCGTCGCGCCCCCTCTCCTCCCCTCGACCCTCCTCCCGCTCCTCGACCCGCTCGCCGCCGCGCCCAACCCGGCCCCGCAGGCCCTCCCCGTCGCCGTCCTCGCGCCGTACGCGACCCCCGAGGGCCACCTCGCGCTCGCGCCCGCCGAGGTGCCCATCCCGCTCGCGCCGACCGGCGTCCTCCTGTACCTCTCGTCGGCGCATTACGAGAGCGGGAGCACGCCGCTCGTCAGCTGGGTGCCGTGCGGCGCCGAGGTCGCCGCCGAGGACAAGGACAGGGAGGGCGTCGAGAGGATGCGGACGCTCGTCAGCGAGTGGGCGCAGAGGGGAGGAGGGCCGGCGGCGGTTGCCGGGCTGGGCGAGGGGCAGCAGTCGCACGGCATGGTCGACGGCTCTGGGGCCGCTTGAGGGCGTGCAGCAGTAGCGAGTCAGCTTGTCGTCGGCGTCGTCGGCGTTGTCGAGCCGTCGCTTTGATTCTCCTTTCGCACCTTTCGCAACTTGCATCGTCGTTCTTTCCCTACCTCGTCGTTGCGCCCGCGTCTGCCCTCTCGGTCTCGCATGCTCGCTTGCTCGCTCGCTGCTGGCGGTGCCGGCTCGAAGCTCGAAGCTCGATCGACGCCCCCCACCGTGGACGGAAGCCGCGGCCGCCGGCCCGTTCAACCTCGGTCCACTCTTGGCCGTCGTTCTTCCTGCTCGCCCTGGCTAACGACAGCCGTCGAGGGCAGCGGCGCCGAGCCCGAGCACATGCCAGCTCGCTTTCCACGAGCAGCTCCTCTTCCTGCTCCACACCGCGGCCGCTCCTCGACTCGGACGACCATGGTCGCCGCCGGCTTCTCGTCCCTCGCTCTTGCGCTCGCTGTCGCCACTGCTGCACGGCACAGCTCTGCTTCGCCCGTCCAGCTCTCTGCGCGCAACAACGGCGCCCCGTCGGCCGTGATCGCGAACGGCACGGTCGAGGGCGTCGTCCTACCCTCCTTCAACCAGCACGGTGCGTCCCTCTGCCCCCTCCCCTCACCGAGCGCCAAGCTGACCACTCGCACGCCCCGCACAGCGTTCCTCGGCATCCCCTACGCCCAGCCGCCGGTGGGCGACCTGCGCCTGCGCCGAGCCCGCTCGCGCGAGACGCCGTTCGAGGGCGGCAAGGTCGCTGCGACGAGCTACTCGCCCTTTGTGCGTCTTCCTCTGCCTCCCCTCTGCTCAGGCGACTGAGCTCCCTGACATGGTTCTCTCGCTCGCAGTGCCCGGGCATTGGCGCCGACGACTATGGTTACGAGTTGTCCGAGTGAGCCTCGCTTCTCTCCCTCACTGCGACGAGCGTGAGCCGCTAGAGAAAGCGGCTGCGCGCTCGTTCGGCAAACAGGCGAGCGAGTGACCTGATGAGCCCCGTCCTCGACCGCGCAGGGACTGCTTGACGCTCAACATCGTCCGCCCAGCCGGCGTCGCCGAGGACGACAAGCTGCCTGTCGGCGTTTGGGTGCATGGCGGGTCGTTCAGCATGGGCGGCAGCGGCGACATCCGGTACAACGGCAGCTACGTCGTGCAGCGCAGCGTCGAGATGGACAAGCCGATCGTGCGTCCTCCTCTCTCCTCCTCCCTTTCTCGCCGAGCATGCGGCTGACAGACCCCGCAGATGTTCGTCTCGGCCAACTACCGCGTGTCGTCGCTCGGCTTCATGTCGTCGGACGAGCTGCGCGCCGAGGGCAACGTCAACCTGGGCCTGTACGACCTGCGGCTCGCGCTCGGCTGGCTGCAGGACAACCTCGAGGCGTTCGGCGGCGACCCGAGCAAGGTGACGTTCTGGGGCGAGAGGTGCGTCCCCTGCCTTTCTCTCGGCGCGAGCGCGCAGCGCGAACGGGCCTGACCCTTCCCTCGCACGGCCCCCTCCCCCTCTCGCAGCGCCGGCGCAGCCGCCATCTCGTACGAGCTCCTGTCGTACGGCCTCACCTCGACCAACCTGTTCCGCGGCGCCATCCTCGAGTCGGGCAGCCCGACCGGCCGCCCGCTCGCGACGGCCGACATGATCCAGCCCCGGTTCGAGCAGGTCGTCGCGAGCGCCGGCTGCAACGGCACGGCCGACGTCCTCGCGTGCCTGCGCGCGCTCCCGCTCGAGGCGTTCAACGCGTCGGCGTCGGCGTTCAGCTGGAACCCGGTCCTCGACGGCGGCATCATCCCCGAGTACTCGAGCGACTCGATCCGCCGCAACGCGTTCGTCAAGGTCCCGCTCCTCATTGGCAGTGCGCCCACTCTTTCTCTTCTCTCGTCAGGCCGCAGGTACTGACGCCCTCAAGCTCGCAGCCAACACGGACGAGGGCACGGCGTTCGCGACCAAGGGCATCGAGACGGACGACGAGCTCGCGGCGAGCCTCCAGGCGTACTACCCCAAGCTCACCAACTCGAGCACGGCCCGGCTCCTCGAGCTGTACCCGAACGACCCGAGCAAGGGCAGCCCGTTCGGGTCGGGGGACGGCCTCGTGTCGACCGGCGTCCAGGACAAGCGCAGCAACGCGCTCACTGGGTGCGTCCCGCTCTCTCTCTCGTCGTCTAGCTCGAGGACTCACGCAGCCACTCCTCCTGCGTCGCAGCGACCTACGCTACATCGCCGGCAAGCGCCTGCTCGCCGAAAAGTACGCCGCCGCCGGCCAGCCCGTCTTCTCGTACCGGTTCAACCAACCTGCCGAAAACACGACGCTCGACAGTGGCGTGCCGCACTTCCAGGAGGTCGCCTACGTCTTTGGCGTGCCGTACAAGACGGCCAACACGCTCGGAACGCGCCCGGGCGACAAGGAGCTGTCGAGGCTCATGATGTCGCAGTGGGTCTCGTTCATCCACGACGGCACGCCCAACAACCACGGCAGTGCGTCCCTCTCTCTCCCACTCTCTCGCCGAGCGACCCTGACGAGCTCGTCCTCGCAGTCGACGGCGCGCCCGAGTGGCCAGACTACCGCACGTCGCCGAGCAACTACGTCTACACGCGCCAGCAGTCGACGGTCGAGAAGGACGACTTTCGCGAGGCCGGCATCGACTTTATCAAGGGTCTCGGGTGGGAGCTCAGTGCGTAGAGCGCGCGGCGGGCGGGCGGGCGGGCGACGAGCTGCCAAGGCGAGGCGAGCGCTCATCGTGCGCGGACGGACGCTCGAGGAGGGGGTTCGAGCGGGAACGACGCACGCTGTACTTGGTCTTTCTCTCTCTCTCTCTGTCTCTCGAGAGACGCAGAGAAGTCGCAGAGAGCACGCACGCAGAGCGAGGCCGAGCAGAGCGAGCGTCGAGCGCGCACTCGTCGTTTGTGAAGGAGAGCGAGGCGTGCGACCACGACTCGCGCGCTTCGCGGCTCTCGCCCGAGGGCAGGCGCACCCTCGTGCTTCTGCTCGACGCTCTCGACGTGTACGGCGAACAACTCTCGAGCTCGGAGCGCTGCTCTCGCCGACCGAGAAAGAGAGAGAGGTCGCCAACGATGGGATCATTGCGCGCCCTCGAGGGGGAGAGAGGGAGGGGAACGGCTACACAACAGGCGAAGGGGGTAGGTGGGAGAGGGGATCTCGAAAGGGGGTGGGTGAAAAGGCAAGGCACAGAGGTGGAGAAAAGCGAAAGGCGAGGGGAACCGTCTTCTCCCCTCCCGACAAGCGTTGGGTGGACCCTCCCTCGTCCCACGTTCCCCCGACGACGACGACGACGGGGGAGCGCTTACGAGCGCTCACCACGGAGGCGGCGCGCGAGCTGGATGTCTGTGGACGAGGCGCACGAGGGCGAGGGTCAGCTCCTGAACGGTCGAGACGGGAAGAGGTGGAGGACGAGGGGACGCACCCTTGGGCTGGATCGTGACGCGCTTGGCGTGGATGGCGGCCAAGTTGGTGTCCTCGAAGAGCGAGACGAGGTAGGCCTCGGCGGCCTCCTGCAGGGCGCCGATCGCCGACGACTGGAAGCGGAGGTCCGTCTTGAAGTCCTGGGCGATCTCGCGAACGAGGCGCTGGAAGCTGTTGGCGGAGCAGGCAACCAGGGTCAGTGTGCGTGCTCGGGAGGCAGGCAGGAGAGAGAGGGAGAGAGGGGACGGACGGGAGCTTGCGGATGAGGAGCTCGGTCGACTTCTGGTAGCGACGGATCTCGCGGAGGGCGACGGTGCCGGGCTTGTACTGCGAGAGGGTCGAGCGTGTCAGTGAGCGTGCTCGGGCACGACAGATAGAGAGCAGGGACGCACGCGGTGGGGCTTCTTGACACCGCCGGTCTGGGGCGCCGACTTGCGGGCGGCCTTGGCGGCGAGCTGCTTGCGCGGGGCCTTGCCACCGGTGGACTTGCGAGCGGTTTGCTGTGGCGCAGGACAAGGCTGGGTCAGTGTGCTGCTCGAGGCGAGGCGGTGTTGTTGTTGTTGAGCGAGGGACGAGGTGGAGGTGGCGCTGACGACGACGACGACGGCGATGGGGGTGGCGTGGCGGGCTCGCCTGAGGGTGTGGGTGGGTGCACAGGGACGACGAAGGTGCTGTGCGAGAGAGGGGCAGGAGGAGGCGAGGCTCACCTTGGTGCGGGCCATCGTGTGCGAGAAAAGTGAGGTGAAGGGAAGAGAGAGGCGAGGGGGGCCAAACGAGCGAGTTTGAGCGCCCTCGCCCCGAGCCGGTACGAGAGGCGCGCGCCTCTGCGCCTCAAAGCCCGAGTCGTGGTAACCCCGCCTCGCGTCGCCTCTCTCGCCTCGCTCTCTCGCTCTGGCGGGCTCCTGCTTGCTGCAGAGGGCACAGACTTGCTTTGGCTCGAGCCTCGGACCCCTAGCTGGCTCTTAGTTAGCGGTGTGAGCGCGAGACGAGGGAGCGGGAGGTGGAATCGCTCGAATCTGGCGTCCTCGAGCGGCACCGCGCAAGTACTAGCCATCTGAGACTCGCCGAATCGAGCCTGCGAGCCTGCCCCGGCGCGCTCTTTGCCGACTGGACGACTTCCCGCAGCAGCGTCGCCTCGAGCTCTCCACGCAGCCTCTCGCACACTCGCTGTGGCCTCGCTCTTCTGCTCTCTGTTGTCCGCACAGTGATCCGCAGCTCAGCAGCTGAGCGTTGGACGGTAGAGGAGGCGCGAGCGAGGAGGACAACTTGGTCGCGCGCGCCGTTCCTTGCGCCGAAAGCTGGTGAATCGATCAGCAGCAGATTCGAGCGACAGGGCAACGTTTTCGAAACCCCGAAAAGGCGAGAAGCGGGCGAGGCGTGCTTTTACGAGCTGCAGCCGGCGCGGTACGAGCTACGATGGAGGGGCGCGCGCTGTACCCTCCCTCCTCCTCCTCACTCGCGCTCGCGACGCCCTTTTTTGCAGCGTTTGAAGGGCAGACAGACAGCTATGTACTGCAAGCCAGGGTGGAGCCACGTTAGACTCGAGCGACCGGCCCTCGCACAGCCGAGGCGAGCGTGTGACTTGGAGAGCGAGACGAGAGTGGTTCGACAGAGGCGAGTGGCGCTGCTGGACGAGAGCACTGGTGAGCTCGCAGCGAGGACAGTACGAGCTCAGCTTTGGTTGCACGAGCCCCCCCTCGTCTTTTGACGAGCCACCCGACGCCGCAGTCACCGCTCCTCCCTTGTCCTCGTCGATCGTCCTCAGCTTCCTGCGTCAACCGCAAGCCGCCTCGTTCGCGCACGCCGTCCACCCAGGCCCACAGCGCGCGCTCAACGCCGCCGCCCTCGTTCCCACACCGCCCTCTCCCCCCTCGCCAGCCATGGTCCTGTCGCCCTCTGGCTCGTCGTTCTCGTCGCTGCGGTGGCCCATCCTCCGCCTCGCCAAGCTCGGTACCGCGTATCCTATCGAGGCCATCGTCACCGTCTTCTGCGCCGCCACCCTCGTCTACTTCCAGCTCATCAAGGTGAGCACCCGCCCGTCTCGCTGTCGTGGAGGAGGAGGGGGATCGAACGACGCGACGCTCGCGTGTCGTCGCTCTGCCAGGGCCTGTCGAGGGCTCGCACGGGTCGCAAAAGGTCCCTGCACCCTGCCTGCACGACCACGCACGCGTTGGCGGCCTCTGGCGGGCGCGAGCCGGTTGCCCACCCCCGGTCGCCGCCCCAAGCTCCCTTTCCCCCCCTTTGTTGGTGTGCGATCGAGGCGACTTTGCTCGAGCAGGGGCACCGCGAGGTCGAGCAGCACAGACGCCAGTCTACCAGACCCGTACTGACGTCGGCCCCCCCTCTGCAGGTCGTGCGCAATTCCGACTTCCTCCTGTACGACGACGATGCGGCCCTCGGCGCGAGCGCCGCCAACCGCCACCCGTCCATCGCGTTCGCGCCCTCGACGGGCCTGTGGTCGTCCGTGTCGCCGTCCGAGCCCGCGCCGGCCAACGCCGTCGAGCTGTGGCTCCGGCAGGTCATCGTCGAGGTCCCGACCGCCATGGCCGCCGCGCGCAAGAGCGAGGTCAAGGAGCTCCTCGACGCCGACTCGGCCCTCGCGTTCGACGGCATCGAGGACTGCTACGCGGTCCGCGGCGAGTGCTGGAAGGCCCAGACCCAGCCGGCGCTCAACCTCACCGTCAAGTCGTTCGCGTTCACGTCGCTCGTCGGCCCGACCCAGTTCCTGAGCAACTTTAGCGTGTCGCCCCTCGAGACCGAGACGGTCGCGCTTGAAAAGGTGCGCCAGGGCGGCCGCAAGCGCTACACGAGCTTCTTCAACCGCGGCCGCGAGGACTTTGTCGTCGAGCCGACCGCGCCCAACGAGGACCGCAAGCGCGAGATGGAGAGCGTCCAGTGGGCCCTGTTCGCCGCCAAGGTGTTCGTCCTGCGCTTCTGGGGCCTCGCCAAGGTGCGTCGTCGTCGTCCCCCCTCCTCCCTCGTCACCCCGTCGTCCCGGTTCCCCCTCACTGACTCCCCTTCCCTCCTCCTCGTTCTCGCCCGCCCGCAGAAGGCCGACAGCGCCGACATCTTCGTCATGTTGATCGCCTACGTCCTCATGCACTCGACGTTCGTGTCGCTGTACCTCAACATGAACCGCCTGTCGAGGTCCCTGCGGCCCAACTCGGGCTCGCTCGGGTTCTGGCTCGCCACCCTGTCGCTCGCGTCGTCCTGTGTCGCCTTCATGTTCGCCCTCTTGACGGCGTGGTACCTCGAGATCAGCGTCAACCCGGTCCTCCTCGGCGAGGCCCTGCCGTTCCTCGTAATCACGGTCGGCTTCGAGAAGCCCTTCGTCCTCACGCGCGCCGTCTTCTCGCACCCGTCGATCGGTCCCGGCGGCGCCTACGCCGGCAGCCAGAGCCGAGGCTCGATGACGCCCGTCACCGGCGGCGCCGGCAAGCCCCTGACGCCGACCAACGCGTTCGGGCTCCGGTTCGCGCCGCCCGTCCCGGCGCGCGACATTGTGCGCACGGCCGTGTCCAAGACGGGCTACGGCATCATCCGCGACTACGCGCTCGAGGTGGCCGTCCTCGTCGTCGGCGCCATGAGCGGCGTCGCCGGCCTGCGCGAGTTCTGCCAGCTCGCGGCCGTCATCTTGGTGTGGGACGCCCTGTGCCTCGTCGGCTTCTTCGTGTCGGTCCTCACCATCATGGTCGAGATCCACCGCATCAAGGTCATCCGCCACTTCCGCCGCACCGACTCGTCGGCCGACCTGTCGCGGTTCCTCGACGACCCGGCCGCGCTCGCCGACGCCGAGGCGCCCGCGTCCGACGACGGCAGCGAGGCGCCCGCCGGCGCACTCGGCCTGCGTGAGCGCCTCATCCGGGTCGTGACGGGCACGGCGAGCCCGGCCGCGCGCCTCAAGGTCCTCCTAATCGCCGCCTTCCTCGTCCTCCACTCGCTCAACCTCGTCACGACCCTCACGGCCAAGACGGCGCTCGGCCGCCACATCGACCACTCGGCGTCGACGGGCCACGTGCCGCAGATCGACACGTCGAACCCGGTCCTCACGTCGACGCTCCTCCAGCTCGTCGCCGCGCACGAGCCCGTCACCGAGCTCCTCGTCCACGTCGTGCCGGCGCTCCACTTCCGGGCCGTCGACCTCACCCTCCCGCCGGTCGTCGCCGCGTCGACGGCGTCGCAGATGAGCGGCGCCATGCCCAACCTGTCGTCGGCGTCGGCGTCGGGCTCGTTCGCGTCGATCGACCAGTTCCTGTCGCGGTGGACGCGCCTCGTCGGCGACCCGATCGTGTCCAAGTGGATCGTCATCGCGCTCGCCATGTCGCTGTTCCTCAACGGGTACCTCCTCAAGGGCATCGCGTCGGGCTCGGACTCGTTCGGGCACGGCTCGGCCGCCGAGGTCGCCGCGCGCATCCTCCTCGCGAGCACCGGGTCCGAGGTCAACGACGACGACGACGAGGCGGCCAAGATGCGCCTGCGCCGCTCGTTCTCGCTCCTGCGCGAGGAGCTCCAGAACGAGTGGACCCAGAAAGGACGCGGCCGTCATGCAGCGCGAGTACGCCCGCCACGAGCGCAAGGCCGAGCAGGACGCGCACCAGCCGGTCCCGAGCGTCATCAAGGTGACGACGGCCAAGTCGGGCCGTCGAGGGTCCAACTCGTCCGACGACTCGTCGCCGCCCGGCTCGCCCATCCTGATCCGGACCCGCTCGTCGTCGCGCAAGAACGGCGCCGCGACGCTCGCGGCCCCGTCGACGGCCCACGGCGCCGAGTCGCAGGCGCTCGTCACGCCGCCGCAGCGCGAGCTCAAGCTGTCGCCGTCGACCGTCGCGCTCGTGCCCGCCGAGGGCATCCCCGACGCGCCGCGCGACCTCGACACGTGCGTCAAGCTGTTTGACGGCGGCAACGGCGCCGTCCTCCTCAACGACGAGGAGATCATCCTGCTCGTCCAGAAGGGCAAGGTTGCCGCGTACGCCCTTGAGAAGCTCCTCAACGACCACGTCCGCGCCGTCTCGGTCCGCCGTGCCCTCATTTGTGCGTCTCCCTCTCTCTCCCTCTCGCGAACAGTCTCTCACAGGGTCGGCTACTGACCTTGAGCCCCCCACCCTTGCGTACAGCCCGTGCGTCGGCCCGCAAGACGCTCGAGTCGTCCGACCTGCCGTACCTCCACTTCGACTACTCGCGCGTCATGGGCCAGTGCTGCGAGAACGTCGTCGGCTACATGCCCCTGCCCGTCGGCATCGCCGGCCCGCTGCGGATCGACGGCGCCGTCCTGCCCATCCCGATGGCGACGACCGAGGGCGCGCTCGTCGCGTCGACGTCGCGCGGGTGCAAGGCGCTCAACGTGTCGGGCGGTGTGACGACCGTGGTCGTGCAGGACGCCATGACGCGCGGTCCGGCATTGACGTTCCCGAGCGTCATCATGTGCGCGGCGGCCAAGCGGTGGGTCGACTCGGAGGAAGGGTCCAACATCCTCAAGGCGGCGTTCAACTCGACGTCGCGGTTCGCGCGCCTCAAGAGCCTCAAGGCGGCCATGGCGGGCCGCACCCTCTTTGTCCGGTTCGCGACCCAGACGGGCGACGCCATGGGCATGAACATGATCTCGAAGGGGTGCGAGCGCGCGCTCGATGTCATGATGACGGACCACTTCCCCGACATGGTCATCGCGTCGCTGTCGGGCAACTACTGCACCGACAAGAAGCCGGCCGCGATCAACTGGATCGAGGGGCGCGGCAAGAGCGTCGTCGCCGAGGGCATTGTCCCGGGCGAGGCGGTGCGCTCGATCCTCAAGACGACGGTCGACGACCTGTGCAAGCTCAACGTGACCAAGAACCTGATCGGCTCGTCGATGGCGGGCTCGATCGGCGGCAACAACGCGCACGCGTCCAACATCCTCACGGCCATCTACCTCGCGACGGGCCAGGACCCGGCGCAGAACGTCGAGTCGAGCAACTGCATGACGCTCATGGACCCTATCAACGACGGCAAGGACCTCCTCATCACGTGCTCGATGCCGTCGATCGAGGTCGGCACCGTCGGCGGCGGCACCATCCTCCTCCCGCAAGCCTCGATGCTCGAGCTCCTCGGCGTCAAAGGTCCGCACCCGACCGCGCCCGGCCAGAACGCGCAGCAGCTCGCGCGCATCGTGTGCGCGAGCGTCATGGCCGGCGAGCTGTCGCTCATGTCGGCGCTCGCGGCCGGCTCGCTAGTAAAGAGCCACCTCGCGCACAACCGCTCGGCGCCCGCGACGCCCGCGCCCCAGACGCCGCAGCTCGGCATGAGCCGCTCGACGACGCCGGCGCTGCCCAACGGTGCGCCCCAGGCGAGGCTCGCGCCGTTGACGACGACCGGGCACTAGAGATCTCTCGCCCTCGTCGTCGTCCGTCCTTCCTCGTCCTTGTCCCCTCCTCTCGCAACTCCTCGCATCCTTCCCGGTCCTCTTTCTCGTCTCTCTCTCTCTCTCTTTAGGTCGTTCTCGAGTCTCTCGCCCCCTACCCTGCACGCACCCGCACTCCCCATCTCTCGTTCCCCTCTCCCTCTCTCCTCCGTGCAGCCGTCGTCGTCCTTTTGTCGGAGGTACCTTCTCGAGCAGTGCTCCCCCCTCTCCCAAGTTATCTCCTGCAACTCGCACGTCTCTCTCTCGCTCTCGCCGCTCTCGAGGCTCGTCTCGTCGACCGAGAAGGAGAAGGGGAGACGAGTCGTTGGCATGGGTTGAGGCGAGGACGAGAGGAGAGGGGAAAAAAGGGGGGGCAGCGCTGCGGGGGCTAGCCCGGCAGGACGAGAGAGAGAGAGGGGGGAACAGGCGAGGGAGAGGTGCAGGAAGGAGGGAGGGAGGGGGAGGGGGGACTGCTTGTGGGGGGTCATGACGAGAAGGGGGAAGTGGGTAGGTACGGATGGGCGAGAGGGAGAGGGGAAGGAGAGGGGACGAGCAGGGCGGAGTTGAGGGCTCCTACTTGCTCATCATCATGCGGACGAACCTGCGTCGGGGGAGGGAGGGGGCCGAACGTCAGTGTTGGCGCATCACGACGAGAAGAGAGAGAGGAGAGAGAGCGAGGAAAACGCACTCGTCGTAGTTGATCTGGCCGTCGCCGTCGGTATCCGCCTCGCGGATCATCTCCTCGACCTCGGTGTCGCTCAGCTTCTCGCCGAGGTTGGTCATGACGTGCCTCAGCTCGGCGGCCGAGATGAAGCCGTTGCCGTCCTTGTCAAAGACCTTGAACGCCTCGCGCACCTCCTCCTCCGAGTCGGTGTCCTTCATCTTGCGCGCCATCATGGCTGCGAGGGGCGGGGCGGGGCGCGGGCGGTGGTGGTGGTGACCGGGTCAGTCTCGCGCTCTGGGGTGGGGAAGGGGAGCCACGAATGCCCGCCCAAGTCGAGGAGAGAGAGAGAGAGAGCGGGGGTGCGCACTGAGGAATTCGGGAAAGTCGATCGTGCCGTTGCCGTCGGCGTCGACCTCGTTGATCATGTCCTGCAGCTCGGCCTCGGTCGGGTTCTGCCCGAGCGAGCGCATGACGGTGCCGAGCTCGCGCGTCGTGATGGTGCCGTCGCCGTCTGCTCGTGCGCGTCGAAGGGGTGAGGGGTGGGTCACGGTGAGGCGGGCGAGGGGGGCAGACGGGTCGGGACGAGAGACGGACGACGAGGTGAGAGGTGCACGGGCGCAGTCGGCGAGGCGAGGTCGGGGTGTAAAGCGGAGGCGGACGTGGGCGGGAAGGCGAGGCAGGTCGAGGTTCGGGTTGCGGAGGAGGAGGAGGGAGGGTGGAGGGGAGCAAGGTCAGTCGCGCTCGACTCGTGAAGGAGGAGCCGCACGGAACCGAGTGCGACGCACCTCTTGTCGAACAGCGAGAAGGCCTCCCTTGAACTGTTTGGCGCCGAGACGAGGAATTGACGAGGCGGTTGGCGGGCAGAGATGAGAGGCACAAGGAGGGGGGGGACGAGGACGAGTCAGTGACGACGGGCGAGACGAGGTCGGGGACAGGACGGGGCGCACCTCTGCGATCTGGGCTTCACTCTGCAGGGCGGACACACAGGTCAGTGCGAGTTGGAGGGGGGTCGGCGAGGGTGAGTGTGTGCGGGGAGGGAGGGGGACGACGACGCGACGATGGCGGGCCGCGGGACGAGGGTTGGACTGGTCGGTCGAGAGAGTGCTAGAGAGAAGGCTGGCAGGACGTACGAGCTGGTCCATGGCGGTGGTGTGGGTGGAGAACGAGGGCGAGGGGAGCTTGCTGCGCGCCGACGAGGCGATCGACTCTCGCACCTCGTCCACTCGCTCAGGCGGTGTAGCCAGACTGCGGGTTCAGTGTACGAAGGCATGGTGCAGCACTTGAAAGACTCGAACGAGCCATTCGTGGCGAGTGCCGCCGCCTCGTCCTCGTCGTCCTCGTCCGGCCGAGCCTCTCGCTCCTCGACCCGCTCGCACCGTCCCAGCTGCGACGTTCTGCTTGTCTAGCTCGCACCTGCACCGCTGCAGCTCGCCACCGACCGCCGCGCACACCTCCAGCGTGCGCCGCCCTCTCCCATCCTCCGGCTCCTCGTCATCTCGCCGCCTCGTCCGACCCGAGCAACCGCACCAGCCCAGCAGCATGTGCGTCCACCTTCCTCGACTCTGTGGCTCTCGGTCTGCGTGTCCCAGCCGGTCACGCGCCCTGGCGGCCGCTGTGTCGCCCGTCGTGCCCGGCCGACCCCGAAGGAGCGAGGTGGGGCGGGGGACCAGGGTCGACGCAAGCCGCAGGCGAGCCCGTCTGCGATCCCCAGCAGCGCCCAGAGCGTCTGCAACACAGACACTGACTCGCCCTCGCCCCCTCGCCCGCAGCATCTTGGTACCATGCCCTCGTCGTCCAGCTTGACCTCGTCCGAAAAGAGCCTCGTCAAGAAGCACGCGCCGTCCGGCGCAGGCGACAAGATCCACGCCGCCGCCATCGGCCGCATCTACTACGCGTACCCGGACCCGGCTAAGTGGAGCTTCAGCGGCATCTCGGGCGCCGTCGTCTTTGGCTGGGGAGCCGCCGGTGGGTGGCTCAAGGTCGTCGACCTCGCCGTGCGTCGCCGGTTTCCTCCCTCCCTCTCTCGAGAGCGCTCGTCTCGAGGTCTGACCTGACCGTTGGTGCGCGCAACAGGGCACGCGCGGCGTCATCTGGCAGCACGGCGTCGTCGAGGACCTGCAGTACTACCAGGACCGCACCTTCTTCCACACGTTCCCCTCGGACGTGAGCCCTCTTCTCTCTCCTGTCCCTACAACCCGTCGAATGTCTCCCGAGACTGACGCGGGTGCACGGCTCACAGGACTGCATGATCGGCATCGCCTTCTCGTCCGAGTCGGAGGCCGCCGACCTGTTCAAAAAGGTGTCGCTCCGGCACAAGTACGCCGCCAAGGCCTCGGGCGGCAGCAGTCGCGGCACTGGCGGCGGCTCGTCGTCGTCGATGGCCGCCGTTGCGGCCGTCAAGGCGTCGTCCAAGGGCGGCAAGAAGAAGAAGGGCGGCGGGATCGACAAGAGCATGATTGGCGCGCCGACTGGGTTCTCGCACGTCGCGCACATGGGCTTTGACGCGCAAGAGGGCTTCTCGACGCGCAACATCGACCCGAGCTGGGAGAGGCTGTTCCAGCAGCTCGAGGGTCAGGGCATCAGTCGCGTGCGTCCTCGTGTCCCTCCCTCCCTCCTCTCCCCCTCCTACTTCTCTCTCTCGCTCTCCCTTGCGCTCGCCCGAGCTCACCTCGCCCCCTTCTCGCACACCCACAGAGCCAGATCGAGAAGAACGAGCACTTTATCCGCAACTTTGTCGAGGGCTCGGGCGGGCCCAACGCCGCTCCGCCTCCTCCTCCAGCGGGCGGTCCTCCCGGCCGTGCCCCGCCGCCGCCCGGCGGCCCCTCGTCGACGGGCCCGGCGTTCGCGCCCATGAAAGCCAAGCGCGTCCCGCCGCCGGCCCCGCCGTCGCGCACCGTCAAGCGCAAGCCGCCCCCGCCACCGTCGCGCGGCGCCGCTCCGGCCGCTCCGCCGCCGCCGCCGCCGCCTCCTGCCCGAGGCGCCGCAGCACCGCCGCCGCCGCCACCGCCGCCTGCACCTCCCGCACGCGGTGGCGCCGCGCCTCCTCCTCCTCCCCCGCCCCCTCCTCCCGCTCGCGGCGGCGCACCTCCCCCTCCTCCTCCGCCGCCACCTGCTGCAGGGCGCGCACCGCCCCCGCCGCCCCCCGTGGCTGCCCCAGGAGCAGGCGCGGGCGACGACCGCGGCGCACTGCTCGCGAGCATCCAGGGCGCCGGGCTCGGCAAACTGCGCAAGGTGCGTCGGGCGGCGCGAGCTTTGCCTTCCCTTCCTCTCCCTCCCTCCCTCGCTCTCTCTCTCTCTCTCGTCCTCTTTACGACTTGCGGCTTCGAGCCACACAGACACTGACTCGGCCTCGTTGCCTCGCCCTCCCTGTCCCTCCCTGCCCCTCCCTGCCCGCCCCCTCGCCCCCTCGCGCTCTCGCCCGCCCCGCCTCGCAGGTCGACAAGTCAGCGGCCGACAACGCCGGCTCGCTCGCCGCGCTCGGCATCGTCGGCGCGGGCGTCGCCGGCGCGGCGACGACGGCTGCCGACGTGGCGCATGCCTCGTCGGGCGCAGACGACGGTGCAGGGGGAGTGGGAGGGGGAGGGGGAGGGGACCTCGCGAGCGCGCTCGCGGCGGCGCTCAGCCAGCGCAAGGGCAACATGGGCGACAGCGAGGACGAGGACGAGAGCGACGAGGAGGATTGGTGAGCCCCCGCGCGCGCGCGCGCGAGCGAGCGAGCGAGAGCGAGGAGGGCGGCGGTACGGTACGGTACGGTACGGTACTTTGGGGAGAGGGAGAGCGGGTGCGAGCGGTGGGGAGCGAGCGAGCGGTGGGGAGCGAGTGAGCGGTAGGGAGCGCGACGCGCTGTAGCGGGGTGGTGGAACGACGAGGTGTGTCTCCTTGTCTGTGCGAGCGTGCGAGAGCGACACAGAGCGACAGAGAGCAACACAGGGGATCGTCTGTTTCGAAGGAACGAGAGCGCGCACAAGACCGAGCGACGAGGCGAGGGCAGAGGAAAGCGAGAGGCGGATCCTGTGCGCCGACCGCTCGCAGCGTGCCCGACGGGGGACCGTGCGCACCCCACGAGACGAGACGAGACGAGACGAGACGGAAGCGGGCTCAGACTCTCTCTCTCGTGCTCGTCGCTCGCGAGTGCGCTCGAACGAAGCCGAGCCCATCTCTCGCCCGTGCACGATCCGCTCCATCGCTCTCTCGCTCTCGAGTCTCGAGTCTCTATCGCGCCCTCGTCGCTGCGTTACGCTACACTGCGCTCGCTCGCTCGCTCGCTCGCTCGCGCCGCCGCATAGCCACAACAATCGCACCGTCGCGGGTCGGGGTTCCATCTCGACTAAATCCATGGCATCGGGAGGAAGGGAGGAAGGGAGGGAAAGACACAGGGCCGCGCTTAGCGGGCGCCACGGCCGACCTTACCACCCTTGGGGACGGCGTTGGCGATGGGCTTGGTCGACGAGCGCTGCGACTTGCGCTGCGACTCGCGCTCCTTCTTCTTGTCCTTGGCCTCGGTGACGGCCGCGGCGCTGCGTGGTCGGGGAGAGGGCGAGGGCGAGGAGGGGGGGCGGGCGCGGGAACGAGGTCGAGGTCGGGCGAGAGGGAGGAGGGACGAGGTCGGGCGAGAGGGACGAGGGACGAGGTCGGGCGAGAGGGGAGGAGGGGGAAGGAGATGGGAGGCGAGGCAGGGTCAGTTCTCTCTCGCTCGTGCACGTCCCCCCACGCCGAAACAAAGAGAGAGAGAACGCAAGCGACGACGCACCGCTGAGCAGCACGGACCGCCGGCTGCTGGTTGCGCTTGGCGAGGATGGCCGACGCGTCGGCGCCGACGACGCCGCGGTTGTGCTTGACCGTCTTGCGCGAGCGCTTCTTTGCCACCTCCTCCGAGACGCCCTTCTTGTTGACGCGGCGGAAGACGGTCGTCCACGCAATCTTGCGCGGGTTCTTGCGCTGCAGGAACAGCGACTCCTCCTTCGAGGTCACGAAGCTGTGGTTGTGTTTCGTCGTTCGTCGTTCGTCGTCATCGTCGTCGTCGTTGGGGGCGGCGAGCGGGCCGCGGTGCAAGGGGAGGTGTGGGTCACGCAGGCGGGTGTGGAAGGAGGTGCGGGCGAGGCGGGTGAGGTCGAGCCCAGGCGAGGTCGAGAGGCGAGGTCGACGGGTCGAGGTTGGACGCGAGGCGGCGTCATTGGCGATCGCGGATGTCGGCGCAGGTGGAAGGTCGAGGGGACGGTGAGGCGGGCGTAGGTAGTGCGTGAGGCGGGGCAAGGGGAGGGGGAGGGAGAGGAGGCTTGGTCAGTCTCTCTCTCTCTCTCAGGTCCCGCAGCTCGACGCGTCGTCCACCCCGTCCACCTCGGACCTGCTCCGTTCGGGCAAAAGGGGAGGGACGCACCGGAAGATCTTCGAGTCCGAGCGGATGTAGAGCTTGCCCTGCACGGAGAACGAGAGAGGCGAGGTGAGTACCGCGCGCGAGTCGAGCACGGGTGCGAGAGAGGTGGGCGCACCTTGCCGGGGTAGATCTTGTAGCCCGAGAAGTTGCAGAACTCGACCTTCATGGTTGTCGGATGCCTGCGTGTTGCCGCACGGCGTGGTACAGGGGGGGCGGGGGAGCGAGGAGGGACGAAAGGGAAGTGCGAGGAGGAGGGAAAACGGGAGGAACCAAAGTCAGTCTCGACGTCTCGCCATCGCCCGTGCGCCCTTGCCGCCTCGACGCCCTCCTGCCCACTGCCCACAGCTCGACAACGAGCCCATGCACGCCCGACCTCGACGAGGGAAGGGGGGGATCAGGGCCAGCGTCCCTCCCGAAGGATGGGTCCGCGGCCGGGTGATGTGTGTGTTCGTTTGGCGTCCCTCGTGAGGGCTGAGCCATCACGGTGAGCTGAGTAGATCGGTGTCGTCTTCTCCCCCCCCTTGGGGCGTGGTCGTCGTCGTCGTCGAGAGGTCGAGGTCGAGGTCGAGGCCGGGGTGGTCGCGGGCGACGGCGACGGCACGGGGCCGGGTGGAGGGCGCAGGTGCGGGTCGACAGGGCTCGACAGGTGCGAGTGAGAGCAGGTTTGGGCCTTACCGGGCGGGTTGTCGGGGAGGAGAGAACCGAACGGAAAGCGACGACGACGGCCCTCGGATTTTCGCGCCTCACTTCTCTGAGCTGTCTCTCCTCCTCCGACAGCTCCCTCGCTCCCCCTGCAGCCTGCTCGTCTGCCACGCCCATCTTACTGCCTGCTCGCGAAACACCGCCCTCGGAGCGACCGTGACTCCCTCTCCCTCGAACCAACCGAGCTCCTCTCGTCGTCTCCTCTTCCCTGCTCCCCTCTCTCTCGAGCTCTCCTCTCTCTCTCTCTCTCTGCCTCTCTCCTCGTCTCGCTCCCCGACCATGACCACCTCGAAGAAGCACACGCTGCCCTTTGTCACGGTCGACGCCTTCACGACCCGCCCGTTCACCGGCAACCCGGCCTCGGTCCTCGTCTTCCCGCTCACAGACGACAAGCTCCAGCAGCTCGCCCACGACGACGCCCTCATGCAGCACATTGCCGCCGAGTTCAACCTGAGCGAGACGGCCTACTGCAGGGAGCTCGACGGCGGCACCGACGACGAGCCGCGGTACGAGTTGCGGTGGAGGACCCCGGTCGCAGGTGCGTCTCTCGCTCTCTCGCGCTCTCAGAGGCGGGACTGACTCTGTCGCGTTTCGCAGAGGTACCGCTATGGTGCGCCCCTGCCCTCCCTCCCTTTCGCCCGAGCCGGAGGACCTCGCTGACCTCTTCTCCCCCACCCTCCCTTCCCCACTTTCGACTTGCTCCCTTTCTCGACCTCCCGCCTCTATCCTCTCGATGCTCTGCATTCGGCACCCAGCGGTCACGCGACCCTCGCGTCAGCCTACGCCCTCTTCTCTCAGCACCACCCGTCCGCGTCGACCATCCGGTTCGACACTCGCCAGTCGGGCACCCTCTTTGCCCGCCGCACCCGCTCGACGTCCAGCACCAGCACCAACGACGACGACGTCGGTCTCATCTCGCTCGACTTCCCCATGGCGTCCATCCTCGCCCTGTCGGACGGCCACCGCCGCCTGCCCAAGATCCTTGCCGCAGTCGAGGCCGCGACGGGCCTCTCGGCCGCCGACAAGGTCGTCCGCTGCGCCTGGTTCGACGCATACGACTCGCCCCTCGTCGAGATCTCTCACGACGTCGACCTGCGCGCCCTCGACGTCGACGCCGCAGCGCTCGGCAAGGCGGGCAAGCTCGTCATCCTCACCCAGCCCGCGCCCACACCCGCCTCGCCCGCCGACGCCGACGCCGACGCCGACATCCACTCGCGCGTGTTTGCCGCCCCGCTCGGGATCGACGAGGACCCGGTCACGGGCGCGGCGCACACGGCGCTCGCGCCCTTCTGGCTCGCGAGCGGCCCCGAGGCCCGGGCGCGCTTGCCACCCGGCCCCGGCGGCGCACGTGGCGGCGGGCGGACGCTGCGCGCGAGGCAGGTGAGCCCACGAGGCGGCGAGATGGTCGTCGTGCTCGACGAGGACGAGAGGAGGGTCGAGCTGCAGGGGAGCGCGGTCAGGGTCATGCGCGGCGAGATTGAGCTGTAGACGGCGGGGTGGGCGCTGCAACCTCGCTGCGTCTTTTTCGATGCGACGCCGCTCTCTCTCTCTCTCTCGTCTCTGCTCTCACGGTCAGCTCAGAGAGAGGCTCACTGCGGCACTGCTCACGTTGCCGCGACCCTCAGCTTCTGCTCGACGCGGCGGCGCCCTCACCTCACCTTCCCCCGCTCAAGCCGCACCTGCGCGCCGCTCCTCTCTGCCCTCGTCCTCCACTGCGCCTCCCATTCCTCCAAGTCAAGCCAGCCCCTCACCTCCTCCTCCTCCTCGCCCTCGCCGAGCTCCCCTCCCACGAGGCGGCGCCGCTTTGCGCCCCCTCGCTCGGCCCTCCCCTCGTCCTGCCCCTCGCCCTCCCTCGCCCTCTTCTCGCGCCGCGCCGCCCCCTCGCCCTCGCCCCCGCCCGCTCGCGCAGCACCCTCAAGCGCAGCGCGCGCCTCGGCGTCGCGGAACCACTGCTCGACCTCGCCAAACGTGGGGCCGTACAGCGCGTCGGCGAGCCACGTTGGGCTAGGGTCGCTCGGCGAGCTGAGGCGGCTCGGGAGGCGCGGTGGCGGCGGCGAGGGAGGCGAGAGCGGCGAGAGCGGCTTGGAGAGGTGAGGGGGTCGTGGGTGAGGAGGGAGCGGCGGGGTGAGGGTGCGGGCGAGGAAGGAGGACGGCAAAGGGAGGGGAGGCGGCGGCTCGAGGTGCGAGCGCGCCGAGCGCGGCCTGCCCTCTTCCCTCGGCGCCGCACCGCGCTCGACTCTCGGCGTTGGCTCGTGTCGCACACGGCTGAGCGACGACGAGTGCTCGAGTCTCGGGCCGCCACCGGGCGAGCGCTGCTCGTTCGCGGCGGCCGGTCGCCCCCTCGCCTGCCAGCTCGGCAGGCTCGCGGCGAACGGCGTGCGCCCGCTCGCTCGCGCCCTCGTCACCTCGCTCCCGCCGCCGCCGAGGTGCGCGAGTGAGGCGCGCACCGGCCGTGCGTCGTGCGCGCCCGACGCCTCGTGTCCCGGCCGCTCGGGCCGCGGCGCCTCGATGCCTCGCCCTCGCGCGGCGGCAGGGCCTCGCAGCGGCACGGCCTCGGTCGAGCGCGAGCGGCCGTGGGGCGCGATGGCGTGTCCGAGGGCGCGGCGGGTCGAGGCGAGTGAGGTCGGGAGGTGGACGAGCGGGTCCGTGACTTTGGTGGCTGGGCGGACGCGCAGGGCGGTTGGCGGGCGAGCGGGGAGGCGGTCGGTCGGGGTGGGGAGGTAGTGCGGGACTGTGGGAGTAGGTGTCAAAGGCAGGGAAAGGAGGAGAGGGCGAGAGGGCGAGACGTACGCAGTGTCGCCGAACGAGGTGCTTCTCGCCTCGTCCCGCCGCCGCCGTCGCCCCACCCGTGCCCGTCTCGCCTCGTGAAGCCACTGCGAGACGACTCGTCCTGCCCTCGCTCGCGCTCCTCCCTGCGCCTCCCCGCTCGCGCCGCCTCGTCCCGCTCGTCCTCCCACCACGGCCTCGCGCCGTCGTCGTCGGCGTGGTGCAACGGGGGCCGGTCGCTCCTGCGCTCGTCGCGCGACCGCACTCGTTCCCGCCAAGCGCTGTCATGGTGACGACGTGGTGCGGCCGAGAAACGCGAGCCGTCGCGGTCGTGCGAGGTCGGCGGCGGGGCGGCGTCGGGAGGAGGGGGGAGGAAGCGCCGGCGAGGGAGCGGGTGGGCCGTGTAGCGCTGCACAGGGCGAGCAGCAGGTGCAGGCGCGTGCCACGCCATGTCGAGGCGAGGCGCGAGTAGTGGGAGAGGAGAGAGAGAGAGGAGGCCGCGGACTGTCCGCGGACCGCGAGCTCGCCCGGACGGCCTGAGCGCGCGTCGCTCGGTCCGGCTTGTCCGGCGGCCGCGAGGAGAGCTCTCGTGTGCTCCCTGCTCTGCGCGAGACAGTGCGAGACGAGGCGAGCGGCGCAGCGCTGAGGCGAGCGAGAGCAGGCCTGAGCGTCACTCGGGCGAAACTCCGACTCTCGCCGCGACGACGAGCTCTCTCTTCCCCCTCTCTCGACGCGGACAGTGCGAGAGATAGTGATGACAGTGTCCATAACAGCCCGAGCGCCTGCGCCCCTCGTCGTCGTCGTCGTCGTCGTCTAGTGATGGTGCCCCTCCCTCGCCTCCTTCTCGGCCACCTGGGCGAGCAGGCGCACCTGGTCCCCAACGTCCCTCAGGACGCCGAGCACGGTCCGGTTCCCCTCGACAAACTCCATCTTCTTGTACTCGAGGCCCTCGTGCTCGCCGAGGCGCACGCCGCGCCAGTACAGCCGCCCAGGGTCGGCCGCGCGCACCTCGAGCTGGGCGCGCTCGTCGGCGACCCACTGCTCGACGACGCGCGCGACGGCGCGGAACCGGAAGCGCGGCACGCGCGGGAACAGGTGGTGCGGCGTCTGGAAGTTGAGGCCGCCGTGGAGAAAGTCGAGGTAGGCTGGGCACGAGACGTCCATCGTCGTGCGCAGCTGGCGGTGCGGGTGCGACTCGAGGAGCTCGAGCGAGGCGCGAGGGAGCGGGCACTTGGTCGTGTCGAACGAGGGCGGCGTGATCGAGATGGGCTGCGAGAAGTGCGACAGGACGATCTGCAGGGTCCGCGAGAGAGAGAGAGAGAGAGAGAGCGTGAGTGTCGGTGCGGCGCCTTCTTGAGAAGGGGAGGAGGCGGGACGCACCTGCACGTGCAGCGGGCTCGTGACGGCAAAGCTGACGAGGAGGTACAGGAGCTTGAGCCGCTTGCTCGGGATGCCGCCGAGGACCCGGCCGCCGAACCAGGTCCAGAACGACGCGATGCCGACGAGCTCGAGCAGGCGCAGCTTGAAGAGCGGCGACTTGCGCGCCGGCCACCGCGACAGGAGGAAGCCGTACGACAGGGCAAACAGGTTGAACCGCGCGAAGCTCATGACGATGTAGTAGAGCTTGTGCCTGTCCGGGTGGGAGCGAGTAGGTCAGTTTCCCATCCGCTGCGACGCTCGCGAGTGCACGAGAGAGAAGCGGGACGCACTGATGCGGCAAGACCTTTTTCGCGAACGCGTCAAAGGCGAGGAGACGGTCGTAGTAGGTCGAGCGCAGGCCGTCGAGGAACCGAGTCGAGATGGCGAAGAACGGCAAGTGCTGGATGTCCGGGTCGTGCTCGGGCGCGTTGGTGACGACTGCGTGGGGGCCAAGAGTCAGTCTAGGAGCTCGCGGTGCGAGGCGAGAGAGGGAGGGAGACGCACGGTGGTGCACGTTGTGGTTGTCGCACCACCAGCCGATGCTGAGCCCGCCCATAAAGTCGGCGATCGCGACGCCCCACAGACGGTCGGTCCACCAGTCGCCGGTCAAGGCCGTGTGGCCCGTGTCGTGCGCGACGAACGTGATCTGGTGCCAGAAAGCGCCGAGGAAAGAGGCGGCGAGGACCCAGTCCCACGCGCCGCCGGACGCCTGCGCGCAGCGGTACGCCCAGACCGACAGGGCGGCGAGGGTCGAGTACATGACGAGCGAGGGCGCGTAGCCGGAGAGGAAGGGGGGAGGGGTATCGAGGCCGAGCGAGTGGATGCGGGCGTGGAGCTGCTTGTGCGACCGGCGCAGGTGGGCCTGGTACGCCGGCGTGAGCGGCAGGTCGGCGTACGCCTCGCGCGCCAGTGGCGGGTCGACCATGGCGGCCGTCAGGACGGGTGCAGCGCCGTCCTCCTCGCCCGACGCCGACGTGGCGGCGGACGGCGCTCCTCCTTGTGGCCGACGCGCCTTGGACGGCGACACGGGCGGGCTCGACGCCGTGACGGTGATCTTGGGGACGGGGATGGGCCACATGCCGAGCTGGATGGGCGGCACCATGTCGCGCCAGCCCTCGCCGAGCGTGTCGTCGTCGTCGTCGACGTCGACCCGGGCGACAGTCCAGCGGGCCATGCGCTCGGCGACGGTGCGGCCCGAGTGGTACGCCTCGATCTCGCAGCTCGCGTCGCGGCCGACGTAGTGGAGGATCGAGTGGTGGCCGCCCGGGTGCAGGTTGAGCCAGGCGTGAGGGACTCGGTACACGAGGGGAGGGTGGAGGACGAGGAGCTCGCCGCGCGTGATGCGCTCGGCGATGGCGGCGCGGCTCAGGACGGGGAGCGAGGCGTAGTTGGGCGGGAGGGGCACGCCTGGGCACGGCAGGCGAGCCGAGTCGCGCGACGAGGGCGGCTCTGAAGGCGACGAGGCGGTGGCGACCTTCGCCGAGGTTGGCGCAGGCGCAGGCGCGAGAGACGCGTCGGCCATGGCGGACAAGTTGCGGCGGTACTGCTGTGCGCCTTTCTGCCGGCTAGAAAGACGCGTCTGAGCGAGCGGGCGGGTGGTGGGAGCAGGGACGGCGTGTTCGCCGAGGGAGGAGCTCTACTCGTCCTTCGCCTCGTCGCACTCCTCACGCCGGACTGCCGCAGTGTGCGCAGCTGCACGAGCTTCCCGATGGCCAGCTGTCCCGAGTGGGCTCTGCGCCGCGCGAGGGTTGCTCGATGTGCTCTCGCTCCCTCCTCTGCACCCATCAACCGCGCTCCACAGCACGAAGACACCGTCAAGAGCTCGGGCGAGTGCGCCACTATCTCCCCAAGCACAGTGGCGGCGTGCTTGCGCGAGCGGCAGTCCCGCCTGAACCGGTCGCTCCCACCTCGTCCTCCTCGACCTCCTCGGCCCGCCGCTCGAGCGCAACGACGGCCGTCCTCCCCCACCCAGTCGCACTCTGATCTGAGCTTCCTCGTCTTGCGCGCCGGTCTATTATCTGCTTGAACCATTCTGCCGCCATCGACCGCGTGTGCCGTCGGGCGAGTTTGGCGCTAGTCCCCACCTCCGGCTTCCTCACAGATCGGACCGCCCACCCTACGCCGGCGGGCACTCGTCCGAGAACGACGAGCGGGGCCATCCTGCGGCTCTGCTTTGCTCTGCACCCTCTGCTTCTCGCCGCTACCGTGCCACCGCACGAGCGCGAACGATGCGCACGTCCACCTCGCTCGCTGGCGCGCTCGCCGGCCTCGCCTCCCTATCGACCCTCGCCTGCGCCTCGCCCATCACGCTCGCCGCGCGCAACAACGACGCCGCCGGGTCGCCGTCCGTCTCGATCAAGAACGGCACGGTCGAGGGCGTCTCGCTCCCGACCTTCTCGCAAGAAGGTCCGTCCCCCTCGTCTCTCTTCCTGTGCCTCACTCTTCCCGTGACTGACCCTCCTCCCTTCTTCCAGCCTTCCTCGGCATTCCCTTTGCCCAGCCACCCGTCGGTGACCTGCGCCTGCGCCGCCCGCACTCGCTCGAGAAGGGCTTCGAGGACGGGTCGTTCTCGGCCAAGAAGTACTCGCCCTTTGTGCGTCGCCCTTGACTCGCCTCCTCCTCTCTCCCCTGCACTCGAACTGACGCTCTGTAAGCGGCGCAGTGCCCGGGCATCGGCGCCGACGACTATGGTTACGAGTTGTCCGAGTGAGCCTCCCTTCCCCTCTCTGCGCCAAGGTCGAGCCGGCCGGGCTGCAGCGACCCTCTCTCGTCTCGCTCGCCGTCTGAGTGGGAGCTGATATCCTTCCACCACGTCCGCAGAGACTGCCTCACCGTCAACGTCCTTCGTCCTGCCGGCACCTCGGCCGACGACAAGCTCCCCGTCGGCTTCTGGATGTGAGTCTTTCCGTCGAGTCCTACGCGCCAATAGTGTACTGACGGACATGTCCAGATATGGAGGAGGTTTTGAAATGGGAGGCAATGCCGACATCCGGTACAACGGCAGCTACGCGGTCCAGCGCAGCGTCGAGATGGACAAGCCGATTGTGCGTCCTCTTCTTCCCCCTCTGCGTCCTCTCTTCGCTCCTCCTCTCGAGCCACACGAGCTCACTTCCTCTCAACGCCCCCCCAGATCTACGTCCAGGTCAACTACCGCGTCTCGTCGCTCGGCTTCCTCTCGTCCAACGAGCTTCGCGCCGAGGGCAACCTCAACCTCGGCCTGTACGACCAGCGCCTCGCGCTTCACTGGGTCAAGGAGAACATTGCCGCGTTCGGCGGTGACCCGGACAAGGTGACGATCTGGGGCGAGAGGTGCGTCCCGCGCACGTTCCTCCTTTTTTTTGAGAAGGTCGCCCCGATCGAGCCTGACGTTCGTGCCCCTGCAGCGCCGGCGCCATGTCGGTCAGCCACCAGCTCCTCGGCTGGGGTCTCGACTCGACCGACCTCTTCCGCGGCGCCATCCTCGAGTCGGGCTCGTCCTTCACCTCGTCGTTCGCCGACCCCGAGATCCTCCAGCCCCGGTTCGACGAGGTCGCCAAGAACGCCGGCTGCGGCGACGCCGACGACGTGCTCAAGTGCCTGCGCGGCGTCAGCCTCGACACGTTCAACTCGTCGGCGGCGGCGTACAGCTGGAGCCCGGTCGTGGATGGCGGCATCATCCCGGCGTTCCCGTCCGACATTGTCAAGAACGGCAGCTTTGTCAAGGTTCCTCTGCTCATCGGAGGTGCGCACGCCTCTCTCACTGTCTCCTCCGTCGACAGCGCGGCCCTGACTCGTCGTCCCCCTCGTCGTCGCCACGCCCCGCCTCGTTCATCCTCCTCTCTCGCCGCTCAGCCAACACGGACGAGGGCACCGCCTTTGGGTCGCGCGGCATCAACACGACCGAGCAACTCGCGGCCGACCTCGCGACGCGCTACTCGTCGATGCAGAACTCGAGCGTCGACAAGGTCCTCGAGCTGTACCCGAACGATCCACTGGTCGGGTGCCCTTACGGCAGCGGCGACGCCGTCCTCCCGAGCGGCCTCCAAGACAAGCGCAGCTTTTCGATCTATGGGTGCGTCCCTGTCCGACTCTCTCTCTCTCTCTCGCGACGAGGTGTCGCCGCCGAGGAGCGCACTGACCTTCTCAACTCGACCTCGCAGCGACTTGACCATGCATGCCGGCCGCCGCCGACTCGCCGAGCTCTACTCGGCAGCAGGCGCACCCGTCTACTCGTACCGCTTCGACCAGCCGGCCGAGAACGCGACCATCGAGACCGGGGTGCGTCCACGCCGCTCCTCCCTCGAGACGGTCCCGACTGACCCTTGCCGTCCTCCTCTCTCGCAGACGACGCACTTTGTCGAGGTCGCCTACGTCTTTGGCGTGCCGTACAAGACGGCCAACACGCTCGGCACGCGTCCGGGCGACGCCGAGCTGTCGCACCTCGTCATGTCGCAGTGGATCTCGTTCATCCACGACGGCACGCCCAACAACCACGGCAGTGCGTCCCTCTGTCTCTTTCCCCCCCCTCTCTCGCTGAGAGACCCTGACGAGCTTGCCCTCGCAGTCGCCGACGCGCCCGAGTGGCCCGACTACCGCACGTCGCCGAGCAACTACGTCTACCGCCGCCACGGCTCGGTCGTCGAGACGGACGACTACCGCAAGGAGGGCATCGCGTACATCAACCAGCTCGACTGGGAGATCCGGGTTTGAGCACGGAGGAGCGAGCGAGGGAGCGAGGGAGCGAGGAGGAGGACGAGGCGCTTTAAAGGTGCGAGGGGCGCAGGCGCCTCTCAATTCGCTCCGCGCAAACAGTCAGTTACTCACTCTGAACACGAGAGGCGAGCCTTTTGGCCGAGAGAGGGAAGTAGACCGCGAGCAAGAGCGCGAGCAGAGTGTCCTCGTCTCCCGCACGGACCGCTCGTCGTCGTCCTTCTCTCGAGGCGTCGCTAGCGCTCGCTCAGGACCTTGCGCAAGTCTCATCGGTGCTCTCGAGAACCTCTCGGAAGAGCTCAGACACAGAAAAGCTCGGTGCAGGGCTACTTCTCCTGCTCGCCCACCGTCTCTCCCCTCGCCTCGGCCTCGCGGTCCGCCTCGGTGACCTGCGACTGTGCGAGGACGCGCTTCTGCAGCCACGGGAAGCGCGACAGGTCGCCCTCCATGAGCCACCACAGGACGAGGATGATGACGGCGTTCGCAGCGACGAGGGCGCACGCGCCGGTCGCCGAGTTCTCGTACCTCGGCCCGTAGTCGCTGCGCCACAGCGACGGGCCGACGAGCCCGGAGAACTGCGAGATCGCGTTGTTGATCCCGATCCCGAGCGCGGCCGCCGACGTGCCGCGCAAGGCAGCGATGCGTCGAGGCCAAAGGCAGGCGTAGGCGGACGGGGCGGCGCCCGAGACGACGCAGGCGGCGGCGTACCGCACGCCGGCGGGCTCGACCGTGATCATGATGACGAGTGCGACGATGACGCCGAGAACCACTGCGCGAGAATGGAGGGTCAGCGAGAGGCTCGAGAGCGAGGAGAGCTCGAAAAAGAGGAGCAAGCCGTCGACGCACGACCGAGGGCGCAGAGAAAGGGGTTGACGTTGCGCTTGCGGATGAGGTAGGCTGAAAGGCAGCACATGAAGACGCCCGTCGCGGCAGGAGGGATCTGGAGAAGCTGCGTCCCGGCCGAATCCTGGAAGAAGGGACGAAAGTCAGCGGGCTCGAGAGCGACTAGAACGAAAAGAGCCGGGACGCACCGTGATGCCGAGGTCCTTGACGACAAAAGGAAGGACGGTCGAGATGCCCCAGGCGCCGACGGCGTAGCACGCCCAGAAGATTGAAAAGAAGAAGAAGGTCGGGTCGGCGAGCATGCGCAGGATCTGCTGCCCGTCGAACGTCTTGTCGGTCATCCTCGGAGCGTCGCGGTGCAGGTGGCTCAGAATATAGTCCTGCTCGAGAGGCGAGAGCCATTTGACGGTCTGTGGGCCGTGAGAAGGACGTGAGCGACCGTCTCGAGTTTAGGAAGGTCGAATTGAGCGCACCTGAGGAAAGTTGGGCAGGAGATACCACATGCCGACGCCGAGCAGGATCGTGACGAGGCCCTCGAGGATGAACAGGACTTGCCAGCCGTAGAGATGGGCGGACGAGTCGGCGAACGACACGGCGTAGGCGAACAGGCCCGAAACTGCTCGAGGACGAGGGTCAGTAAGGATCGAGTCGCGCTGTCGGACGTTCGACGTACATCCTCCGGACTGCGGAAGGACGGACCGAGTCAGTCTCTCGTTCGAGGGCGAAAAAATGGGGACGAGGACGCACGCTCGAGTTGGCCACGTAAAGGAAGAGGACGCGCGTGCTCATCTCCTTGGGCGTGTACCAGAACGAAAGGTGGTACAGCATGGCCGGGAAGAACCCTCTGCGGGCGAGGCAGGGCATGAGCAGGTCGTCAAAGCCGTCGTTCGCCGAGAGTGCGCCTCGCGAGCGAGACGTCGAGGACGGCAGCGCGACTCACCCCTCGAACAGGCCGAGCAATACGCGACACGTGATCAGACCGCCGTAGTTCTGAGGAGAACAGGCGAGTCAGTCGAGGAGTGACGGCGGGGAGGCAGGGACGTGCCTCGGGAGGAAAAGGGAGGAGAGCGAGAGACGCACAGAGACGGCGGCCATGCAGGCCATGACTGTGGGCGACGAGCGCCGTCAGGACAGTGCCCCAGGATACGAGACGAGCGAAAGGGTGGCTCACCTGCGCCCCAGCTGACCATGAGGCGGGCGAAAAAGAAGGAGGGCGTCGTCGACTTGGCAAAGAAGGTCGCGATCGGCTCCCTGCGGTGGATCGAGGGTCAGCGCTCGTCGACAGAGATGCTCGAGGGGACACTCACGCCGCCAGGTAGGTGTAGTAAAAAGCTGACACGACCCAGGACCACTGCTTGGCGTCGAGCGAGAGCACCTGCTTGAGCGAGTGGTGCGCCTCGCTGTTCATCGTGCCTGCGAGACAGTGCGGGAGCGATGTCAGCGCGTACTCGTCGTCAACATGGCTCTGCTGGAGCTACGCGAGCCTCGTCACCGAGACGAGGCTTCGGAAAAGGAGGAATCGCGGGAAGAGGGGAGCGAGGGACGAGTGAACGGTCGTGCTCACCTGCGTTCGAGATGTTGTTCAGGTCCATGCGCACAACGGCGTAGCAGACGCAGTAGACCGGCAGAAAATGAAGGTCGAGGCGACGCAGGAGGCGGTTCTTGTCGATGCTGGCGAATCGGTCCTCGTCGCCGCCGACCGACGCCTCGAGGCTCGCCGGACTGGCCGTCGGCCGTTCCTTGAGGTCTTCAGTCGAGGAGAGAGACATGTCGAGCTGGACAAGCTGCCGTCGAGAGCGCTCGAGATGCGGCGAGAGCGGAGCGAAAGAAGCGCGACTCGCAGCTTGGCCGCAGAGGGAGCCAGGTCTGAGGACTCGCAAGGCTCCGAGCAGGTGCTCGGTGAATCGGCAGCATGCCAACGAGCGCGGGAGCACGCAATGCGGCTCAGACGGGTGAGAGGAACGAGTCCAAGGGCCGGCTCGCACGAGCGTTCCGATTTGGACCAAGTCCGGACCTCAAGCTCGCGGTCGACCTGCAGCTGTGGCTGCTCTCGCGCCCGCCCGTCGTCACCGGCTGCTCTGGCAACCTCGCCAACGCACTTGCAGCTCGTCTGTTGCCACGCTCGGGGCACACGCGACCCCTCGGGTGAGCTGCCGGCGGCCCGCCTCTCCCCCGCTCTCGCGCCATCGCGACGTCGCCTGGTGCAACTGCCTGCGCACCTGGAGGCTTTCGAGCCGGCCGACAACTGCCCCAGGCTACATGTCGTGCTACGCTCGCCGCAGCTTGCTCGGCTCGGCACGAGGGCGGTGCTTGCTCGTCCGCCTTCCACCCTCACTGCGACAACGACCTCGACCACGACCATGCCGACCTCGGTGCTCGACATCCCGACCTGGCAGCGACCTGCACCGACGACCGAGAAACTCGACACCGTCCAACTCGCGTGCATCGACCTCGCCAAATGGCCCGACCGCAAGGAGGAGCTCGTCGAGGACCTTCGACACGCCGTGACCGACGTCGGCTTCTGGTGCGTCCCTCTTCTCACACACTCGTTCTCAGTCCCGGCGAGCTGACCCTCGCCCTCGCGCACGCAGGGCCATCGAGAACACGGGCATCACGGACGACGAGGTCGTGCGCCAAATGTCGATCGGCTCGGCCTTTCTCGACTTACCGCTCGACGAGAAGCGCAAGCACCCGTGCAACTTTGCCGAGGGCAAGTTCTTCGGCTACCGCGAGGGCGTGCGCATCATGGGCGACTCGGGCGTGGTCGACAACAGCGAGGCGTGCGTCCTCCCCTTTGCCGCCTTCTCGCCTCGACCCGTGCGTGCGCTAGACTGACCTGTCTTGTCCACACAGACTCTGTCTGCCCAAGGTGACGGCGTCCCTTGCGCAGGAATGGCCCGTCGAGTACGACTGGCTGCAGCCGTTCAAGCCCGAGATCGAGGCCTTCCAGTGCAAGGTCCACGAGCGCATCCTCGACCCGCTCCTGCGGCTCTTTGCTCTGCTCCTCGAGCTCCCCGAGGAATATTTCTCTGCGGTACGTCCCGCGCTCTCTGTGACTCTCGTCGATCGCTCGCGCAACTGACGCGCCTCGACCCGCTCGCAGCCGCACGCCTGGCACCGACCGAGCGAGGACCACCTGCGCTACGTGGGCGGCCTCATCCTCTCTATTGGCTCTTTCGTCGACGTCCTGACTTGGCTTTGCGCCGCTCGCAGATGCGCTACACGCCAAACTCGCGCGAGGTCGACGAGCAGCTCAAGGACAAGCAGTACCTGAACGGCCACACCGATTTTGGCCTCGTCACGTTGCTCTTTGCGCAAGTCGTCCAAGGGTGCGCTCGCATCTCTCTCCCTCTCTCTCTCTCTCTCTCTCTCTCTCTCTCTCTCTCTCTCTCTCTCTCTCTCTCGCTCATCATTTACCGCCGTCGCTCACCACTGCTTCCACTCGCAGCCTCCAGATCCTGACGGCCGACAACGAGTGGAAGCACGTTCCCTTTATTCCCGACAGCATCGTCGTCAACACTGCCGACATCCTGTCGTTCGCGACAGCCGGGTACCTCAAGTCGACGATCCACCGCGTCGTGCGACCTCCTGAGGACCAAGCGCGCGTGCGGCGCATGGGACTCTTCTACTTTAGTCGGTCCGTCGTCCCTCCTCCTCCTCTCCTACCGCCTGTATCTCCTCTTTCTCGGCGACCCCTACGCCGACTCGGCGTCGACCTGCCTCTCCCGCCGCCTCCCTCGCCCGCCGTCCTCCGCCCTTTCTAGCGCGGTAACTGACACTCGTCGCGCACACAGAGCAGCATGGGACTTTCCTGCCGGCGTCGTTGCGCCTTCACCTGTCCTCGAGCGCCTCGGCCTGTACAAGCCCGACGAGCAGCCGGTCGAGCCAGTCTCGGGCCTCGGTGCGTCCCCCCTCCTTCGCCTTCCTTGCCTCATCGCCTCACTGACTACTGAGCTCATCCGCAGAGTTTACCCGCGCTCGCGTCAAGCACAGCTGGGACCGGCCTGTGTACGCCGACGACGAGTTCAAGCGAGGTTTCTCGGTCGGCGGGCTCGCCGTCAAGACGGACTACGAGGCTGCGTCGTGAGTGTTGGACTGCAACTCGTTGTGCTCAGCGCCGAGTCGAGAGCTAGACGATTTCGCCGCGTCGAGAGAGGCTTGTACAGAAAGCGCTCGCCGAAGCTGAGTCGCCGTCGTCGCGCACGGTCCCTCATCTCGACCTGTGCCCGCCCGCGCTCGCTTTTTGCTGGCAGCGCTGCAGACGTGCTCTCAGTGAGCTGTGCGCGGGTCGGCCGGGCACACGAAAAAGGCGAGCGACTGCTCACGATGGCGCCTTCGGCACGCCGGGCCGGCGGACGAGGAGAGTCGACCCCCCTCGCTCTCTCGACCTACCGCGCCAGAGCCAGTGCGCAGCTCTGAGTACTCGCGGCGCAAGCTCTCGACCCGCCTGCACCCGCGACCCGACCACCACAGCGCGACCCGCGACCTCGACCTCGCCTCATCAGCTCGAACGAGATGGGGTTCCTCACCTCGACACCACCACGTCGAGTGCGCGTCGTGATTGTCGGAGGCGGCATCTGTGCGTCCTCCACTCCCCCTGGCCCCCTCCCGAGATGAGCCGAGCTGACTCTTTGCACCCCGCTCCTCAGCCGGCATCGCGCAAGCTGTGCGCCTGCAGGACCAGCTCGGCAACAAGGTCGACCTCGCCATCTATGAGCGAGCGAGCGAGGTCGGCGGCGTCTGGCGCGACTCTACCTGGCCCGGCACGGCGTGCGTCGCTCGCCCTTCCCCCTCCCTGCCCCAGTTCCGCGCGAGCTGACCCTCCTCGCGCCCGCACCCGCAGCGTCGACGTCCCGATCCACCTGTACTGCCTCTACTCGCACCTCAACCCGGGCTTCTCGTCCAAGTGGGCAGGGCGCGACGAGGTCCTCGCGTACTGGAAGCGCATCGTCCGCCGGCACCGTCTCGAGCGCTCGTTCACGTTCGACACCGAGTTCGTCAGCTCGCGGTGGGACTCGCTCGCGCAGCAGCACACGGTCACGTTCCGCAACGTCAAGTCGGACGAGACGTTCGACGTCGTCGCCGACGTCCTCATCGCCGCGACGGGCGCGCTCAACAAGCCGATCGTGCCCCACGTGCCGGGCAAGGACAAGTTCAAGGGCGTCCAGTGGCACTCGTCGCGGTGGCGCAACGACGTGCCTCTCGAGGGCAAGCGCATCGCGATCGTCGGCAGCGGCTCGAGCGGTATCCAGTGCGTCCTCTGCTCTCCCTCTTCCCCTCGCCGTCGACCTCGACCCTCTCTCCCTCTTCCCCTCGCCGTCAAGCTCGACCGGACCCTGACCCTCTCGCGCACACAGGGTCATCCCCAACATCTGCGCCATCCCGGGCATCGAGATCATGCAGTTCATCCGCTCGCCGGGCTACTACCGGCCCAAGCACAATTTCGAGTACCCGCTGTGGAAGCGCCTCCTGTTCCGCATCCCGGGCGTCCTGCGCCTGTACCGGTGGACAATCTTTTACGAGTACGACAAGGCCATCTTGTCGCGAGGTACGGGCACGTGGTCGTCCGACTTGCGCGAGAGCTCGGCCAAGGTGTGTCGCGCTCCCTCTTCCTCGTCGTGCCCTCTCGCCCCAGACCTGACTCTGGCTCTCGCCGCACACAGGGTATCATCGACTACATGAAGTCGCAGGCGCCCGAGAAGTACTGGGACGCCATCATCCCCAAATACCGTGCGTCGTCTCGTCGTTCCCTTTCCTCCCCTCGGGCAACGACGCGAGCAGGCCTATCAGTCGCACTGACCCTCTGGTACTCTCCCCCCCGCAGCCATGCACTGCAAACGCGTCGCGTACGACGCCGGGTGGTTGGCGTCGTTGCAGCGCGACAACGTCGACTTGACGACGTCGCCGATCGTCGCCGTCGACGAGACGGGCATCCTGACGGCCGACGGGCGCCACCACGCCGTAGACTACATCGCGTGGGCGACCGGGTTCGAGGTGTCCGAGACGGGCGTCGGGCTCAACAAGGGCGTGTACGGCGAGGACGGCAAGGAGCTGCGCGAGACGTGGAAGGCGCACGGCGGCGCGTTTGGGTACCTCGGCGTCGCCGTCCCCGGCGTGCCCAACTACTTTGCCGTGCTCGGGCCCAACGCGATCGCCATGTCGTGGGGCTACTCGCTCGGCGCGAATGTGCGTCCCCCCTCGCACTCCCTCTCTTTCTCGGTCCTCGACTCGACGCCGCGACCTCGTTCCTGACCTTCCTGCGTCCCCTCTTTGCAGACCGAGTTCATCGCGCGCCTCGTCCGAGGCATCTACGACCACGAGCTGTCGTCGATCGTCGTCAAGGAGTCGGCCGTGGACGCGTTCAACGCCGAGCTGAACCGGCGCCTCGGCCAGACGTCGCTCGCGTCGGCCGAGTGCGGCTCGTCGTGGTACAAGGACCCCGAGACGAACAAGCTCGTTGCGCCGGCGCCGTGGAACGCTAGTGCGTGCTCTCTCTCTCTCTGTCTCTGTCTCCCTTTCTCTCTCCCTCCCTCTCCCTCGTCCTCTCCCTCGCCCTCTTCTACATCCCTCTCGTCGCCTTTATCGAGCACTCACTGACTTGAACTCGCACCTCGTCGTCCCTCTCTCTCCCGCAGCCGAGCTCTGGACGCGCAATCGCAAGATCAAGTGGGAGGACTTCCGCTGCAGGCGCTTCTCCTCCCCTCTTTCCTCCCACTCCTCTTCTTCCTCCTCTCTCTCCCCCTCAAGCAGCACCAGCACCACGTCCCTCTCCCCCTCTTCCTCCCTCGCCTCCTCCTCCTCCCCCGCCAAGCCCCTCATCGTCGACCTGCGCACGCCCCGCTCCTGGACCCCCTGGGCCCTCGGCGCCGACTGGCTCGCGGCAAGCCTCGCTCGGTGGCTCGAGCGCCTCATGACCGAGGTCAAGCCCGGGCGCGAGCCGGGCGAGGGAGAGGCGGTGCGGGGTAGAGCGGTAGACGTCGAGGCGTGAACGCGAGGAGGAGGTTAGAGGGGGGGGGGAAGGGAGGGCGTGCAGCGCAGGTTGTTCGTGCTGGGTGCGGGGTCTGGCAAGGAGGGAGCGAAAGAGAGAGAGAGAGAGAGCGCGCGCCGAGAGAGCGTGAGCGAGAAACAATGACAGACCTCTCGAGCTCGAGCGAGAGGCGAGGCTCGTGCGCGCGGGACGAGGACTTTCCTCCCTCCCTCGCTCTCTTTTTCTCTCTCTCGCACCCTCTTTGTCCTCACGCCGACGCACAGAGACGAGACAGGAAAAGCGTCCGTTGCAGGTGGCACTAGAGGAGGAGGAGGAAGAGCGAGAGAGAGGG